GCTCCGTCCCGGCTTTGTATGGGATGCGAGGTCAATGGTCTAACGACTACGGCACGACTATGAGTACACACACACACACCCTCCCCCCCGGAGAGGTCTGAAAAGAACTTTTGTAGGGTAGGTGTCGGAAACAATAGTTTCTTGCGCCCTTGTCCCCACGCCTCCTTTGCAATCAACATAAAATATTTACACCAATCTAAGTTCAAGTCAAAGAAGCCAAGACCGCAGGCGCTCAAACAAGGTCGGTTGGTTTCGCACGAGGTTTTATGCACATTGTACGATTATCACTAGAGGACACCCTATGGCAGCGGGGGGGGGGTGTTAGCGCGTTCAAATCTGTTTCTGTGGTGGTGATATCGAGTCGTACTAGTGGCCTACAATCTCCGCAAATCTCCGCAAATTAGACCGACACCCAGCTTCTTTTACTGCTTGTGCTCACCGGCACTGACCCCAATTAATGTCACTAATGTAGCTACAGCTGACGGTCCGTGGCGGTGAGCACGGCTGTGATAAATGTTGGATTCCACGTTGTTCCGGCCCGGATGTCGGGGTGTTGTCAGAGGCTTCTGCGACCTTCGATATTTCAGCTCCAGTAGCAACCCTGAACGTACCAACACGAACGACCCCTCTCCATGGTGTCCTCTACTGATGACAGTAGAATGCAACAGATACTTCCGGCGGGAAGGTTGTTTTCTTCTTTAGATTGGATATAATTATGAAAATAGAGCCAGCGTCAAAATAACTTGTTCTTCAACCCCTTAATGTGAAGACACACGCTCGGTCACATTGCAGCAAGCAGTAGATTCGTAAGACCTACGGGCTGTAGCCTCCAGGCTGTTGTGGGTGCGGGCCTCCCAAGATGCATATTGTAAGTCCAAAGCGCGTTCATACACTCACAGCCTCCTTTGAAGCCAAGCACCGCAGGAGTAAATACGGAGAAGAGTAAGAGTCTTCTGTGTTTCCTTCCTTCCGCATGACCCTGCTGGTGTTATCGTGGTTGTTTTCTTGACATTGAAAAAGCGAATATAACGTCCCGATCTCTGTTTACTGCGGTGTTCCAACTGAAGCTGACGGACGCCTTCCGTGGTCATATGCCAAATAGTGCCAACCACCCAAAAGACCAGGTACTTCATCATTATGGTATAAGGACCGACACAAACTAATGTGGCGTGGTACGAATTAGAAAAAACTAAAACAAGCCCTCAGACAGTCATAGACCTGGCAGGCGTCAAACATAACCGAAAGGTGTGGTATCTACTGGTACTGCTGTAGGCTGGCGACCGCATTATTAGATGGGACGAAACCATATGCCTACCCCGTCGTCCTGGACTTTGACATAGGTTCGCATTGATCAACCATTCCTCACGTGTCTACCTACGTTACGGCTTTACCTCTTCTACTAAAAAGATCTCTGAACCGGGGTCACCCGGCAAAAACCCTCTACGGTTCATGCCTGCAGTCTTTAGACAACTCGAGAGGGTGTGAGGCGGTTTTCTCCAGTTTCTGCCCTAGAGTCTTATGTTGATTCATTGGCGTGTGGAGTACACACCAATATCGACCTCATGAGAGAGGGGGGGCGGTACGAAACGGGAACTGGTTCGGGATAAGATTTTGAGTTGGACGGGCGCACCGGCTCTAACCTATGGCAACACCTTGAACGGAAGTCTCCGCCAGGTTGTCTAACATGTCGATGTCCTACGAGTTATTCTGTGTGGAGGTTCAAAAAAAGTTGTTTTGGAGTTGCGTTCCTTCGCAGGCGGTGGGTTGTTCTCTCGTTCATCTCGCGTGTACATTCGTTCGCGTCTGGTCATCTTGTTTACGAGATGGCAACTTTGATCATAAAGATCACTCTCGGAACATTCGTTCCAGACGGAAATGCAAGTTTGTCCAATTATTATGTGAAACTTCGCACTTACCAGCACAAGTTGAATAGATTGATACTCTTAGTACTTCGACCACAACAACCTTCGGTATCTTGGTCAAAGTAGTTGGTTTATGCACGACCACAACAACCTTCCATATCTGGTTGGTCAACGTTTCCTCAGGGCTCAGTGATCGGCTAGAGAGTATCCCCGTGGGCCTGCCACACATGAACGGCAGAAAAACGCAGAGTGTCGAGACCATTTTACAATGGCGTCGACGAAGAGATGTCAGAGTGTCTGCTTTTGGTTGCAAACGACACGGGCTCGAATCCCGCCGCTCACCAAATGTTCTTTATGAAAACGGGAAATTAAGAAAAGCGGTGTGTGGGCCAAGAAGGACCCACTGGCTATCGAACTCGGAACTTCTGATGACGTGGCGGACGTAGCGAACCCGTGTAATCACGCACAGAGGATTTGTGAAGGAGAAAATCGCCCCGCCGCCAGCCGGTCGGGTTGGTTACCCCTAGTAGACTTTTCTTGCCTAACTAACAAGGGGAAGTCTCAAAAAGGGGGGGGGCGATGTGCAGACCACCTTCCATCATAAGGTACTATCTGCTACAATGTGGAGACCACCCTTCATAAAGGTACTATTTCGCCAACGTCCGTCGAGGACGATTCCCTCTTTTCACTAGAGTGCCTCACATGTTGTGGGGGAGAGGCTTTCAGCGTATGTGTTTGCAACCAAGATGTCTCCGATGCCAGCCTTCATCCAGGGCGCAGTACAACACGACGCAAGACCACCCCAAGGGCTTGAGCCGCTCTCATGTCTCACCCGTCCGTATCGTCAATTTCACCTCTTTCTCTCTATCTCTCTGTCTCTCTCGCTTCCTCCTAGCTAGAGAGCCGTTGATTGTGATGGTGCTATTCATTGCTTCACAAGTAAATCACCATGGATTCCGTCTGTGAGAAACTAGGTAGTAAACTACACACAGACGGAAGATGGATGAGAAAGAATCCACCATCATCATCGTCAACCAAGATCGAACGCCGATCAGCCGGCCGAGATGGCCCATCCCCTTCGCCCGCCCGTGGAAATCTCTCTCTTCAGAGGAGAAGTTGGCCACATTTCTTTCATCCATCAGTTGTCTCAGGATCCCGGCCTTTCGACCCTGGATGACGCTGCCCGTTGTCCAGGGATCTTCGGTCGTGCCTTTTTTGAAATTCCGCCGCAGTTTTTTTTACCAATCAGGGAACTGCGTGCCACAAATGTTTCTCTCTCTGCGTGGCATAAATGTTTCTCTCTCTCTCTCTTGCCCAGGGATCTTCGGTCGTGCCTGTGTGTTTGAAATTCCGCCGCAGTTTTTTTTTAACAATCAGCGAACTGCGTGCCACAAATGTTACTCTCTCAAATGTTTCTCTCTCTCACGCCTAGGGCCAAGCGCTCATGCTGGACCATGTTGATTTTTTGTCATTCCTACCATGAAAATATGGACTCTTTGGTGCTCCTCTGAATGCGAGCTGCTCTCGTCTCCCGTATCTCGCTCCTTCACGAGGCGCTCACTCGTTTCGTCTCTTGCCTTCGCGTATATCTCGACTCTTTCCGCTACCTGGTTGGTGCTTATGTTTGAAACGGTCTGCTACTTTCTCTGGCACTCTCACCCAATTTTTCCCAACCGCGAAAGCTTCACAACGGAATGTTTACAACGAAAGTGCCAGTATCGTTGCCGCTCCAAGGTTTCAAGGCTGTTCCTCCCTCGCGAGTAGAACCAGCAATCCCTAAAGGGTCTTAACATGGCGTAGAAGGGAGGATTCATTTCACATTCCCCGGTCATAAACTCTACTTGTTTTACTTGTTGTGCCTATTGGGCAATCGATCTCTCCTGTTCCTTTTGTGGATGTTTTTTTACTTGTCGCCCCGATTAAGCTGTGTCTCTTGAACCCCAATTTCTTGGTGTTCTGGGCAATCTGGGGGTCTTGGTCCGGACGTGTTTTTTTACTGCAGGTCTCACACCTTCTTTATGGCCATGCTACACCTGGGCTTCCACACTGGCGTCAGTAGAAGAGACCCTATCTGTCGGGCAAAATCTCCGTGTTTCAGCAGCAGGGTCCGCTTTTAGACCAACGTGAGCACTGGGAAATCTGTTATTGGATTATCGTTGTTGGTTTTTCCATGTAGGTCCTTCTGGGGGAGACAGAACGTCAATGCGTGCGTTGTTGATGACACCGACATCAGTTGGCGGTGGGCTGGTGTCGAGGCAGGGGTACGTTGAAAGTTATTGGTGATACTTTACGATACTCTCCACTCGTTTCGCTGCCCTCCCTACATCGAACGGAAGATATGCGAAAACGTGCGGGATGTGCAAGTATGATCACTGGCCGACATCGAGACACCGCGGATTCTTCCGGTTCCAGCGCTGGTCGCTCAATTCATTGTATACCCCGGCAGTTCATGGCAGTGCACGGTTGACGCGAACAATCCTCCTCTCACTTACACGCGTAGAATCCTCCAGTTGGCGCCGCTTGTTCGTTGTTGTGTCCTTTCGACCATTGAGCAAACTACAACGGGTTGCATGTTTACGAAAAGTGATGTGTCCCCGAAACTAATAAGGTGTATTTCTGCCACGAAGTACACTACAGAACGTGCCATCTTCTATTGGCTGAGGCTGGGGTTGTTGGTACCTCTTTGGCCTGCCTGTAGCCACTTTTTAGTTTTTGTTTGTTTGTCTATTTCCGGTACGTGCTAGATTTTATTTTAACGTCGAAATGTGAGCCTGGAAATCTTACGTACCTGCCACGTTCTTGAGTGATGGCGCGTTCTGCAGCCGTTGAAAATTGTGAGGGAACGGCGTGTTTTTGGCATCGCTGTCTCGCTGTGTGCTATCGTTTGTGGAAGATCATGGTTCAGATCTAGAGGAATGTCCCACACCGCCTAGCTAGGTGCTGCATCGGCACAAGATCATGCACCCTTTGGTGCACGTTCGGCCGTACCATCACAGGGATATCTCGGCACTACCTATTCCAAAGCCAACTTGTAACACCTCTCTCTGCTTTCCTTGTTCTCCCAGGTTCAGTATGGGCGTCTGTATCGAGGAAGTGGCCGCTGCGGGCCGCTATCGGAAATACTTCCACATCTTTGCGAACGATTTCTTTACACGATCGATATCTTGTTGAAAAAGTTGGGTGCGGCAGGTTAGGTACGAATTGATTTTATCCAGCTCTCGCGCGGTGATTTGAAACAAACATGTTTTTTGCGTTCTACTACGTATCCGACATTCGAAGGATGTTGACTGTTGGTGTTGGCATGTTCGCTCGCGAACGTAGGAGACATCGTTCAGTTGTGACTCGTCCATTCGTTTGACCCTCTGGGTGTAGGTCCGTGAGCTCCGATTGAGGCAAAATACGATTGCCCTGTGTTTTGGAGAGCTGGCGTCTTTGGTGTGGTTCCTCTCATTGTGCTGTGAGTATCAGTCCTGATGAACGTACGAACAAAATTCATGCTGCATGTTGCTGGGGATCGCCAACAAGCCGATTGCGGAGGGTGTTCATGCTTCGTGTGTGTGTATCCACTATCACGATATACATTTTGGAACCTGTCAGAAACAGGAAATCGACGGAAGACCGACCCGAAGCGGATCAGAACGATATGGGGGCCGTCATGGCGCGTTCAAGTAACCTAAACGGAAAGGTTTGGACCTGGACGGGTGTGTGGTGTACTCAGGCAGAATAGGAGAAGACCCAGCGGGAACAGTTGTACATAATTGAATGTAGCTGTCGTCCATCGTTCCTCTGTTGTTCGTGTTATTGCTACTGCTGCTGCTGCTACTGCTGCTGCTGCTGCTGCTGCTGCATTTTTTCTGTAGGTGTTACTGTTGTTCTTGAGTTTGCTGATGGCGACGTTTTCTGTCTCTCTTTGATGGATCGACTCGTTCGAATTTCTTGGCCTCTCGGACAGCGAACACATAATAGACAGCAATAAATGAGGTGCAGCAGTCCCGGCCCGCTCGTAGGAATTGGTACGTTCGTAAGAAACCGAGGCTCAGATTTTGGACAATTAAGGAAAATGCCCTAAGAAACTGAGAATAATAGCGGCCGACGCTACATGAACTACTATATATATATACAGCAACCGTTGCTCAGAGGTCGGGACAAAATAAGGTTTGAGCCTCGCTCGAGATAGACTAAAAAGATAGATATTTTAAAATAAAGGTGTTTGTGATGAGCGGGCCGACGTTGTACTTCTTCTATGCTCATGTCATCTGTGCTTGGTTTTTATAGCGAAGAACGCTATGGACTCCGAAATACTTCGCGAAAATATCCTTATTTCGTTACGTCGGCGGCAGTTCTGTGGTGTGTGGCATCCATCAGACACTTACTTGTTGTCATGATAGAGACAACTTGTTTTCTTGTGGTTGGTTGCGGTAGGGACCGACACTAGAGAAGAAAGTATTTTTGTTTGGTGTTTGTTGTGTGTCCTTGATGAAGAAAAACAAGCAGTTTTTTTAAATAGGAGAACGAACGGTAGACCATACCCTACCGCTATAGCTGCGTTGTTGCAAATCATCCCTCTGCATGATGAAGTCCGTCCCCGCAAGATGATGGGGGGAGGACTACATACATACAGGTCTTGGAAATGAAAAGAAAGGCCGCGTCGTAGTTGTTACAACGTACCTATCTATCTGTGTACGTACATCGTATCAATCTGTCTACTACACACGCACACTATGTGTTACGTTCCATATTGTTCGGATTTCACTACGAGACTAGACTACTCCAGCTAGCTGTAGATTGACGTTTACGAATATATATATATATAATATATATGCATACATTGACATGTAGTCTTCTATGTGTAGGAGGCAGACAGAGAAGAACGACCCCAACTAATTATTCTTTATGTTCTCCACCGAACATAAAAGAAAGGTTGTTGTTAATGAAGAAGGCGAGCTAACTGGTACGTACGCGTGCACGCACACGTTTTCTATACATTACATGCACATCGCTGATGATTGTTGTCAACATCCCGAGCACCCTACCTAATAATAGCTCTATTTGGTATGGTACGAAGTATAATGCATTTACTCCGTACTTACATATGGATTGCCATGTCGGTGTTGGTGTTCGGTATAAACATACTCCAACCAGTATGTATGATACTCAACGATGAAGTACATACAGCAGTAGAATACGAAGAACTAAAAACTCCCACACACACAACAAACCGCAACGAACAAACTAAAATACCGGGGTCCTCGCAGACATATATACGGGTAAAGAGATATCCTCCTTAGACATAAAAAAATTGATGCGGCGCCCCCTCAGTGCACAGCATTGTACGGCAGACGGCAGAGACAGCCCAACACAAGCAGAGCCTACAAGTAGAGCTTAGCCGTAGCGCCTTGGCCCAGCTGTTGCTCCTGCGAGAAATCATGTTCGCTAGACGATGTACGATGCTTTCTTCCTCTGCCGTACGAAGAGTTAAGCTGCGGCCGCTGGCGGTGCTACTAGCACCTAATTGCCGAGAACTGAGCTCGTCGAACTTGACGAAGAAGCAACAGATCGAGGGGTTCACGATCAAGGACCGGAGGCCTCCACGACCTCGTGTAGCAAAGCAAAAACGGAAGCAGTACCTGGCAGAGCGAAAAGATGCTTTCGAGGCAGAGCAGGAAAAAGCGACGAGTCTTGGTCTGGATTGGGGTATCAGGAGTGCCCTGTGAGTTCAGTACGATCCCTCACACACCAAGCACTGCTGTAGAGTAGTTGTAGGATGATCCCAAACGGTAGGTGCACACGGATGGCAAAGCGGCCGCAATAGCGTGCTGCTGTAGAAGAATGTGTGTTAAGGTAGGCGTGCTTTGGTATAAGGTACAGCACCAAACCTCGTAACACCCTCTCGCCAAAAATTCACGCTGTCCTGCTCTCACACACGTTTGTGTGTCATGCCGGTTTATGTAGGATTCTGGAGCGCCTCCCCGTGATCGTAGAGGAGTACACTGATTGGCAGCGTGACTTCTGGGATCTTCAGACCAAGCAAGCTCACTACGGCGCGAAATTCCCCGCCGAAATGGGCTTCAAGTACGATGACGAGAAGTCTCTGACTATGGAGCAGGTCCTGGAGCAAAGCCCTGTCCCTCTCGCGCCTCGACGGTAAGAGGGTCAGCAAGCACGCATGCCTTGGATTCGAAGATCCAAACTCATGCTGTTGCTGGACTTTGGATTTGAACAAGCTGTATTTCGGAGGTGACGGATGGTGACGGTTGTTAGCACACTCGAACTTCGAGTTTACTTGGTATACATTCACAACAGCAGTGCCCTGATAAGGCAGTAGCCTTCGCAGAGTGTTTCGACTAAGTAAGGCCGTGTTTTAACGAAGCGCCAACAAGGCCGTACATTAACGAAGTCCCAAAAATAAAAATAAAAAAGTAACAATCAAGATTGAGATCTGATCGGTCGAATATCTGCCACCTCCTGACGACGCCCTTTGATTTTATGAAAGTTCCTCTGTCTGGGAAGAAGTCCCCGGGGGACTTTTTTTTATCAAAATCAAAATCAAAGAGGCAAGGAGTTCAAGACTTCGAAGGCTTGGAGCACCTGCGGCGAGGCCGCTGCAAAGCAAGTGTACGACACGACCTGCTGTACACTGCTCATAGAAGGGCTATCGGCACCCTACCACCGACACCATGGCCGTTATTTGTAGCCAGAAGACTCTGCTAGCCGGCAAGTCAAAAACCGGGCCGGCTCGTTGGGCGCTCGAGGAGGAAATGCCGATCGTGACAAGCGGTGCACGGACTGACGATCACAACAGGGCTGCGCGGCTTTTTCGGGCTGTTCCGTGCGGGATAGGGTAGTTGCAACCTTTTTTCTCCGCACTCACGATACCCCAAGGCATCTAACCTTCTACGAGAAAATGGTGGGTAGAGCTACCTCCCGTCGCGTGGCATTGCTTATGCTGTTGCTTACTCCTTCGAAGAGGTATCGCTGAAAAACTAAACTGTGAGCAGACATTCGGCGCGAACTTGAACCAACCGCTCTCTGACGTGGATATTTTAGGGTCAACCAAAACTTTTTTCCCTAAATTATACGCACGATACCCCACGGTAGCAGACCTTGGGCTTGAAAGATGGAGCAGAGAGGTACCTCCCGCCGCGTGGCGTTGCTGTTGCTGTTGGTGCCTCCTTCGAAAAGTTATCGGTGGATATCACAACCCGTGGCGGCCCAAAACACCGAACCTGAAGACCGCTTGCGACCGTTGGCATTCTTGCTTCAGTGCAACCTTTTTTGTCCGGCGCATTCGGCACCTCACGGCGCCAAACCTTGACATCGCCCAACATCCCATGGTACCAGCTCCCTCCGGATACCGTTTTTGAGTCAACTCGTTCTTTATTTGGCGAGACATCGGCTAACACGTGAACAGAAGAGCGCAAAACCTACCCTAGAAAATCACCTCTTCGCTGCTGGCTCTTCCCCTGGCGCCAGGTCTTTTTGATTTTTCGCCCCATCTGTCTCCTATCCATGTTAACATGGTCGACCCCCTTTTTCAGTTTTCCACGATAACGCATTTTGATTTGAATTTTCGGCCCATTTCGATTTTGATGTTCGACGCTTCGTTAATACACGGCCTAAACATGTTGGATAAAGCATGCAAATCAGGGATAAGGTGGGTTACGGCTTGAGTCTGCGTACCCCCTTCCTGGTCTATTTCCTCATATAACACACCGCTGGGGTTCATCCTGATCCTTGAGCTAGAGCTGCATGAAAATGGCTTAACACTGGCTTCTTCGTCGAGAGCAGCTCTTCAAGTTTTGAGTGTTGCTGCTGCTGCTGCTGCTGCTCCTTGCTGTCGACGCACACCCTCACATCACGAACGGAAGCAAGGACTCTGCTGCGCTGCTGAACTTTGCACATTGCTTGTTTTGGTGTGGTTTGTTAACCCGGTCCGTGTATGGTCTTGCGAGGCGTGGGATGACATTTTATCGATTAGTCGGTTCTGAGCGGTCTTGACACGTGGCATGTACTGACATTCATCTCCTACGACATGACCTCGCTAGCTGTGTTAGACTTTGGGAGCAGCGCTTTGTAAAGGCTTTCTGTGACTAACCATTCCGCTTCAGGCGAGACATCTTAAAGCGCGGACTGACATTTGAACTACGATGCATGTTTGCCCCGCCGCCTTCTGCAGGTGTTTGCTGCGAACAAGTGTAGTTGTGCGGCTAGGTACGCTAGCTCCTAGTTCAATTCCCACCAACTGTAGCTAGGGAATTCGTCCAGGTTTTCCGGTATTCTTCAGATCAGTCCTCGACGCGTTGAACCAGGCGGGTTTTGGTGTGCATCAAATCGCGATATCTACGATGAAATGTTTCTTCAATCCCGTTACTCTGAGGCGGCCGAGTCCGCAGGCTTTTCTAACATCACGGTTAATAAAAACGAACTTGAGCATTTCCGGCAACATTTGCAAAGAGTGCAAGATGCACATGAGCTTGACGTTGCGTGAAGACTTTGGTGACTGAGTCCCTTGGTATTGTGATTCCTTTGGGGTATAATCGTCTTTTTTTCCTCCTCAGGACTCCTGCTGACGAGTCGAACGACCGCACGACTTTGGATCGGGCACTTGACGAGCGGCTAGTGTTGATCGTCAAGCCTAGAAGTGGAGATGAGTGGCGTCTTCCTGAGAGTGCATGGGAGGTGAGAGGGTCTGTTCTCTTGTAACAATTTGTTTATCGGTACCATTGCTTTGAGTTTTGAGCTAAAATGACCAATCACGTGCTGCGCGTTGTGTTTCCAAACAATGTCCACCTCCAAATCTGTGTTATGCACAGCGGCAACGAACATTTTTTTTCTACTCAGTATATTGAGGAAAAAACGAATACACTCACAGAAAGACTACCCATTTGAGATTTACCCACAGTCGAACGGGATGTGGTGGAGTCTTTTCAGTGAGTGGAGGAAAACCGGCTGGTTACTGGACTTATTTCGAGTCTATTTACAGTCCATACACTGATGATTTATATCAGTGATGCCAGCTGGTGCTAGGTACAAAACACATCTGCATAGGTAACCTATATTTTACCATACATCCTATGTAATTCTCTACTGGGTCAACGACAAAATATCGGGGAGAATACCCCCGTTGTGTCGTGTATTGTAAAATGTAACCTTCACAGGGGGCACGGCACAGTGTCTAATGACAGCTTGCTGGTTTGTTAGATTTTAGGAATAATATTGTTGTAAAAATCATGGAAGATGGAACGAAGGCTACCGCAGTAAATCACTCGTTTTTCAAATCTACAGATGTTTTAATTTCACCGGCAGCAGTTGTTTCCCGCCGTTTTTGGAATTTACAGAACGCATTTGATCCTTTGGGGTAACGTATCAATCATCAGTGATGTTTACAGTAGATGAGAATCGTACACCTGGTGCATGGTAGGTAGGGCATAGCAGTCAGTTTGTATCATGGTAGCTTGTTTATCTACATTTTTTTGCACAGCTTTTCATCCACAAGAAAATGTCGCCCAGTAGTAATTGGCAGACACGTTTGGGCACGTGGTGAACAACTGAATTAAACTTCCTAGTTGTCTATCTTTGTGATAGCTGTTGGCACCATACAGCCCCAAGAGGCACGGAAGCACGGCGATTTTCTAGTTTTTATTCGGTACAACCGTACCCTGGCTCTCAGATCTTGTCATTCGTCTGCAGACAAGTAACTGTTCTGGTGCCCCACAGACAACTCATGGCACAGCTTTGTTCATCCGATCGTCGCCTGCAGGCATGTAATTGTTGCGGCGGCGGTTGACAACGAGTGCATACCGTATATGACACAAGATAACACACCCCCTGGACCGATTTTCAAAGCTCGATTACTCCACGACGAAGAGGATGCATAAACGAAACAATACGTTTTCGAACAGCTCTCGACGAGACGGTTCCAACGCCGCCGTTTTCGGCGCTGTGACTCTTCCTGCTGTTGAGAAATTGAGCTTTGAAAATCGGCCAAGGGGGTGTGTTATCTTGTGTCATATACGGTATTCGTCACTCGTCAATTGTCGTTAGCTGTACGCACGGTACTGTTGCTGTTAAGACTTGAGTTTTTTTGTCCAGCAGTTCAAATATCTGTAGGATATTACCACCAAATGTGGTATTGGTAGCTAGTGTATTTTTTGTACCACGTGAATGTTTGCGGCAGGGCCAAACGGTGTCATGTTTTGGGTGCAGTTCAGAAAATGAATGGCGGATGTTGCTGCTGTTAGGTATCGTTATCTAAAGACAAACACGTGTTCATTCTGTGTTATGTTTGTTCTTGCTGCCAGCCGGGAGAGACTATCCGCCAAACAGCAGAGCGAACTGCACAACAACTGCTACTGAAATCTGCCACTCGGAAGGGTCAGCGGGACGATGTGGCTCAGCTCCACTTCGTTGGAAACTGTCCGGCTGGCTGGTTCTGGCGCACAGCAGATGAAGAACAAGGGGGGCAACATGAGAAGTTTGGAGACAAGGTGACTGGCGATCCTGCGTTGTGATGCGACATCAACGCGCACAGCTAGAACGTCGCCTCCGATCCCGATGTCTGCTGATGTATTGTGGGAGAACTGAACCAGCTGCCGACCGCCTCTGGGTGTGAATTGTCGACGTTCGCTCGCCAAGTGACGTACGTTGCATGGAATCACGACCTTGTTTGAAGATAGAGCAGTGTTTGGAAAGATTATCATGGTGATAAGGTCGCGCGCATCCCAGTGGTGTGGGGAGAAAGACGAACAGGCTGCTTGCGTCGAGAAGTTGTATCCACTGTAGTGTTTGATTCTGAAATCAGAACACCCGAAAACGTGGGACCAGGCTGTGTTTATTTGCGTTGCCACCGAGGAGGCTCTTGTAGTTTGTTTGCGTCTGGCGAAACACGTGGCTCCTGTGGCGTCGTCTCGGGTCGGGACCACGAGAAACCAGCAACGTTGACCTTCATTTCTGTCGCTGTTGCTCAGGTGTTCATCAACCGGGTGCAGCTCATTTGTGGGCAACCAACTGTGGTCAAGAGGCAAGCAGCGGAACACCTTTGGGTGACCAAGCATGAGATCGGCGAATACCTCGGGGAATCCATGGGCGTGTACTTGAAACATTTGATCTAGAACGTTGAGAGAAGCCAAATTTTGATTACATGGGACATTAGACACTCGTGTTTCTCAGGACAAAGTTGAACGACAATCTACTGCTGAGGGAACGCGCATGTGTGCGGCGTCCCTGCAGGCTTTTCGTACAATCGCAAAATTGGCGCTGACGACCTCTCGATGCATTTGAAGCTTGACTGCTTGTGAGACGTTGATACCAAGGGTTTGAACTTAAATTTTTCCAAAGGGATCAACAACAGAGTTCAAAGAACGCTCGAGAAGACTCCTGTTTTTGTGGTCAAATCGACCTTCCTAATCTCGACCGTCCATTTTCATTTTTCTACGATGAGCCGTCGCGTCTTGCCAAGTATGAAATAGTTACATCGTACTTTCTTGGAGAAGGTGTTTCTTTCTTTCGTTTTCATTCGATCGAACCTGTTCGGTTGTACCAACCGTGAGGTCTGGCTAGTTTGTTTCGACGAGATGACAAAGACCCACAAACGTATGAAAAACTCGACATCAAACATCACGATGTCTTGATTTCTTCTTGTCGTGCCGTACTTTCGTTTCGAAAAGAAAGTATTTCTTTCCTTCCGTCGGCGGAGTTCAATACACTGTCCCACGAGTGACACCGCATAGCATCTTCACGCATCTTTGTTCCACAAATGTCTGGAAAAGAGGTGAGTGTTTTGATTTGCGTGCAGACCACGACCATGCAATTTATCATCTTGAGGGATTCATCCCATTAATGGGGTTGAACCATGCCATTCCTGTTACCGTTTTGTTCCGTTTTTGTTCACAAAAATTTCAGTAAAGATTAGTGCAAACTATCTTTCATGGGCTTCAACAATCGAGCAATCAAGAGTAACGGAGACTCTTCGTGGTCGGCTGCTCCATATACATACGATGCATCAGGCATGTACATCAGGTGAAGCTATTTGTACGGAATATGCGTGTCTACAGTTAGTTTCAGGAAAAACTTGGCCATTTCTCCGAATTAGCCCGATCGATCTCGGTTGCACAGCAGTCACCACTGTTGGACATAATGGTGGATACGAACCGACCGTGGAAGGAGCGTGTACAGTACGACGTGGAGAATCAACAGTCTTTTTTAGTTGTTGCGGGAAAGCGTCGACTTTTACCACGTTCCAACAGGCAAAACAAAAAACACATCGTGAGAAACACGTTTAGTATATCCTTGGATTCGCACCAGTCTCCAAAATCTTTTGACGTTGAAATGGGTGTGCATGCCACCGCAGCGGATAACAGCCAAATCTACGGTATCCCTGGCAACCTTGCATAAAAGCATCAACTCTACGACTCTACGGGACACTACTTGGCAAGGATGCGGGGGAAACGTCTACGGAAGAGCACGAAACGCCGACGAAATTCGCTCAGTAACGGTAGGTGTCAGGCTTGAACGGGCCTTCCTTCTTGACCGAAATGTAGTCCGCCTGCTCGGTCGACAACTCGGTGAGCTCCACCTGGAGAGACTTGAGGTGCAAGCGGGCGACCTTCTCGTCGAGCAGCTTCGGCAGTACGTACACGTGGCCACGCGCGTACTTGCCCGATTCCTTCTCCTTCCACAACTCAAGCTGGGCCAGTGTCTGGTTTGTAAATGACGCGGACATGACGAACGAGGGGTGCCCAGTGGCGCATCCCAAGTTGAGCAGACGCCCTTCGGCGAGGAGGATGATCGCGTGACCGTCGTCGAAGATGAACTTGTCCACCTGCGGCTTGATGTTGAGCTGCTTGGTGGTGGCGACCAGGCCGGCGAGGTCGATCTCGTTGTCGAAGTGGCCGATGTTGCCCACGATGGCGTTGTTCTTCATCTTCGCCATGTCCGTGGCCATGATGATTCCTTTGTTCCCGGTCGTGGTGATGAAGATGTCACCGGTTTTCACGACGGTGTCGAGCTTCACAACACGGAAGCCTTCCATCGCAGCCTGACGCAAGACAAATGTTGATTGTTGTGGCGGGACGTGATCATGCAGGGGCAAGTCAAGAAAGTCGGGATGCCCTTAACTCGGGTGGATTACACGCTGAACTGACTTTCAAGTACACGTGCACGGCTGGCCATGAACAATTTGTCTGATGCACCAATGCGATCGGTTGACCAACTACGTGGGCTTCAGGGACGGTCTTGAGGCGGCCTCCTTTGCGAAAAAAACTTAGATTACCACATGTCGACACGGGATTTATCACCAACCCGAAAGTCCAAGACCGCTTTTTAGCCACCGATGCGACCGGTTTAGCTTGATGTCAAGTTAACAACATTTCGGAGTTTCATGGTTGTTTCGTCTCTTTCGATTCCACGAGAAAATATCCACAGCGTCTAACAAATAAAAGGACGTTCCAGTGAAACCCGTAATACTGCTGTAACAAAGCCATGTTACGAAAACTGCATCAATCGCTACGTCGATATCCACGACCACATCGATGTATGTTTCAGTAACATGGTCTTGTTCGTGTTCAGCGGACGGAGTGCTGTACTCGGAGTGTTGACAATCGAGGGCATGCACCGCAGGATGCGTGGGAAGGGGGGCTCGGGAGGAGGAACCGGAATGAAACTCCTGTATGTACCACATGGCAGAAATGCTGCGCGGGTGCGAGCGCTGACTTATGAAGTGACAAAAAAAAAAAAAAAAAACGACCGACCGAGTATTTTTTTGCATCGGGAATCGCGACGGTGCGCACATCTGTGAACAGTTTCACGTTGGCATGATCGACAACGAGTAATGCCATGCCGTTGTAATACACTTGGCCGCGTCAAGGCCACACGCAGCCGGCTACTTGCACACATATTTATATACCAAGCTGGAGACATCTCTAGGGAAAAACACGCGCCCCTCCTTGCTACTTCGTACTTCACTAACCTGAAGAGCGCAGATGGGGTCCACCTCCGTGACGTACACGATGGCACCGGCAGCTTTCATGGCCTGGGCGCATCCCTTGCCGACGTCACCATAGCCGCAAACGACGGCGGACTTCCCGGCGATCATGACGTCGGTCGCGCGGCAGAGACCGTCGGGGAGGGAGTGCTTGCAGCCGTACAGGTTGTCGAACTTGGACTTGGTGACCGAGTCGTTGACGTTGATGGCCGGGAATAGAAGGCTCTCGTCCTTCTCCATCATGTACAGACGGTGTACACCGGTTGTGGTTTCCTCCGAAACGCCCACGCAGCGAGCCGCCAGTTCGTGCCACTTCCTGGGAGTCTTCGGCAGCTCGCGCTTGATGATGGTGAGGACGATCCTGAACTCCGCGTTGTCTCCTGCCGACTCCGGGTCGGGGAGAGTGCCGTCCTTCTCGTAGGCATTCTCGGCCTTGAAGCCCTCGTGGATCAGCAGGGTCATGTCGCCGCCATCGTCAACGATGATGTCGGGTCCGGTGCCCTTGTCGTCCGCCTCCGGCCATGTCAGAGCGCTGAGGGTGCACTCCCAGTACTCCTCAAGCGACTCGCCCTTCCAGGCGAACACTGCGGCAGATTCGTCGCGTGCGATGGCTGCTGCGGCGTGATCTTGAGTGGAGAAGATGTTGCACGAGCACCAACGGATGTCCGAGCTTAGCGCCTTCAGCGTCTCGATCAGGACAGCCGTCTGGATGGTCATGTGCAGGGATCCAGACACACGGGCGCCCTCGAGCTGGCCAGGGAACTCCTCACGGCAGGACATGAGCCCGGGCATCTGCAGGGAGGAGATTCAAGGGACGTGGCGCAAAAGGGTTTATGTGCATCTTTACAAGGACGTGGCAAGGGCGGGTGTGAAATTGCATATTTCGCGCACCAGAGATTTCGGGGCGCGCAGCATGCGCAGAATGCGCTAGGATAACCTCGCAAAACTGTGCGCGTAAGGCAGGAGTGGACCCAATGGGTAGCTGCTCTCGCGTGGAAACGCGAACAGGCCCTACCCACACATCGCCATTGCGGTATGCATATGCTGATCCAGGTCAAGGGAACAAGGATTATTATGGGCAGCTCGTGTCCACGAAATCGCTCGCTCTCTTACCTCATGTTCAGCGATATCGATCTCGCGGCGACCGAAGTCGGCCAGCGAGATGTCAGCAACACGGTAGTCTCCCTCGCTCATGGTAACCGGATTGTCGAGTCGATGTAGAGTGTGTGTTGGCCTCGGCGGGAGAGAGTGATGCAGGCAGGCGCATGTGGTGCAGCCTTTCGGGGGAAACCCGGACAAAACTAGGGTCCCTCCGTAGATAGACAAAACAATGCCGCTGTGCCCCCTCCTGCTCGAGTTGCTCGAGCTCAGCGCGCTGTGCGCTCGTGTGCTGCTGGTCTGCCGGAGTGCATCTGCTCATGTGCTGGTGTTCCTGATTGGTTTGTCCTGCCTTTCCGTGCCAGGACGAAGAATGAGTCTGCTGACTGGCATAAAGACAAGGCTTGGGCTCGTCGGGGTTAGTACGAATGCCACATCCCGTGGTGTTGCCCGTGAACGTTTATCTATTATCTTGGCACATCAGCGAGGAGACGTGCTGCTCGAGGGTATCGACCTCAAGGCATTACAGGCAGAGGTGTATGAGTGCGTGAAGGTGGGTCCCAAGACAGAGAGCAAACACGTACCGATCGTAAGTCCTATCACCTCTGAGATTTGACATCGATAAAGCAGACCCGCGTACCACGCACGCACGCGTGACGTCTCCGATCGTAGCATACCTTTCGTTCTACTGCTGTACATGCAGCAGTATCAAACACCATCACGTGAAGGTCAATTGATGTCTCTCCGAATCTCCGCAGGGTTTTTGCTATCCCGAGATACCTGCTGGATAATGACTGGCCTCATGCATGTATTCATAGAAGTGTATACAATTCATTACTTCTATACAATGCATTGCCGTTTGCCCACCACTGCTTCCCCTAATTGATTTTATTCATCGATTCTCTGTTTTACTCGAAAAGTTCGCATCCTATTGGATTTGCATGGTCTCTTGTTCCTTGATGACGCGATTTACGTATGCATATATACAGCAGTAGTTCCGAGCACAGGTACTGATGCAGGTTGGTGTTGGTTCCGCGGTATCCTTGAATAACCCATTCTGTCCTTTCGCACGCACACCGTGCAGCCAGAATCAGACCCAATCGCACGCTAAACAAAACGGCAAAGAGTCGGCATAAAGCCGCGATAGTGCATGGAGTCGAACGAAACACCTGACGTCGGCGTGGTAATAACGCACTAAAACGCGGGTAAGTCAAATTCCATACAAAGCGTCCGTAGTTTTTGGGTTCCATTGGCCACCGTGCAGCACGTGGCGCCCCCTCGCGAAAAATAGTAAAATCCCCGTTCGGCCGAAAGCCTGGGGCCGTCACCCTTTTATCGACTTGGTTGGTTTTCAAGGCCATGGACGAAAAAGGAGGCTGTCTTGCGCATCCACCACAAGAACTAGACAGCACAGCAGTGCGAAAGGAAGCGAGCTCAGGCCTGATATGGGGTTGCCCACTGTTTTTTGTACAATACAGTGACACCGACAACTGACTCCTTCCACGGCTGCGGGCTGGACCCTTGCTTGTTGTGCGTAAAACTCTCGTGGATCCACCGGGATATCGCACCCCAGAAGTACATCTCTGTGGATGCGAGCAAGCCTATCCAGCTTAGTGTGAAACAAGATGGAGCCGTGGATGTCTTCGAGATGCAGGTGAAATATGCATAGCTCTTGGTGTAGCGTTCGCTACTTCCCGCGCAGTGCGTAAAAAAAACGCAGTGCATTAAAGCAGCCCTCTTGTACCGTGGGCATCCAAAGAGAATCATTGGGTAAACCGAATCCAGCTTAATTTGCTGCATTTCTGTCTTTTACATGTTTTTAATCTACGCGCAGGTTCACCTAGCGGGCGAGTCGTCTCAGCGAAAACGCGACGTGAAGCCATGATCTGCATCACGTCACGCCGACGGACGGCCACCGGTGCTTTCGTATTAATATTGTCCGATACAGGATCACACGTGTTGGTAACTGTGTGGAATGGCTTATGTAAAAATTTGGATAGCACTGCACACCTTGCGCCCCCAAAACATTTAGTGTGCCATTCATTTAGAGGGGTGGCTGGTAGCCTAGTGGGGTGACCCGATTACTTTCCGAAGGTGCAAGCCTACTCGTGGAGGCAGAAGCATGCATCGGTTGTTTTCCTTTGCCATCCTCTTTCCCCCTTGCTTCGACATTGCGGGCACACGTGTGGCCAGGGCGTCGGAGCAACATGAATGCGATGTTGCAAGCTTCTCGCCCCTTCCGTTCCATTGGTCCTTGGAAAGAGTCACGAAGTTTCTAAGCGAAAACTTCGTTGAACAAATCAGTTATTTGCAAAGCGTTATGTTTGACGGAAAACTGCGGGCCTCTGCCGAACATCGCCAGATCTTGAAGGTCGGATACAGCTGTAAACGTCCCATCTTGATCGATCGATGGGATGAACGCTTCGATCATGGACAAGCCGTCTGCCACTCTGTTACAAGGCCTGTATTCCACCTGTAAGATGAGGGGCACCGCCAATGCAAGGGTTGGTAGGGCTAAAGGAAAAAAAGTCTAGGTGACGATGCGAGCCCCTTGTTAGGAATCAATCACCCATGCGTGGCTCGCCTGATTATCCAGGCAGGGCGCTCTCTCGTATCGTACGAGTGTCAGGATGTGTGCACGTTTACACATCGATCGACCGCGTACATTCGCCGCCTGTACCAGTCACCAGCCCAACCCCTCAAAGAGGAAAGATCTAATTCTCACCTCTAACGCCAAGCCCCTGAACACGGCACCTTTCTTGCACTTGCCGACACGCACTACAAAATCGCCTAATCGATAGGCATGGCCCTGGACGATGTAAGCGCGAACAATACACAGGGCATCGAGCATATGGGAATCCTTGTCACACCCTGTTACATTTCCCTGCTAGGAGCGGGAAGCAGCGCATCTCAAGACGATAGCCGATCCGAAAAGACGTGACAGTCACTCCAGGTCGTGCCAAACGGCGAAGCACGCGTCTTGTGTCTTTTGTGGTGCGTATCGAAGGAGGAAAGTGAGGCAATAAACCAAAGTAACTACGCTCCAGTGTGACCCCGGCTGATCTCTCATAATAAATCGGATGACCACACACACACTTGCCTCTATTGAAGCCTTGATCCTCGTCACCAACCCTGCTCGTGCTGCAGCACCCATCGCCTCAAGAGGATCTTCCCCCTCCAAGACGTGAGTCAGCTTTCCTTCGGGCACAGCTGCGTCTGCAATTCCAGTACACTAGGCTTCAGCGGTGTATGTCTGGACCATGCTGGCGCGTAACAAAGCTCAAGCTCACTTCTAATACTTGTACATAATTCCGAATTGCATTGGGAAACTCGCAGTTCAAGCGGACCCCAACTGCGAAACGAGAGATGAACTCACACGAGGGTTCTTCCGCCATCTCCTGCACCACCATCACTCGAGTGCCACGGTCGTTCCTCCTAATACAGAACTGTCTTGGTGATTGCCATCGGTTTGAGAGGAACAAGCAGTGGACAACACGTGGTCAGTAAAAACACAGCTGATGGTACCATAGCCCAAACGAAGCGACATATGCGAGCACGCAGTTCGCGGAGGAGGCCAGTGTGCTTTGGTGCAAACGGCAAAACAGGTGCGAGCCTGTCCGAGCGCACCTGCTTGGCGAAAGGGTACTCGATGCCCTCCTCCTTCTTCATCCCCACAAAAGGAGCGGCTAGGTTTACGCCGTGCTTCATCTCATTCGTGCTTCCCTTTTTCGTCCTCTTTTTTAGCTTATACGTCACCTGTGTGACATCAATTCCGAGGGATCGGTGGGAAGACGCGAGATTCGTTGATTTGCCAATATCAAGTGCGGCAACTTTGCGCTACAAAGCAGCTCGACTGTCGCTGCATGAAAGAGCCCGCACCTCGACAACCCAGCGGGACAGGTACTCTGCCCCGAGGACTTGAACGATTTGATGCTCAAGATCTTTCTCCGTCTGGACGCTTTCCTCCTGGGGTATGGATTTTCCAAATAGACTGCAGTGGGAACGATCAAAGCGGTCGGGGAGAGAAACCAAACAGTGCCTACGTAAGTGATGAATGTTGAACTCATGGGAATTGATGGATAGATGGAGGGCTCCATTCAACTTGCTCCATTGGCGGGTGGGGGCTCGTGGCTGCACCAACTTGTTTGCCGATGTGCATATCATATGACAACTCACACATTTTTCGCCCCTCAAAGACACATACAACGGCGAACACACAATGTATGCATCAACAACAAATCCTGTCGCACACAATTATCTATCGTGCTAACTTATGTGCACGAGTTCAACTCCCACACTTGAGGAATCTTGTGTTCGGATATAGCCTCCCAACAACACACAAGGAAACGCCCCCCCCCCCCGAACGACCCCCCCCTCCCCATTCTAGACAGAAGTGGGTTGGCGCTGTTGGCAAAGCGCTGTAAAACACGCCACCCCAAATACAGCCCCCATAGTATGCGCTACCAAAGACGCGGACGCATGGACGAGTGGAGGTGAGAATAGCGGTTTACTGAAACCCCACGGGTTGAGTGATGTTTGCGATTGCCGGACACACAGACGCGTTGAGTGAGGATAGCTGCATACTGAAACCTCACAGATTGATTGGTTTTTGAGATTGCCAGTCACATGAACGCGTTGAGTGAGGATAGCTGCATACTAAAACCTCACAGGCTGATTGGTGTTGGAGATTGCCGGACACATAGACGAGTGGGGATAGCTGCATACTGGAACCTCACAGATGGATTGGTTTTCGAGAATGCCGGATACACAGACGCGTTGAGTGAGGATAGCTGCATACTGAAACCTCACGGGTTGAGTGATGTTTGCGATTGCCGGATACATAGACGCATTAAGTGAGGATAGCTGCATACTCAATTCTCACAGGTGATTTGTATTGGAGATTGCCGGACACATAGACGTGTTGAGTGAGGATAGCTGCATACTGACACCTCACAGATGGATTGGTTTTCGAGAATGTCGGATACACAGACGCGTTAAGTGAGGATAGCTGCATACTGAAACCTCACAGATGAATTGGCTTTTGAGATTGCCAGACACATAGACGCGTTGATTGAGGATAACTGCATACTGAAACCTCACAGGTTGAGTGATGTTTGCGATTGCCGGACACACAGACGAGTAAGGATAGCTGCATACTGGAACCTCACAGATGAAATGGTTTTTGAGATTGCTAGACACATAGACGCGTTGATTGAGGATAACTGCATACTGAAACCTCACGGGTTGAGTGATATTTGAGGTTGCCGGAAACATCGACGGGTTGAGTAAGGATAGCTGCATACTGAAACCTCACGGGTTGAGTGATGTTTGCGATTGCCTGACACATAGACGGGTTGAGTGAGGAAAGCTGCATACTGAAACCTCACAGGTTGATTTGTATTGGAGATTCGGAAACATGGACGCGTTGAGTGAGGATAGCTGTAAACTGAAAATCCACAGTAGCATAGGGGGGGGGCAAATCGAGAATGCAGTACACATAGACCCGATCCCCAACTCGTACCCGAACCCCCCTGAAAAATAAAGGCAATGCGCCCCCCCACACACATTCTACCTCCCCCACAGGATGAGGGTACAGTACAAAGCAAGCACAAGCTTACCTGAGGTAAAATGCCTATTGGTACGGCATTAAAAACATGCTTCAAGTCCCCCATTGGGCGGTGGAGGACTTAGAGCTAAGACACCCCAAAACTCTCCGGCGTGAGATCCAAAATGGATCGGACGGTGGAGGGAGGGGGGGGGGGTGTTCGTTGCTTGAAGTGGATCAATAAAACATAGAGCCATCAAAGCAAAGCTTATTACTCACGTCGAGCAAGCTGAACGACCCAATTGTTGGCCAATCTTTCGGCAGATACGTCTACTCGGGAGCGTAAGTGAGGTAGCAACCCATGGTGGAGCGTACATGAGAAGCTGGACGTTGGTGTACGCTCCATCCCGGCGTGTGAGTAGGGTCTTAGGCTTTGCAAGTCGTCCCTGAACTTATTGTGGTGAAAATGACCTCCCAGGAGGAAAGTAGCTTGTACCGCGGGACTTCGGAGATGATAAATTGGGTGGTCGGGGGACGTCTGGGTGCTTACTAAGCAGAACGCCCGGTACGAGACTTGGGTACTTGTGCCAGGAGGTGTGAACTTGGATCTAGACTACGAGCGTATGTTGGAGGCGCTATTTAGCGTCTGTAATCCGGCAACAGAACTGAAAGGAACCACAACCCCCATCGGACACTCGGGTTGGGAAGGCCGAGTATTCCGTATACCTTCCTGAAAAAACACGAAAAACAAGTGGCCACGGTCCAGTTGCTGTAGAGATCATGAGGATGAAGAAGCCGGGAGAATGGAAGCAGAAACTGTGGAAGGGAGACAGGTTGCAGCTGCTGCTCTTTGGGATTCCAAGGGACATGACGAGGAAAGAGTTCAAGAGCTCTTGTGACAGGGAGGGACTGCACTGCCTAGCAAGGGGGGAAGTAGGCAGAGAGCATGAACATTTCCGGGTGAAATTGACCAAGGGAGACAGCCAAGAGTGCTTGGGGGTTGATATCGAGAAGCTGTCGAACTACGTAAGGAAGTTTGGATGGAGGGTTTGCGTCGCGAACATGATAGAAACAGAGAAGGTAAGGAGACAAGATGCGAGGGCGATGGAGGCGAAGAAGGGACCGGGCGGGGGAGGCGAGCAGGCACGTCAGAAGAACGCCGAGAAAAAGCGGAAGGCGATCGATAGAGTGCCCCAAATCTCCAATAGGGAAAAGCATAGCCTGAGAGTGGGGTCGTGGAACGTGTGCGGGTTCGCAAGGAGTGAGCGCAAGCGGTTGGAAATAGTGGACCAAGTAGAACAAAGCGATCTAGAGTGTACGTGGGGATCCTGAAGATGACGTGGGAACTGAAGGATGGGGACGTGGTAAGCGAACTAATACCGGTGGGTAGGGAAGGCAAGAAAGGGCTTAAGACCCGAAGAAAAGGGGGGAGGGGGGAGTCGGATTCCTGGTCAAGGAAAACTTGTTTGACGTGGTGGAAGTAGTGGTGAAAACGGAGTTCGAGGAAAGCCTTTGGCTTAAGATACCTGGGGAGCGGGGTGAGAAAGATTTGTTTCTAGGGAACGTATACGTACCACCGTCGTCGAAGAAAGTCGCAAGCAAGGCGCAGGAGAACTTTGGACAAATTGGGGGAAGTGTCCGGAGGTTCAGTAGGAAGGGAGAAGTTGTCATGGTGGGCGATTTCAACTCCAGAGTAGGGAAAGCTTCCAGTAGAGGACACCCCATCGGGCAGCGCGGAGGAGACAAAGTGAATGACAACGGAGTGAGGATGCTTGAATTCTTGGGAAGCAACGAGCTGATGGTGTTGAACGGTAGGAGGGAATGCGATAAGCTGGAGTTCACCAGGCAAAGGGCGGTTTGCAATGAATACTCGATCCTCGAATACATCCTAGTAGATAGGAGGAGCACACAGATCCCAGAGCTGCACGTAAGTCCGATAGATATAGGTTCGACCGACCATTTCCTCATATGGGCAAACATCGACCGATCTAGAAAGACGGAGAGTAAGAAACAGAGGAAAGTGTTCCGGTGGAAAGTAGAGCGTTTGGGAGATGAGGGCACACGGGATGAATTCCAAAAAGGACTGGCTGGTAGTGTAGAACCCTTCAGGAAACTGCTGAGAAGCGTCGAAGACAGACAGGTAGACGTACAAGAAGCAGTGGACAGGGTGGTTGAAGGATGGGAGTCCATAGTGAACACAACAGCAGAGAGTGTAGTGGGAAAGAAGGTGGTACGATGTGACGTATCGGTTAAGGGGGTGGTGACAACCTATCTGGGCGGTGGAAATAAGGATTCATACTAAACCCAAGATAATAAGGCCCGACATATAGAAAAGCAACTCCCGGTGGTTTTTTTTTCAATCTTAGGCATGATATCGATAGAGGACACTTATAGCACCGGTACGTGTGTGTTGGCGCGCGAAGATCTGCTGCTGGCGCGGAGATATCGTCGGTCGCAGCAGTCGCGGGACTGTCCGCAAAATTGGCCAACTTTTTTTCGTTTATCGCGGCTGTGCTCGCCGCTACGGGCCGCAACCTGTTGAACTGCGGGTCCTCAGCAGTAGCTAGTAGTGGGTATCAGCTACTGCTGTAGACCCGCACTTCAGGAGTTTGGGGTCCGTGGCGGCGAGCACAGCAGTGGGAGACACAGGGTGTCGGTCAATTTGCGGAGATTCGAGGCCACTGCTGCGACCCTCGATATCACCCCGACAGCAGTGGATTTGAGGGTACCAACGCACACATGCTGGTGCCATAGGATGTCCTCTAGTGGTATCAGGTCTGAAACCGCTTATCCTCCCAAGCATGACCATATTTAAGCGTCCGCCGTTATGGCTCTTTTGACTTGATTTTAGACTGGGGGGAAAAATTGTCTTGATTTTAGATTTAGGGGGGTGGTATCCCACGTGATTGGTACCCAGAAACTAAGCCTTCACTGCCGCCCTACGCGAGAACCAACGGTTTATTTCGTGCCCAGCGCCTTCCTATTGGTCTGGGGTATCCTGTTGTGTGATTTCTGGGTGCTCGTTCGATCTATTTCGAAACAGTCAACGCCCAAATAGGTTGTCACCACCCCCTTCAGTGGTGGGATGACGAGCTGAAAGAAGAAATAGGGGAACGTAGAGAAGTATTCAAGCAGTACAGAAAAGGGGTTGTGACACTGGCTCTTTTTCCCATACGTTATTCCTGTACAAAGAAAGAAAACAACCTTCTCGCCACCTGAGTGAGGGGTCTGAGGAGAGTTGAGAAAAGTACAGGGTCGAGAGGAAACAGGTGAAGGGACTATTATAGTGAAAAAGAAGAAAAAGTGAATTTGGGACGAAGTAGTGCAGAAGGCCCACGGAGGCCTGGAGGGGAACACCAAGCAGATGTGGAAAGGGATTAGTGGGATGGTAAAAAAGACCGCGCAAGGGGGGGATACAGGGGTAGCAACTTTGCGAGGTGTGAACGGTGGACTAGTCAGCAGTGAGAAGGGAAAACGGAAAGTTCTAGCAGGACACTACAAGAGAGTTGGAGTGCCTTCGGAGAATGAAGCTTTCGACAAAGTGTTTAAGAAGGAGGTGGACGCATGGGCCCAGAAAGAAGAAGAGACATCGAAGGCAGAAGTTGGGAACGTAGAACTAGAAAAGGAGTTTACTGAGGACGAGGTTGAGGCGTGTGTGAACAAGCTGCAGTGCCACAAAGCAGCAGAGGCGGATGGGATAGTCAACGAGTTCATGAAGTTTGGGCGGAAGGGGATGATCCAGCTGATGGTACTGCCATACAACTGGGTGTGAAAAAAAGAGTATGCGCCAAGTAGATGGAGGGAAGGAGTGGTTGCCAACTTGTTTAAGAAAGGAGACAAGACTGACCCAGGAAACAAAAGGGGGATCACACTGTTGAACACAGTAGGAAAAGTGTTTTGTAAGCTGCTGAACGATAGGATAGTCGGAGTATTGGAGAACGAACGTCGCATTGGTGAGGGCCAGGCAGGTTTCCGACAGAAGAGGGGGTGCGTAGACCACGCATTCACGGTAGGGAGAATCATCCAAGGCAAAAAGAGGGCGGGAAAGCCGACGTACTGCTTCTTCCTGGACGTGAAAAAGGCGTAAGATACCGTATGGAGAAATGGGCTGTGGAAATAATTGTCCAAGTACGGGATCAAGGGGAAATTGTGGAGAGTGTTGAAGAAGATGACAGAGTGTACGAAACCGCGGTCATGCTAGACGGAGAACTGTCTAAGTTCTTCGACGTTGAGCAGGGGGTCCCACAAGGTTGCACGCTGTCCCTAACATTGTTCCAGGTGTTCATCAACGATCTGTTGGAAGTCGTAGAGGCAGTCCGGAAGGGAGTAAAAGTAGGGGACACGGAAACTTCGGTGTCAGGAATGCTGTTTGCGGATGATTTTGTTGGTATGTCGGACACCCCTGAGGGACTGCAACTACAAATTGACGCGGCGAAGAATTTTACTAATAAATGGAGATTGTCTGCCAACGTTAAGAAGAGTGCCGTCATGGTATGCAACGAGGACAGGGAAGAACCAGTTAAATATAGATGGAAGTGGGGGATCGAGGAGATTGCAGTAGTAGACCAGTGCACATACCTCGGAGTAGAGATCGCAAAAGACTGCTCGTGGAATGCACACATGTCCAAGGTAGCGGGAAAGAGCAAAGCACGAGCAGGGAAGCTGCACCCAATACTCGCAAACCGGCACCTCGATACACGCATCAAATTGGCGGTTTTGAAGAGCGTAATCGTACCGCCGCTAGATTCCGCCGGAGAAGTATGGGAAGGAAATAAGAAGGTAGTGAAACAACTCGAGGCGGCGCAGATGAAAGCAGCGAAAATCATCCCAGCATGCTCCAAGAGCACAAGTAATGCAGCCGTCAGGGCAGAATTGGGAATCCAATCCCCACGGTCGGGAAGAGACGCAAGGAAGCTGACATGGCAGTATCGCATGTGCGGGATGGGAGAGGAGAGGTTGCCGAGAATAGTATGGGGGGCGAAGTGGGCGAAGAAAAAGAGGGGTAGACAACCCACGGAATGGGTCACGGTTGTGGAGGACGTATGGAAGGGGTTAGACATCGACGAAGATGAAACGCTGGAAACGGAGGGTCTACAGGGGTTCAAGGAGAAGATATCTGTTGCTTGTGCCGAGAGAGAAGAACAGAATCTAAGGGAAATACCGAGGATAAGGAGGGTCTAGAAGTGTACGGAGTGTTGAAAGAAGGAATAGGGTTCAAGGATTACCCAAATGGATGCAGGGACAAAGCTTGAGGTCAAATTCAGGACCGGGGACACAGGCCTTCGAGAACGTCGACGAAGACATGGGACGGTAGACGACGAAGACGACAAGTTCAAATGTGATTGCGGCTTCGAATGCGAAGACCGTGTTCATGTAGTCGCGGAATGTCGGCTGTACAATACGGAGAGGGGAGTGTACATGACTGAGCTGGGAAAAATACAAGGGAGGTACAGGGAGATGTTTGAGACATGGAATAGAGAGGAGAAGACGGTAGCTGTACTGGGGAGTAGGAAATGGTTTGAAAAGGCGGGAAGGGATATCGTTAGGATAGACAGACTAGGGAAGACATTTTTGAGCCACCATTGGCAAAGTAGGAAGGACGATTGGCCATCGGTGACCGGTCCTGTGGGAACAATGCTCCGTCCTCTCGAGGACGCGTGGTCAATGGTCTAACCGCTAAGGCATGCAAAACATAAGCGTATGCCCCCTCCCCCCTGGAAGGACAGTTTTGGACAACAAGAATATGGGTAGACGACCCACAGAGTGTGGGGTGAGGTTGTGGAGGAAGCATGGAAGAGGTTCCAAAATTGACGAACTTCGAAGTAGTTGATTCGTTGGAAACGGTAGATCTACGGGGGTACAAAAAGGTGGCATGTGTTGTTTCAGCCGAGAGAGACAAACTGAATCTACGGGGGGAAAAACGGGGAAAAGGGGGTCTAGAAGTATACGGATTGATGAAGAAGGAACAGGCTTGGAGCACCTACATGGACCAATGGATGCAGGGACACACCTGAATGTCAATTATAGGACTGAGAACATTGGCCTTCGGGAATGTGGACGAAGGTTTAGAAGGAAGACGGCGATAGGTTCAAGTGTGAACGCAGCTCCGGGTGCGAACAACGGGTCATGTAGTTTCAGCATGTTCGATTTCCGAAAAAATTGGGAAATGTACATGACTGAGACCCCGATTTATGGGAACAAAATCTTGTCGATAAATTTTGATCTTGGCCAAGATCTGCCAGTTTCACGATTTATGGGAGCGAAATCTTCCGATATATCTTGGCCAAGATTTCTCGAGGCCCGAAATCTGCCCTTTCGAACAAATCTTGACCCAAGATCTGTCGAAACGAGCCTTCCGACAAATCTTGAGGCGGCGTAACAAATCTTGCCTCAGTGCGGCGCGATCACCGAAGGTCAGTCAACCTAATCGTCCGTAACGCCATGAAATCTGCACGTGGCACACTCGCAAGGGTCTCTAACGCACCCTGGCGTCACTGTGTCGGCGCCACGGGCGCCGACAGCGAACGAAAACCACCAAGGCGCGCGAAAAAAATGCGTATTAGCCCTGGCTCGTTATACGTGCGTCATCACCAGTCTGTCGAGGGACCGTTCAAAGAGTACTTTATTTTGAAGTAGAAAAATAGAGCAGGAGGAACGTTTTGCCAACACTGCTCTGTCGTGTGCGACCCTTCTATCTCTTCATCGAATCACCCCACACCCAACCCGTTTGCACCCGAGCCAAATCCGTGGGTGCAGATGACAGCGCCGGAGGTTTGACCTCGGTACGCCTGCTAATTTACATCGTGAGATACGTGCATGGGTGTCATCGGCCTCGGGTTGATGCACTTTCTTGTCAGTTGGACAGCAATGGAACAGTTTTGTTTCTCCGCTTGACATGAGCTCGTGGACAACGGATTCGATTTTGCACCTCAGGTAGGCGCCCATCGCTAGTATCCACCCACAGTGTTGAGGCAATACAGCTGGGGGAGGGATGCCCCTTCTACAACTGCGTCATGCTCACTTTTCGCCACACCTTGGCATTTTCTGTGGACCAAGTGGCCGTTGTTCCTTTTTCAACTTCAAGCAGAAGAGAGGAACAACACGCTGCTTTTTTAACATTCAAGATATTTCCCCCATAAATTGCGATACTGCAAATCTTCGCAGAGATATATTGCGAGCAAATCTTGGGTCAAAATGCCAAGATATAATTGCAAGATTATGTTTCCAAAAAGAAGGGTCTGAGCTGGGAACAACAGAAAAAAAAATTGAGGCATGGAACAGCCAGTCAGGATAGAACGGTAGCTATAACTGGGGTAGAAGAAGTGGACTGACAAGGCGGGAAGTCACTTGAGCCACCTTTGGTAAAACAGGAAGGAACGATTCGCCATCGGTGATAGGTCCTGTGGGAACAACGCTCCGTCCTCTCGAGGACGCGTGGTCAGTGGTCTAAGAACTACTGTAGAATGAAAAACATGAGTTCGCCCCCCCCGAAAAAACGGCGTTATGAGTCAAGGATGGGAGCTGCAGGATGGCGTACCAGCATATTGCACTCCAGAAGATGATGCTGTTGCTTGATACTTGATACAAAACAGTTCCTTTGGAGCACCAACAGCCTATATCTGCTGCTCATGCACACGCATCCTCAACAGGCCTTGGCATGCCAGGAAGGATCGTACCACTTCAGTACATTGTACTGTAGCAGCAATCGTTTGGCTCGTAACTGCTGTGGTGATCCATAGAAGCTCATTTCGAAGGAGAATGCAACCCCCCGAAGCATAGGGGAGAAAATCAAGCGCAAAATTCTCTATGCACAAAAACCTGGCAATTTGCATGCGGATGCGCTTCGCCTGAATAAGGCAGTATCAGAGGTGGCTTACAGCAGCCAGCCGTGGTATGCATACGAGTGGCAAATCAGTCGCCTAATCCTATTTCATACTGCAGTAAAATGCTGTTTTTTCACCGCATGGAGAACAGAGAAAAAAGCGCACAACCTACACACAATCTCACCAGCATACAGCTACATTCATGGTCGAGGCCCGGTAATCTCCGGCGTGTTGGTACGTCTAAGGCACGCTGGTGACAGGTGGTGTGGTAGCACTGATATTTCTGTAAAAGGGTTTCCATTTGGTTCGGAAGGTCTTTGTCTCGCAGCATTTTGTCTCTCGCGCTCCTCTGCCAGGAGTCTGTCTGCTGTGTTGCAACTTCCACTTTGCTCCCGCTAAAAAAACATCTCCTCTTGGCTCTTGGCCTCTCAGATGGCGCGGTTGGAACTATCACGCGTCATTCCAAAATGCATCGCGTGTACAGCTCTGGTTGTGTTGATGTTTCTCGACCTTGAGGTTCTCGGATTCAGAGCTTCACCATGGGTTCGGAGCACTGCAACCGTAAGTAGAGAAACATGTGTCGCCCTTCCGGCTGGCAGAGGGGATGGGGAATGGAGAGGAGAAGGACGAGAGCCTGAGACTGGAGGAAACACTGGTGTGCCATGTTCACGAATGGACTTGCTCCGATCGGTACGTCTTGATGCCTTATGGCTATCGGCCACATGAAGTTTCAGCAATTCGAGGAGCGTCCCTTTTGCATGCATGGTGTGCATACATAAACGTACAGCAGTATCGTACAAATAGTCTTTCTGTATTCTCCTGTACTGCACAGCAGTACTGCTGTAAAGCAGCGGACGGCGGCCATTGCAGTCCGCCAGATACAGCAGTTGCTTTGTGAGCTAGTGTGGGCCGTCAAAGTGGGTTCAATTGCCACGAATTTCGCACAAATGTACCGCCACCGTAAGTACTTCAATACCACGAGTCCCCGCGACCGAGAGCTGCCTCCCATCGGCAGCGGGCACTCCGGCAACGGGGCTAATGTACCAGTGATACGTGACGTTTTCGAAGCACAGCAACTCGAATACACACCCGGAAAGGCTACAAGTATGTGTCCCTCTTTGCCTACCGACCTTATCGAGTCGATGGTGACATTGTTTAGCTGTGGTGAGGCCGCTGTTTGTGATTGCTGTGGCCAGTCGGTAACTGGCGGAAGTGAAACTCAAGGAGAACCCTTACATGCAGGAGCAACAAGGCGTGTACTTGTATGTTGAAAAACATTGCAACAAAGCAACGGCATCATTTGCAAGGCTTAGATCGCCACAGCACGCGAGTGCTTGCGTTAGCATAGATGCGGCATGCTGCTTTAGATGGCTGCAATAGCCCCTTCTCCAGGGTGATCATCGCTGCTCACTCGAGTATCGGGAAGGTACGGAGGCCCTTTGATCGTGCACAATTTTGAGCAGCATGGCTAGGCCAACCCCACAGCAGTCTCGCGTGAAGTACACGACGACTCCAGTTGCGTCGAAACAATATGTATCAAGACTGGTAACGTTCGATGCAGGGTAACGGAGGATGAAAGTGTGACGAAAAATTGTCCACAAAATCGGTCGAAAATGTAGCATGGCGCGAACGGCAGTGCGAGTCACCGTACACTCTTGACCGGTGTTCAACAGGTTGCCAACCCCGAAAAGGATTGTTTTGGAACAACCTTGTCCAGAGCTTTTCCTGGCGCATATCGATCGGTTTTGCACCCTCTTGGTTGTGGAGTAATTGGGCTATGAAAATCGTTCCGGAGTGCGATATCTAGTCGGAAAAAACAGCAAATGTGGGGATAGACAACAGCGCGAGCTTACAACCATTTACCCCCGTCAGATCGTCCCCACGTGTAAAAACCTGTCCGAATAGCGAAGGTCGCAGCTTTCTCTTTAGATCTGGGGAAATGCCCCAGTTTTCGGGTTCCATCGTTGCATTATGACCCCAACACGCAAATCGACAAACCTACTCGTCAAGGATTGAATTGAAGGTGTGTGCCGCCGAAAACATATGGCGGACCTTCGGAAGAGAACAAATGTGTGGCCTTATGTGCGGCCTTTATTCTACCACAGCTGTGGTTCAGAGAAAGGGAGGCTGTCCAAGGGAAGAGAACAGATGGGACGAGAAAATTAGGATTTCATTTCAACGGCGGTGAGATAGGTGGCGACATGACCGGCCACGGCATGACGTTACTTTGTTTTCGTTCCTCGTCTGGTCGGCCCATCGTTCTCTGTCCTGCATCAAAGATGGGGCTTGTTGGGTCAGCCGTCATTGGTGGACAAGCACTGTCTGAACGAGCGGAAGCAGCAGGGATGCAGGAGGAGGAGGAGGTACCGACTGTAGGAAAAATCACCAAAGCCGGCATCAAGTACTTCGATTTCCGCGTCGGGGAAGGGCCAAGTCCCAGGTGCGGCGAAAATACTTCGTGCTTTGAAGGATTATGTAGCGTCCATACGCATATGCACACGTGACCTGACCCCCCCCCCTCCCTCCAAAGACGCGTATGGACAGCTACAGCGACGTGAGATGATCGGGCTGCCCGCTTACATGCTCCCAGCAGCCTTGTTGATAGTATCCTACTTGGTACCATGTATGTTTGGCACTCTTTGGAGGACGACAGTCGGAAGTATAACCAACCATTTGTGCATATACAAAGTATGTAGGGAGATACGACTCCATCGGGGTAACTTGCCATGGGTAGAGTGACAAGAAATGCACGGTTGAAATCTGTCTCTTCCGTAGTCTTTGCCCGCTTGCCGAGGGTAGACGCGAAGAGTCTTCGGCTCTCCTCCCTCTGCCCTCTGGTCACTTCTCTACCTCTCTCTCCTCGTCACATCTCACGGAAGGAATAAGCCACCCTTAGCAGTGGGTGAATACTAATTACTGCAACGGCATTGGCGTCGACGAAGACATGTCAGGGTGTCTGCTTTTGGTTGCAAAAGACACGGGTTCAAATTCCGCCGCTCACCCAACTTTTCTTCCGGAACAAAACGGAGAGAACAGAACAACAGTGGGTGGGCCAAGAAGGACCCACTGGCTATCGAACTCGGAATTTCCGATGACGTGACGGACGTAGCGAACCCGTGTAATCACGCACAGAGGATCGCGAAGAAGTGAATCGCCCCGCCGCCAACCTGTCGGGTTCCGGTTCCCCTAGAAGACCTCTCTTGCCTTTCAAACAAGAAGTCTCAAAAAAGGGGGGGGTAATAATGTGGAGACTACCCTTGATAAAGATACAATCTCACAACGTGTCCAGGACGATTCCCTGTTTTCACACTCTGCTTGCTTTATGACGCACGCCGACATGTTGTCAGATGGGGCCAGGACTGCATTATCCGATTCACGATGTATGGGCGATCTACACCAGATGAAAAGTTGATCAAGATCCAATCATCAGACAACAACAAGGAGAAATACCTCTTCAAGCACGGGAATGGTTTCCAGGTTAGCTATTATAACACCTTGGTAAAGGTGCAGCTAGGAACTCTGACCCACGTATGCTAGCGTCTAAGTTTGCCGGTTTATCGCACTGTAGTCTGCGATGCAGTAAGAACTTCGCGGTGGCAGGTCGAAACAAAGGAACAATCACGGTGTCTTTGCTAGGCGTTATTTCTCTCGATGTCACTCCTGGCCTTTGCCATGCACAACGTGCGATCTTCGTGCCTCACGTCTCAACCGCTACATCGTGACGTGGTGACATGTATCCGCGCAGATCAAAGGGATGGAAGAGGGCATGCACAGCATGAGAGTTGGGGGAAAGCGACGAGTAATTATGCCGCAATCAATGGGATACAGTGTTCAAGGCCTCGGGCCTTACCCTGCAGATCCAAGAAAACGGGATATTCTTGTCGAGGTGGGTGTTGCCGCAGCCAATCCATGGTCGTGTGCCAACAATCGTCTTGATATGATTGGCCAATGAGCTGTGTTGGGCATTCGAGATTAACTATCTCACGCCACGAACTGCGAAACCTCGACACATATGTATATCTGCCTAGTCTCTCTGACGGCCAAAGATTCAGGTCATCAGCGTTCTTTGTCAACAATCACCGGTACCCGAGCGCATGCATAACTATAATAGAGGCCGACGAAGCACACGATGTTCCGCGATTTGAGTGTGCTGTTGATGTCATCTCGTCTTCCAGAACGTCAGACTAGTCAGGGAACATTTGGGTATATATGGACGCACCAGCCATGACTACACATGAAGACAGACGCCGACACACCAGTATTTTTCTCCGTCTTCCTTTATTAGCGCTTCCCCACGAAAGATTCAGCCTATTCTGTCAGGCGCTGAACCTCGTCAGCAGTGAAGTCAACTTTATGCTTTCACGAAATAAATTATGCCAACTGAAGGCTCGTGTACAGTTGTCAAAAGTCGATGGTTTTGTTGTTCTCTCCGCTCTACATCAAGACATTTTCTGGCCTACAGCTGGCATCTCACTACTGTTGATTCAACTCTGTAACAACAGATATTCCCGTAGTCACAGGCTTCGACACGACAAAAATAACTTAAGTCTCACTACAGTACTCAAGACACAATACGACTTTCAATATAGTAAGGGGGATATACGCGCTAAGCGTTTACATGGCGCCAATCATACGCCTTTCATCGCGTCCGTGTTATACACGATGAAGGTCTTGACATCATTTGAGAAAACGACGACCGGAGAGCTTGTGATGGATATTGAGCTATTGGATGCCTTTGATGACGAAGCTGACCAAGGTTACTATGAGGACACCGCCGTCACGCCGGAACAGCTGCAGGACATCGTCCGAGAAACAGGGCGCTTCTCGGGGGGGCAACCAATGGAGAAACTTCCTGGTCAGCTTGCCTCTCCGATGGAAGACACAACAAGTAGTGCCGCTAAAAAAGGCGGTGCTGGACTCCCAGGCCAACTCGGCAAGGATGTGATGGGCGGCTAGTCTCCTGCGACAACTCTCTCTGCCTGCCTTCTTGGCTTCCAACTCGTATGAGCAGAGACTTGGGTCACAGCTCTTCGATTTTGGTGGAATCTTTTGCAGCCCTGCCTGGGGGTACCGAAGGGAAGTTTAGACCCATCGAACGAAGCAAATTCGATGCAGGACCGGACAACCCTCCTTGCGAGACTATTGATTCTAGAAGATGTTTGACCATGTTCATGTCCACATCCACCGGTTTGTAGTCGTCGGTTGGCACATCGGTATTGTTGTCTGGCTCGTCGCCTTCGCCTGGAACCAGCAACGGACCATTGGAACAACAAGCAACGGTCATTATTAGTAGGGTTACGAATTTCGGCGTTATTTTAACGCCGAAACAGATGCGTACACGCAACAACAGGTACTGCGTTTAAGGGGGGAAAACAACATCGCATGACGGATGATACTAATACTCGTTTCGTATGCATGGCCATGCCAAGTAAGGATGCATGCATCCACGTGCGATCAACACCGCGATGGTTTGTGTCCCAATTTTTTGTCCCGTGCGTTTTCAGCACCTTTGCACACCACGATAGCTCAAACACACTGCGTCTACGTCACGACTGCACACCTGTCGACGATGGCGCCTTGCCGTCTCGAAGCCACTGCTCGGGGGCTAGTTCTCCGTTTTGATCCAGAGGACCAACCGTTTGTAGTTCTTCCATTTGGGCTTCAGGGATGGATGCTCCCACTTTCTCAAAGCTCTCCCCCATTGATGACGGCTCGAGTTCAATCTCCATCGCCGCCTTTTTTGTCGGGACACAGGGAAACAAAGTGTTGTCTATTTGCAAGGCAGTACCTGGTACAAGCACCTCACTCACAAGCAACTGGCACTTCCTCACGGAGGAGACACGGCGGTTCAACTGTTTCATGCAAACAAGCGCCGAAGGAAGAGAGAGGTGCCCCGTCCGTGTTGAGGGATTACCGTAAGATCGTACGATCCTCTAAAACATCCTCGGGAAGAGGATAACTTTTGTATGGTTGCCTCAGAAAAATCAAAGTAGAAGGCGGATCTTCTGGGGGGCGGGGATATATACATACATTCAAGTTGGGTGAGGGCTTGCGTAAGGCCACGATGACTCTGGCTGTCGACGCTATGACCGTTGGATCTTGGGAGCGTACGCACGGTTTGGAAATTGAAATACATCCCATATATGGCACAAGAGAAACACACCCGCACAAGAATACAGCACCCGGTCTACTGCTGTTTTTGGATTCCAAACGAGGAGCCGAAATATCACCCGGGTTACAATGTAAGATATCACAGCCCGTGAGGTTAGGACGCGCGTGATCACGGAGCCCATGCTACCATCACCCCAGCGATGACTCGCCAGTGGCTGCTGGCGATACGCAAGATGGCCCAGCAGGGAACGTACGCAACACACACCCCGAGTGCGGGGGAACCACCCCGTAAGCGGTCCTTTAATGCAAACTGATTTCTCCCCCGCCTTATTTGCATACTTTCTTTGTGCTAGCCGGCAGTGATGGATGAAAACCTCTTTTTATGGGAAAACTATTTTTTGCTGTTTCGGGAGAGCGGTGTCGGCGTTCTTGCCGGGGTTATGTAAAAACACCTACCCCTTACTTCCGCACGACTGCAAGAATGCTCGGCACGAACTTCATTGCTGTAGTCAGTGCTGTCAATGCTATCATCCCCGCTCAGTACCACAAACCCTGCAAGGTTGTGTTTAGTACAGTACATACTGGACGTACTCGAGTTTTTTACTCGAGTTTTTTACTATACTTTGTTAATAGTAGGTTTAGTACAGCTTTCGATACTGTACTAAACCAATAGTACGCTTTAGTATAGCTCTCCGTTTTGTACTATACTCCGGGTTTAGTATCGGGTTTGGATCGGTACTATACTCGGCTTAGTACAGTACTGCTGAAAATACTGTACTATACTGCAGGTTTAGTACAACTTCTGATACTATACTATCGCAATAGTAGCATTAGTACAGCTCCTGATACTTTTATTTTACTAAAACCAACAGTAGGTTTAGTACAGCTCTCCATACTTTACTAAAGTCAACCGTAGGTTTAGTACTACTATCAGTACCGCACTCTACTCGTTCGGATAGCATCCCGAGTGTCTGCCCGGATTCCGGCCAAAGGGTGTGTTGATCACGTCATTCTTGCGCAGAAGCGGCGTGTTTTGGTTCTGTGTGTGCAGTGTGCAACAGCACCAGTACCTCGGTGCTCTACTCAGCGTACTCGCGCAATAGTAATAGTCGTAGTACAAGTACCCGACAGGGGAGGTAGCTGTCGAACGACACGCCTCCCAACAAGGCTGACATTGGCGTAGACGGGTAGTTCAACTGGAAAGTAAAAAGTTAAAGTCGATTGCTAGCACAAGTACATGTACTACATCATTAATATTGTATGAGTATTGGTACTTTGCTTTTATTTTTTGGTTTTGTTGCCCTCGGTGCTGCTTGACTGCTTGAGGTAACGGCTGAGGCGGAATTATCATCGCCGACACTAGAATTTCGGGAGGGACGGACGGGGCGAGGAACGCCGGCCGGGCGGGATTGTCTTTGTCTTTCTATTCGTATTGTTTTCGGTCTTTTTGCTTCACTTGAACGCTTCTTTTCTGTGTGCGTTGTGGTAATAATTAATTTGGGTCTCCACACTGCTGTACTGTCCCCAAAGTCAATAATATACTTTAGTACAGCCCTCGATACTGTACTATCCAAAAAGTACGCTTTAGTACAGCGCTCGATACTGTGCTATCCCAATAGTACGCTTTGTTAGCCCTCGATACTGTACTATCACCAATAGTAGGTTAAGTACAGCTTTCGATACTGTACTATCCCAATAGTACGCTTTAGTACAGCTTTCGATACTGTACTATAACCAATAGTAGGTTAAGTATAGCTCTCCGTACTGTACTATACTCCGGGTTTAGTATCGGGTTTGGATCGGTACTATACTCGGCTTAGTACAGTACTGCTGAAAATACTGTACTATACTTTTGGGTTTAGTACAGCTCTCGATACTGTACTACCCCAATAGTACGCTTGAGTACACCTCTCCGTACTGTACTATACTGCAGGTTCACTACAACTCCTGATACTATACTATAGAGTACGTTTAGTACTACAATCAATACTGTACTAAAAATACTGTACTGTAAACACAACCTTGAAACCCTGCCAGTGGAGAAGCAGTGCAGTCGGTTTTTTTTAGGCAGGGGTGCCAACCCCCCCCTCCCTCAAAACCACCAGTAGAAGGAAAGTACAGAGAGATGTTTGAGGCATGGAACAGCCAGGAGAAGACGGTACAGTGGGGGGCCCTCTATAGTGCCGGTACGTGCGCAGGGCGTTCACCGGCACTATAGCGGGCACCGGCACAACTGGGAATAGTGCCTCAATAGTGCCAAACGGCACTATTCGGGTGATCGATATCCCTCAGTAGTGCCGGTCTGGCACTACTGAGGCACTGCTGTTTGAGTTCATGGTGTATCGCTTACCATTTGCGAGGCCAACAGAGTAGCATGTGGATCGAGTGTGGTGAATATACTTTGTGGGCGGCAGGGGCAGCCTTTTCTGAGACAAATGTGGGTTCCACTCTGATAGCTGAGTTTGCCGCGAAACCATTCCCGCATGCACGCGCAGAATTCACCTTCGGAGCCAAACCCCGTGTACAGCTCCCGTCCGTGCAACTTAGTATACTTGAAAAAATGTCACGTTCCTCGCTGCCTCCCTACGATGTTGCGTGATGAGACACGCCAACAAAACCAATAAACGCGCCAGCAACGAAGCGGACAAAAATAAAACAAAACAAAAAGAAAAAAACTGCGGTATAGCTGTCCCCCCCTCACTCATCAACAAACTCTCTCATGTCTGTCTGGCGCACGCCCTTAGCGGCATGCGCCGCGATCATCGCCATCTTCGCTTTCGATAGGTGGAACGCAGCGTCCCCGTTTCCACTCTCCCGCGCGGCCACCTCCAGGACGCCGAAGTGAGAAGACAGTTCACCGTAAGCCGGTGGGGCGCGGCGGCCGCCCCCCGTGTCCTCATGATCACTGTCCGCCTCATCTTCGGATTCCTCCTCGCGGCAGGTAGATAGGCGCGTTCCCGCCAGCTGTGCCGTCATTTCGTCCGCTGCATCCTGTCGAAAAGCCTCCACCACGTCATCGTCATCCTCGATGGTAGCCCACGCCTGAACTAAGTCCACCGCCTCCTCCGGGGCAGGCTCTCCGGGTGAGACGTTGAGTTCTGCGCACATTTCACTCAGGTCCTCGTCTTCGATGCGAGACCCCTGCTGCTGCGCGTCGTGCACGCTCGTGCTCAACGAGTGGACACTCTTCGTGAGGGACCTCAACGCAGGCTCGTGGATGCGGGCCTGGGTTTTCCCGTGGAGGTTGGTGAGCTCAGCCGCCATCTCCTGCGGAAGCGTGTCGGCTTTGACAAAGCACCTGGTCGCGGGGTTGCCGAGAATACGAACCGCATCCGTTTTTGAGTGCAACGCAGATATTAGACGGACCCAGCGGCAGAAGTTGACTCATCCGCATGCAAAAAAAGAGGAAATTTTTATTGCAAACGAGGGATGCCCCTGCAGGAAACTTTCTCAAAAAAAATCCGTACCACCTCTGCCACGAAACGTGCCACCAAAGCTATTGTGCTAGCACCACCGCCCGAGTTGAAGCCTCTACATAGCAACAGAACATGTTCAAACCTGACCTGGCGATGTCCTGGGGAGTGACGCTGCCCCATGCTTTCTGAAGAAGTTCAGCGGCGTCCCGTAGGTGAGGTTGGTGCCCCTGCGCCAGCCCCATCGTCCCGGCCTTCATCTTACTGGCTTTGGCCTGGGCGCGAAGGGTCTCAGCGACCAACATTGTGGATGCCTTCACGTCGAGCAGCTCCTTCCTGTAGAGGACCTTCGTCTTCGCGATGATCCCCATGTCCATGGGCTGGTGCAGGCTGGTGCAGTTCGGAGGATAGAACTTGATGGTAACTTGCCCACGATCATCAACGAGATCGCCGTGAGAGGAGCAGCCGTCCATCAGGAGCAGCACCTTTTCGTGAGTGAAGCGCCGAATGAACGGGAGGAAGACTTCAAGCCACCACTTGAGGAACGTCGCGGAGTCAGACCACGCGTTGGCCTGCGAGAAGTACTTCAGAGGTGAAGGCGCGTCCGTGAAGCAGCGAGGCACCTTCGACCTCCCGATGATGGCCATGTCCACCTTTGCAGTGCCGTCGGCGTTGCTGCACATGATGGCAGACATCCGATCCTTGAAGTACATGCTCTTGGAGCCCCGCGCCTTCTTGCGGTCCTCCGAGGAGGAAAGATACGTGCGCCTGGGCATAAGCTTCCACTGGATGCCTGTCTCGTCCACGTTGAAGATGAACCTAGCTGGGTACTTCGCGCAAAGGCTCCTGACTTCCTCCATGCCCTTCTCGATGGCCGCTGGGTCGACACTACCAGCCTCGCCATGAAGTCTCGCACTCAGCACCTTGTTGCGCTTCACGAAGTTCTTGGCCCACTTTTCACCGGCCCTGAAGTCCTTGACCCTCGCCCTCACTGCTGCAGAAGTAGCGGGCTCAGCGAGCAGGGTTGCCACGGTGGAACGGCCGAAGCTTCGAAGTACGTCCCGTGTGACGGGCATCTTGGCCTTCCGGGCTTTATCGAGCAGATCAATAACTATCTCATCCACCTGCCGGCGAAAAAGAGTATACAATGCAGAGGTTCAAACGACCAACGATTAGTTTCAAACGTAAGCATCTACACTGCGCGGCGCAGATACGAGGGACGACGCCGCGGTACACCGTAAACAAAGCTGATGTTTTTTAAGTGCCACTACACCCGGAAAGAAAAAATTGCGGGAGGGGAAAGGGAAAGTTGCGAGGAGACGCTCGTACAGGCTACATCTGCTTACATCTGCTTACATCTGCTTGTTTGTTTTGAAAAAAAAGCGGGTGCGAATATGTACACAACAGTGCTCTTTCATTTTCAAGGACAAATAATCGGAAGGTCTATGAGTGTGGACATCGAGGACCTCAAAGGCCAAAGACATAACAAAAAAAGGCAAAGAGAAAGAAAAAAAGGAGGTGACATGAAAAAAAAAAACACCATATGATACATACGAAAAGACGAAAAGGGAAAGGCAAAGAAACAAGGAAGGGCAAAAAAAAAAAACGTACAGCAGTAGAAATCGGCGACATGAGGGCATTTTTGAAAAATGGCGGGGAAAAACAACGTTCGAGAGGAAATTGCCAGGCATGTCGTGTACTCTACCTACCTCCGGAAAGTCTCCTCTGCGTGCGGTTTTCTGGCTTCCGTCGCCTGCAGCTGCCTTAGCCTCCACTTCCTTCCGTTCAGCTTTCACCTTGCGGACCAGCCGTTCCGAGCACTTAAAGCGATCTGCTATCTGCTCATGAGAAATCTTGGCATCCAGCAGCTTGAGGACCTCAACCTTGTCAGCGTTGCTCAGCCGCGCGCGAGAAGCCTTCTTCCCCCCCCCCTTCTCTGTCGGACGTTTAGATGGTCCCGCCCCAGCATCAACCCCAGCTGCGGTCGCTTTGCGCTTGCCAGTCTTAGCAGCGACGCAAGAACTGCAGATGCGGGATGTTTCGAAGTCACCCTCCACGCTGCCGCAAGTGCCATGGAGCCGCCCGCCACATCCTCCCTTGCAGACGTGGCCATGAGGGGCCTTCGGCGTTCTGTTCTGTTGAAGGCACAGTTCACCTTCCGCACACGGCATGGTGCGCCTCTGCGTAGAGCTGTGTTGGACTGCAGCAGCACGGTGTCTGTGTTTTGGGAGTGGGGTGGTGTGTGTGCGTGCGTGTGTGAACCGGCACTATTGCGGGCTGACGTGGTGCCCAACCGGCACTATACCAGGCCCGCCCTCAATAGTGCCGTTTGGCACTATTGAGGGCGCTTTCTGTGTGGAGAGATTTTACCGGCACTATACCGGCAGTTGGCACTATTCAACCGGCACTATAGAGGGCCCCCCACTGTAGCTGTACTGAGGCATAGGAAGTGGGTTGAAGGCGGGAAGTGATATCGATAGGATAGATAGATTAGGGACGACATTTTTAAGCCACCTTTGGCAAAAGTAGGAAGGAACCATTGGCCATCGGTGATCGATCCTGTGCGAACAATGCTCCGTCCTCTAGAGAACGCGTGGTCAATGGTCTAACGGCTAAGGCATGCAAAACATAAGAGTACACCCCCCCCTCAATACCACCCCCCCCTCAATACCACCCCCCCACGGCCGAAGGCAAGGTAGGCACTGCTTCGCAGGCGGTGCTAACACACAGCCTAGGTTCCACGCAGCTTCAGTCCCTACAAGTGTGAAAGTGTATCACGCACCCTGATTACCACACCCCTTTTCATGGCTCCTGCGACCTGCACTTTGTCACCCGGGCTACACAAGCTGGCACATCCCCCACAGAATACAACACCCGGTGAAAATATTAAAAGCCCAAAGGTTATCCCCCGGGGTGTAATATGTTGTGTCGTATGTCGTAAGCATATGCATAGCAAATATGAATGTCTTGGATTGGCTGGGTTTGGACTAACCGTTCTGCTGCCCTTCACTCTTTGCATCAGTGGCTTCTTGGTTGGGGGCGAGGGCTTGTGTGAAGCTTTGGGGTGTCCCTCTTGCAAAGGATCTGTAGAGAGATTTATCCTGGCATTCTGGACGACACCCATTCTTGGAAATTGGAAAAATTTTGGCCCCCCTTCCGGGGACCTTGAAATTTACACGCTGGTACTTTATTTTTTAGTGGTCAGCCGGTCAGCGCGGCGAATGAACTAAGACACACACACATGCCCACACACTCGTACCACCAGTCAGGATGTTGGACCATACAAACAACCACGAATAAGCAAATATCGTTCATAAGCCGGTTTGTTTCAGAGGGTGGTCTCCCTTGGCGGTAAAGAACGTGTACTTTACTATCAACGCAAAACGCCAGCGTTCCGTCGTGAGCAAGAACCATACATTATTAGGAAACGTAAATACAAACACAGAAAGACTACCCATTCGGATATGACCACAGTCGAACGGGATGTATGCCGGAGAGCTAGCAAATCGTGTGTCTGTCCCATCCAAAACACAGCTCTCGGTGACAATCGACGTGCTGCCCCACCTGAACCCAACTCACCATGTACTCGCGAACGAGACTTTCGGCGCTTCCGGAATTTGCTTTGCTTTCGTGGCCACCGTCCTGCTCTCGCCCATCGCTGCCCAGGCCGTCATGGTCTTCTTCGCTCGGACGGCCTTCCATCTCCTGCATTTGGAACGCCACGGATGGTCGCACGCCGCTCCGCGTCTGAATATGTGAATCACTCTTCGCCGGGGAGTTCGGGGACACGTTCACGGCTAAGCTAGACCGGGTTCTGGAGCCACACGCCGAGGGGTCTGTCAGGCCCGCGCTCTCCGACGCTTTGGGGTCTGGCATGCGCTGCGGGGTGTCCACGTCATCTTCGTCCTCTTCCTCGCTAGATTCCAACAGGTCGTCGTCGCTGTCGCCCAACTCATCATGCGCATCCTCCTTCGCAGCATCCTCAAGTGCACTCCTGAAAGAATCATACCAACATATCAACAACGAGGCGTGGCGCGAAGAGCAGTTGCAGCGCTCGCTTCACGGCATGCGTACATGACTCCTTGCTTGGCGTCACAAACCGATCCAGAGAACAAAGTGACTTGAAACAGAGGTTTTCATACTGCGAGAGCGGGCGTACGATGGTTGCCTACACTTGCTGGGTGAGAATGGCGGACCATGATAGTGATCGCGACTCGCTTTGCACAGCAAACACAGCAGTGATAGTTGGTGATGCTGGGACAGGTCCTCGTCCATGCAGGCTCCGCGGAGAGCCAAAGACCACTTCGACATGAAAAGAAAACACAGCTTCTCCTTTTCACTTTCGCCAAGATCTTGAGGTTAGCACCAAACATCCGACCCTTGCAGTTGGGCAACTGAGCAGAATGACTCACATTAGGTCTTCCCCGTTGAGCAAGCTCATGAACTTGTCCACATCAAACTGAACGTGTCCTCCTACCGCCTCCACCTCCGCGCCATCCAACCCCGCTTTTGAGTCGTCCACAAAGGCGTTCATGCCGGTGACAATTTCATCCAGCCCATCCACAGCGTCGGCGAAACCGGCGTGGCTATCCTGTACGTGTTTCTCTTCATCTGTGTCTGTGGCTGTTCCACGAGCACCGGATGTAGCCACATTTTCCGACCTGTCCCTCTCATTGTCGTCATCGCCCACGACACCGTTCGCACCCCTGTCGCGTCGGCCCTGCTGCTCTGGATCCAGATCAGCCTGGAGATATCACGCAAGGGCAACAGAGTGCCGAAACTAATCGGGTGAGGAACCGCCGAGTGTCGAACCATCAGGTACAAAGCAGACCTGGCTCAAAATATCTCACATGTGCCACACATTGCCTATACGAGATGAACTAACCCCTGACAAATGACGAAACAACAACGGAGCAATTCATATTTACAGGCGAAAACATGCGTGGTTGGACACATCCAGCTAACAAGCAACTTCAACATAAAGGGGCTTTGTGTTTTGTCTTTTGGCTTCCGACGACCAGTCGATCGGTGGAGCGCTCTCACCTCCGCACGACGATAGTCTTGGAGCATGATGTCCAAGTCGGCTTGAGACACTTCCAACCAGTCTTCCTGTATTGCAAACAAGGGGAGGAGGTACACGACGTCGTTCGAAAATGTTCATCCGGTGCCCGCTCCGGTGTGCATTCTTGTGTGCCCTTTATTTTGTCTTCGATTTTCACAGTGTACCCTCTTAGGCAGCTAGCTAACCTGTGCCCACGGAAGACGTCCGCGTCAGTTGGACCGATACGAACGGTGCAAAGCGCTGAACAGAGGTCAGAACGGCTTTTAATGTGGAGAGGACAACAACAGCAACAGCAACAGCAACGACAACAGCCCAACATGGGTCTTCCGACGTGTGTAGCACATGTGCATTTCATCTTTTCCTCGTGGCTATTACTTGAAAACCAATCAAGAGCTCTTGAATTGTGGTGGGTAGTTGCGTGTTTCATGAAGAGGACAAAGCAAGTAACCCCAATATCGACGGCAAACCATTACCTTATCGTCTTCTTCGCCGAACGCATCGAACACACAATCCAATCTTGGGTCGTTGAGAGTGCGATCCACCACTTGGTGGACAGGGCATCGTCGGTGGTCCCTCTGGGCGGCTGCAATCTCCTCGTCCTCGCCACCATCGGCATCGACACATAGAACGTTATCCCGTATGAATTGCTGGAGCGTCCAACAATGAGCGCGAGAAGCACACGCACGCGCATCAAAAACGTCAGCGGAAACCCCAGAGTCCAACGAGGGTCTAGACGCACTTGGAGTCCCGTCTCGTAACAGCATTCATTCCATGCGCTTGCACCACAACCATTGACACAGCAACGTCAGCAACGCCACAGGCGATTCACGGCAATAAAGGGTAAAAAACAACACAAGTCGGTCGTCCAAGCTAACTTATCACTTCCAGAGCGGTTACAACTAGAGGCTGCTTGAATGCTACAGGAAACAAAAAACGCCATTCACCGTCCTAGTGTACGCTGTTCTCACGGGAGCCGTGATAGACGTCTTGTCGACCACAATCGATGTGGAAACCCAAAGATTGCTTTAGTCATTTTCTTATCTCACCTTCGCCATCGCAGTCTTTTCTCGATACCTCTTGGACCCCTCCAGTTCTCCCTCGAAGAAACCGTTCCGTACTAATCCGTCTGCAAATCGCTTCCAGGTTTCCGGTCGAATTGCGTCGCTAAAGTCTCCTCCATCCTTCTTGCTGCTCTCGGCACACGCCTGGCTCAAATGATACGATCAATGGTGGAACGCTAGTTTGTGAAAACAAACGGCGTTTCTGGGCATGTCCAGGCAATCGAATAAGCCGGTTGTTCGGAGTGCGCACCAAACAGCACCATGCCCATACGACAGCAAGAAGGAAACTTATCGTTCAGTAGGGAGTAAAACGCGCGCTCGTTCATGTACGTACCTGGTAGGCTGCCTCCAAACCCATGGAGAGCTTCTGCCCCAGCTGTGCGGCTTTTGCGTGGGCAGCAGGGGCAAGAGTGCTTCTGCTGGGACCCCACCTAGAGTCCGCCCACGTACATAATGGCACAACAACGCAGTCGTGAAGTCAGCAGGGGGCACACACACACAGTTGGTCGTGTCATAGATCAACCAAGCGAAACCACGGGCATGATGAACGGACCTCGTCCACAACCTGGTTGTGATGCATCGAATTATCAGCGTTTCACTATGCAGACGAACGCCGGGTTCTGCTCGACCGCCGGCAAACACGTGGAGAATATACATCATGCTTCCAGCTCGACACGGCCTTACCAACATCACTGGGCAAGGCGATCGCGAGATGGGTTATCTATCTACATCGGCAATTCCGGGCGTTGGTTCTTACCCTGGATGAAAGGCCTTAGTCGGTACGACAGCCGCCTGGTGCAATTGCGCATACAAGTGACGGGTGAAGGCGATCCGGGCCTCAACAAACCGAGGGGCTTCTGGTTGTGAGCCAGCTCCCTTGCTTCCCGCGGTGCTCACTCCAGATGCACTGGCGGGTATTGCGAGAAGTCGAGCCATACGAACTCCCATCTTCCTGTCGGCGGGGTCGCCCGAGCAATAAGCGCTAACTGCAGGGGCCACCAGCCTGGGTGTGTCGCGGAACGCTAACGCTGCAGCCAGGGGTAGGAAACACCTGTTGCGTGGAAAGGGGACATATTCGTCAGGCGACGTTTGTCTGTGCACACTTTTGGCGTGCAGGTCAAGGTTGTGCCAAATTGCGGAAGAAACCGGTTATTTCGACTCTCGAGATTTGCGGACTGCTATTCTGTAGGGCCAAGAGCACTTGGTCCTGACTGACCTCGCGTGGTGCATGTTAGCCATAGCTTCCTCCGGGTAGCCTTCGATTCGGCGCCTGATGAGTCGCTGTACACCCTCGTCGGCCTTGGTTCCGCCGTCGCTCTCTCGGACCGCCTTCAATCCCTGCCAAGCGGCACCACCATGCAAACCGTTTCACAACCACAAAGCGTCATCCCATGCGCACAACTCGCGGTCTCTTGACTTCTTATGGCGCGTTCACCTAGCGTAGGCATTGGTGTGACCTTTGGCATTCGAACACACAATCGAATGAAACAACTATGTGCGCACATGGTAACATAGACGCAAGTTTACCACCGTCAGACTGAAGCAAAGTGGACATGGCTGCTACCAATCGGCACGGCACACCTCAGAAAGCGTGATGGTACCCGATCCCAGTGTGCGTGGGGTTCTGGCCCTGTCCACCATGCACCCAGGCATCACCAGGTGCACTTCGCCGAATCTGACCCATACCCTATGATTGCTTTAAGGGCGAAGCGAAACGCATCGGGGGGGAGAGGGGGCGCATTGGCGAAGAAGTGCTCGCTTCCACGTGTTTGGTGCGTGCATCAACTTTCAGAGGCAACATTGTCCAAAGATGGCCAATATACGTCTGCAAAAATCTACAGACGGTGTATTTGCATGACCACATAGCATGCATTGCAGCACTGACATTGACACAAAGATCCTGAGAGCAAAGATGCATTTGAGCCACGTTAGATGAGTTGCTAGAGCAAGGTACCAGTTGAGCGCGCACGGGACAGACCAGCGCGTAATATCGAACGAAAACTTCAAGCACGAAGACCAACCCGTGCTTGCTTAAAAATTGCAAGTAAACGTCCTCCAAACTACAGCCGTTAGGCCAACATACTGAACACAAACCTATGGAAGCCCTGTCGTCGCATCACTGCCCCTGCAAAAAGGATGATCGTACCACTATACGACACGGCGAGTGTCGAACGTTCACCTGTTGCCTGGGGAGAGGAAAGGTGGGATCGCGGTGGCGGCCTCGATCAGCAAGAACTCGCCGTCGCTGTCGGTAATGCACGCAGTCAACCTGAGGAAAAAATGTAGCACAGCCCCGGGTGCGAGGAGCTGAATCCTTGTGTGGCGAAAACAATGTGACGAAAACGATATCCCCAACCGTTTGCACTTCCCCAACCTGGAACAGTGGCCGCGCGTGCCGCCGACTACTCGATTGATACCCTGCTGGTTGCTGCAAGACGTCTTGTGCAACCTTCGAAGACTTATCGATTGGCAGTCAGTGACAACCGAATACTTGTACAAGGACTTTGCTCACATCACCTCCCTTGCCTCCCTCTCTCTCTCCTTCCCTCCCTCTCTCTCTCTCTCTCTCTCTCTCTCTCTCTCTCTCTCTCTCTCTCTCTCTCTCTCTCTCTCTATTTGTCTCTCCCTCTCCCTCCCCTAAAGACAGCAGTCGAGTGTACTTGTGCGCGGGGAAGACAACCCAATACGCCGCGCGAGCACGAAAACGCCACTCACTCGGTGAACGTCGAAGTTATTGTGAACAGAAGGTAGCACACGAACCACTCGTCGGAAACGTTGCCTCCGAACACCTGCTCTCCGGTGAGATGAGGCTCAAGATCTCCGTCGGAAGGCACGGCGACTGACAGCGCGAACGCCTCGCGGTGCCAGATGAAGCCCGCTGTAATCGAATCCACGAGTTCCAGGACTGACTCCCGAAGCTGGCCGGGTGATAAGAACATGAAAGTCCGTAAAGAGGAGGCAAAGTTGGAATAGACACTTGGGCAGGTAGATAACATTTCATGTAAAGCAGGAGCACGATAGCACGTCGCGATGCTGTTCTGCCTAAGGCGCCGACACACCCAGGGCACTCTAACCTGTTGAAGGTGTTCAATAGAGCTCCATGCGTCGACAAATATTTGATATCGCACGAAGTCCTCCGCCGTTGCCGGGCGCTCCTGCAGGAAGGGTAGCTGGGAAGGGTCTGTAGCCAAGAAATCCTCCAAGCTCGGTCCAGGGTCGTTAGAGTTGCCGGCGAACCAGTCCTCATCCGCTGATTCCGCCATCACTCGGTGACAACGTTACAGTACTCCCTGTAGACAGCGAAGTCGCCGATGTAATATTATTCAAACGGCTTGCTACCCTCGTGATATACAACCTCTTCCTCCCGCCTACGTGTGCCCTGATGCCTTCCACCCCCTTTTCCTAGCGTGCTCTTAGAAAGAGAAACAATGCTAATGGACACACTGGGACACGCGCTCACGAACGCCCACTGTTGTCAGAATAGAGGCACACCACAACAGCACAACAAACCGCACAACAGCAGCGCCGCAAATTGGAACCAAACCAACATGCCTTTTTTGCCGGGCGCGAGAGGCGCGAGACGCAAAAAAAAGGCAAGAGGGAACAGGCGAGAAAGAGAGTAGAACCTGGTTCTTCCGTTTGGTTCGTCGTTCGCTGTTGTTTGGTTCAGTTTGGTTGTTCGTCCGTTCGTCTGTCGACCATCCGGTCCGTCCTCCGTCCTCCGGCCATGTCCACAGCAGCCGCTAAGCCCTGGCCGATCAGGCACGCCGAAGGCGTTCTCAGGCATACGCCGAGGAGCCCGCCGCAGGCGAAAATTCGAGCGCAGGAAAATTCAAGGCTTTTGCCGGACGTGCATTTTCCATGCCTCAGACAGAGATGCAGGGTATGTACAAGATATCGCCTTGACTTTGTCTGCAAAACGCAAACCTACTCGATCACTGACGTATATTCCCTCAACCATAGCGACGGGTCATACGTGGCTTACCGTTGTGGCTCTTCTCTGTGTGGTGCCTAGAGCTGCCTGATCTTAGGTAGGGGCAGTCAGGCAACTGAACACGGTTTTTAGACAAACATCTATGTATCTTACACACTGAAAACGCGCTGCTCTCAGGCAACAAGTGAGGCCTGAGGCTTCCCTGAGAGGGTTGAAAAAAAAGGCAAAAGAGTGGCCCTCAGGCAAAGAAAATCAGGCATGCCTGATCGGCCAGGGCTTAGCAGCTGCCCCGTAGCCGACACCTAGCGAGCTGTCTAATGCAATATGGATAGTTGAGAAGATCAGGAAGCGCACACGTCCATCCATTGTGTCGAAGATACATTATTCTTACGTTTGTGTCTTTTCTTACAGGATGGAAATCAGTGTAGGTCCGCTGCGTGGGTCAATATTAATCATGCAGCTGGTCGCTGGGTGATCATGTTGGCAGTTGCGGAGGCTAGGTTGTATCTCTACATGTCTACCTGCAGCAGCTACTGTAGAACACTCGAGGCAAATGCCAGAGCGGCGCCCACTCGCATGTATGTACGTACTGTAGTTGGCCTGCGACCACGGAAGGACTCCGCGTCAAGTTGGGGAGGATTTCTAATGTGGACACATCAACGAACACGATATCGACACGAATTGTTGTGTGATGCGCTTAAGAGTTATGTCAGAAATAACAAAATGCCAGGTGGCCGCTCACTCTGCTGCAGGAGATGGGAGCGATGACAATGAACAGAACGAGCGAAAAAAAATCTGTCGCCCAAGGATTCCATACAAGTCGATATCCACATTTTGCCACGTTTTGTGGAGTTTACACTCCGCGCCAGGACTGCCTGTGTTTCCTAGGACAAAACATTATACGAAATCAATACGACGGTGCGGCAAGTACATGCCTGATATGTGTGCATAGAGTAATGGGACATCCTTGCTCCAATAAAACATCTACTGCCTGAAATATCCACCCTTCTCTTACAACCTGGTTGTGACGAAACTTCGCATTTCGATCCGGCACAACAGACTGAATGCGTACGGTGAAATACGAACGCCCGTCTACCGGAATTACTTACACCACGCGAGGGAGGCTACTGTCAATACCTACACAATTCATTCCCACCATCTATTTTGTCATGATGTGAAATCTCCACATAAAAATTACGTTAAACCTTCCAAGAATTGCAGAAGAAGTACAACGAGTCTAAGGCTAACCTTCGGAAAGATCTGAATAAAATCAAACAACACGACAGAGACACTGTTTGTGACGAACAACGCATCACCTGGTCCAGGAAGCGTCCACCACGAACAGTAAAAACCCGCTCCCGAGGAACGCCTCATCTCATAGGAAGCACCCGGCACAATGAGAAAAAGCCCGGCATCCCTCCCACCCCAAACGTGGGATTGCTAACTACGTTGTTCGTAAGGACGAACTACAGTCTCAAAAGACGGCGATAATACAAGCAGCTAAAATAACTGGTACACGTGACAAAGCAAGGGGAGCGCTGCCTGTGTAGCGGTCGGGCAACTTCGTGACCATACGGTAGTGGTGGTGGTAGTGGTGGTGCGAGGGGGGGGGAGGGGGGCAACATCACATAATAGTACAATTACAGCCCCCCGACGCCGCAGAGACTTTCCGAGCTGTGTCCTCCATGCGAGAAAGCTGGAAGCGAAGTGGCACCAACAAGGAAGGGGAGGGGAGGAGAAAATACCAATTAACAACAGCGTCGTTGGCATGCGCATCGAGATACCGGGTGAGCGCAAGTGGCCATCTAAATTGATACATGAGTGTGCTAGGGTTGAGCAACGAATATCCAACCTAAAATGTATACAGTGTGGGGCCCGGTTTAACGACCCCTAGCGTCACGACGAAATGTGGCCGCGATTCAGGGCAGGTCGCTAAACCAACTACTAACCAAATAGCAGTTATACTACCGGGGTGCGCCGGTGCCACGTGATTTTGAGGTCGCAAAACAGGGCATGTCGCTAAACAGGGGATCGTGAACCGAGACCCCACTGTACCAAGATTCTGCGGTGGCTCTCACCCGATCCATGATTCCACGAGTTTCCACCTCCTTCTCGTCGAGTCTTTCCCGTAGATTTTTCCCTGCTTTCCGCAAGGTGTCCAACTCTCCCTCTTTGTCCTGCATCCGGTCTCGAATATCCCGCAACTCCTTGTCCTGCACACCGAAAGGGCAATTCGACGCAACAGCACTTCAAGAAAACGCAGTCATGAACCGTCATCCTCGGCGCGTACATCATATTTCAAAGAATGCTTCGGCAAGCAAAGGGTGCATCACAAGACCACACGTGTTGGCATTCAAACCAACAGGAAGCGTGCACACGTGTCGCAACTGAAAAAGCAATATGACCTTTGCCTGTCTCACTGACCTTCATCGCCACTGCCTGCCTCAACTCCCCAAGCTCGTCCTTACTAGCAAACTGGTCAGCGGCAATGCCGTTTCCCGACCAGTCAGCGCCAGAAGCCGCCGTGGTTCCACCAAGATTTGGAGCCAGCGGTGGCTCATTGCCTAGCGTGCGGTCGAGGGCCCCATCAGGGTTCGCTTGCTTCGCCTCAAAGTCTTTCGCGATCGTCGTGCGTTTCATCTGCAGCGGACAAACAGGCGCAGTACCACAGCAATCATGGAAGAGTGGACGATTATCGGAACCCCTCAAGCGCACACAGGAATTACGAAACACGCGCATCAACTCCGGATAGTCGACGGCTGCCGCTATCGACGGCGTGTGACTTGATCGAACAACCTCGAAACGATAGCAGAAATAGGCTTATGTAATGCACAGCACTCGTTGCCAGGACTTCCGCATGTAGCCGAGGTCAAAAACGTAGGAGTTGTAGCGTCAGCGTAACTTCAAGTATTATCACCCGGGCAACACAAAACAAATCACATGGGAAGCGCCGTGCACCTTTCTCAAATCCTTTTCCGTCTCGTCTACTCTCTTGAGCACATTGAGCAGAATGTCCTCGTTCGTTTTCTGGTCGACGTTAAGGTTCTCCACGCGTTCTTCGAGGTCGTCCAGGTCGGCGATGATCTGCTCCAACGCCATCTCGTACGCGACTGGAGCATCGCAGCGACGACAGACAAGGAGGACAAATGCAATGCTTGTGGTTGACGGGTGTCCAAGACAAAACTAAACGTTTGCGCACCATGCAAACTGCTCATACCATCGCGTTCAGCAACGGACATCCGCTTCTTCTCTTGCGTCACCAAGAACAGGGTTAACCCTACCCCTCCCCCTAGGAACGGTTCATAATTTGGAAACGACAACAACAAACAACAACAGAAGTGGCGGATTCAACCATACATACCGTGGACGAGCAAGGTAAGAGTTGGGTAAAAAAAGTAGAAACACTACCAATGTAGCACCGCAAAGTCACCAACCTTCTTCGTTGCTAACTTCCTCCATGTCATCACGTTCGCTTCCTTTCGTTGAAGACTCCCCTGTCACGGAACCCTGAGGTGAGCGCTTGACCCGGCTAGCAGGAGCTGGTGCAGCTGGCACGGTAGTCATCCCGTAAGTGCTTCCACGGCGCTTGTTGGTAGGGGAGGCTTCGTTCCCCGGCTTCCCATCGCCAATGCTCACCATTCCGTCCGCCATCGTCAGGTTGATGGCTGCGCGAAAACAACGGAGGTCATTCCGTGCAAGTCAGAGAGACCATTTTACATTTCGTGGTCGTCAAGCCGTATGTAGCCGCAAGGGGGCGAGGAATGGAAGCGAAGACATGAAAAATGACAGAAGCCATTCGCATATAATCCTCGGGCGGACGTGGAGCGGCACAAGGCACAACTGTATGAACCCAACAAGTTAGCAGAAGGTACGACTGTACGAATCCGTGACACTCACTCGACTTCTTCCTGGCGCGGTCCCCTCCACCTGCACCCTGTGCCCCGCTCGGCGCAGCTGCAGGCGAGTTTCCCCTCGAGTTCTGTCCTCCTGCGCCGGACGAGCGTCGATCCGCTACGCCACCTTGTTCCGGCGGCTGCTTCGCATTGCCCCCCCCAACACCAAACAATAAAGAGCTCTTTCGTGCAGGAGCAGGTGCATCTGACTTCGCGGCCGTCTTTGTTTGCTCCGGTGGAGCTCCATCCACGAGCCCGTTCGAATCGCCGCTTGGAGGGATCGTTTCCTGTCTGTCGGCCCTCGGTGATTCCCCGTTTGTTGCCTTGGAAGCCCCACTTGTTGATACGGCAGCTTTGTCGACGACAGCGTCCGCGGCAGCCGTAGGCGTGGTATTGGCTGCTGCTTCACCGGTAGTGGACGACGTGCTAGTATGGCTCGCAACATTCTTTGCCACCGACATCGCCGCTCCCATGAGAGTGCCATCAGACTCGGGGTGGTACGATCCATCTAGTCCTGAAAGGAGGGGAACAAAGGAATAGGAGTTTATGGACAAAGCCACACATTGCGCGGAACTGGAGGAGAGGGCGGGGAGGGGCAATGTTCCCTGCTCTTTTCGGTGTGCGAATGTAGTGAGAAAAAGAAAATTCGTGTCGTCTCGTTTCGCAAGACAGCCACAGAGAGAGAGTGTCCAAGCAGAGCACTAGCACATTACAGGTAAATACCCGGCCAATATCCAAAAAATATTTCCAGTTTTGATAACAGCTCAATGCGCGCACACCGACAACACTCTTTACTAGAGGATGTACTGTAGTGGGTCAAGAATGCCCTTTCGTTGCGACCACCAGCCGGCAAACTCAAGGTGTATACCGGCTGACACGAGATTTCTCCATGAAATGTATCAAATTGCTGTAGCTCCCACCTTGATCGTCGTCCTCGGGCATCTTGTTCTTGAGGAGCTTGATGATGTCCTCGCTTTTCCCCCTGTTTTTCTGCGAGGCGCTTTGCCCCACTAGGTGCAGGGGGAGCTTCCCCTTGTTGTCGATGACCATAACTTCCGCTCCCCACTCGAGCAGCAAGCGGACCTTCCCGAACAGCAAGGTACGCACCGTAATCAACGTACAGTACATGTCAAAATACACACCGATCAAGGCACATGTACGTCAACGAATCCTGGGCGACTTGTGTTGGAAAAAGGAAATCTCCAGCTGATGCTGTACTGCTGTTATCTAAGGTATGGCAGCAGTCCGCGTTGGCGCGTGCTCGCTAAAGACGAATAAGAAAGCTGAGACATATTTCAGACTCGACCCGACAAAACCAGGCGAAACGAAATTTGAAGCCAGCCACATCTTCCAGACCACTGCTTACGGGAGAGGAACGCATGCTTACCGAGTTGATGTGAGACTTGAGGCAGGCGTAGTGAAGCGGTGTTCGATTGATGTGGTCAGTGCATCCCACCCCGGCGTGCTTGAGGATGAGGAAGCGCGCCACCTCCACCTTATTGTAGTGGCATGCCTGTACGGCCGCAACGAGGCAAAGGTAGACACGGCGACGTTTCAAGGAATGCACAAGCGCGTACGAGGCAACAGTACTTTCATTCCGAGTGCTGGTCGAGAAAGCCACAGACCTGCCCAACTGAAGAAACTACACAAGACACCCTGGCTACGCGAGAGACGTGCTTCAATTTGACAAAAGTTTAAGTCAGTGCCTTCAAGTCAACACACCTAACGATTTCGTTCTCGAAAAAACTAAGATGTCCTTAGTGCACCGGGTGCTTGTTGAACGGGTTTTGTTTGCAAGCAGCCGGTCCGTGTCCATGCTTGCATACGCACCAAGTGTAGAGGAGTCATGTTCTTGACGTTGCGGACATCGATGGTAGCTCCCGCTCCCACAAGCACCTTAGCGAGACCTACGAAACCCTTTTTCGCCGCATAGTGCAGGGGGGTACCATCCTGCTCATCGCTCTCATCCAGGGACACCTGACATCGCAAACAATCAAGCAGTTGACACAGAATCAGGGGGCGGAGACAAATACGGCATGTCCGCATGAGATAAACATGTTCGCGAACACTCTTGACAGGTACTTGGAGGTACTAAGGAGAGGCTTCAGTGAGCGCCCACCTTGTGCTCCAAAAGCAACTTGACGATCTCGGTGTGCCCTCCCCACGTCGCCCAGTGCATGGCGCTTGCGTGCTGGTGGCTGAAAGTATCAGGCCTGTAAGGCGTGGCGTACACGAAAGGGGTGGAGGTAAAACTTGATCACGACGTCCGCCTCGTAGGTCAGACGAGAGAAACAAAACGCAACCTCAGCTCGTAGTGCTTACCTCCCTCATGCTGCTAGCCAAGGTGTTGCAAAGACACGATCTGTATGGTGCAGTGTACGCGAGGTGTATTCTGAGACTTGGACAGCGGTCCATAATACCCAAAAACTCTGATAGTTTACAACTACTCCATAAATCGAAGAACAGGACAGAAGTGACGACGCTCTCTCAGCCATAAACCGTCACCTCTACAACAGCAGCCAATAGCCTACGTTTTGCAACGATCGCAAGATCACTCGACCTTGTCCTACTGCAGGTCATTCATTTACACTTGGTACCCTCACGCGTGGATGGTCGAAACCACACCCGTTGTTAGTGGCAAAAAGCAAGAAAAACGTCGCCTCACTTGGCCCCCTCGTCAAGCAATCTCTTGACGATCTCCACGTGCCCCCCCCAGCAAGCCCACATGAGCGGGCTGCAATGCTCTCGATCCGGCTTGTTAACATCGCCCCCTTTGGCAATGAAATCTTGCACCTGATGACCGGCGCCCAAGGTGTGCAAAACGCCCAAAAAAGCGAACAAAAAACACAACAAGTAGGCAGCTCTGGTTAGCGTTGATCGACGTCACTGACTGGACCATTCAAACAGCAATGCCATCTTCGGTACTGTACTTCGATCAAAACATACGAACTGGCAGTGCATTCACCGTGTGATATAGTTACTCACACGGCAGCTGTTGCACCGCTCCTTGGAGGGTTCTGACGAGCCTTCCCACAACCAACGCCAACACAAGGTAACCATTGTAAATAGTTGTGCCACTAAGAACAATGCAACGACGCACGTAACACACCAGCAGCAATCGTTGATTGCTCGCTTGTATCAAGAGGAAATCTGTGATGGGCTTGGGGATCACGGGCAAAGCAAGGGTTTAGGTCAGGAAGATGTTGCTGCGCTTTTCTTGACTTGGAGAGCTGTTGGGAAACCCTGCTGCTGGCGAGCCATACTTCAAGACAGCTTCTGTACCACGACGAAAGAATATATCACAACCAGTCGGCATGTCAATCGCTAACCGCATCTCGTGTGGAGCTCGTCGACCGGCGAGAGCACCCTGTATATTCAAGGCCCCATTGTTGATTGCGGAGGTGACTGAGGATAGTGGTACTGCTGTACAGATTCATGACCACTACCCATTGCCGTACTTCTGAATATATCCGATACTGTACCGCCGCTCGGGTGGCGCCTACCCACAGCCTTTGAACGCCCAGAATCTACGAAAAGTCAGGTGTTGAAGGGAAGCCACCGGCCAGCTACTGTAAATATTCATACTGTTTGTAGGAACCATGACCAGACAGCCGAGAGGATGGCCCCCGAAGCGAATGGTGTTTGGGGAACTCGTGGGGGCAACAGGTGCCGGAGAAGAAGTGCCTGGGGGACAATTTACAAGCGTTTGGAGCCACACACAACTGACTCTACGGACGACAATCGAGGAACATTCGGACTTCATAGCGCCATCTGGGCTACCGCTAGCGAAGGGGGTGAGGTGGGGGTGCCGTGGCACGTGGGGGTACCGTGGGTCGCAAAGAGTACGAGTTCATGACCTCGTGGCACAAGGACGAAGAGGAGGCCAGTCTAAGACGTGACGGGACAGCGAAGACTTCAACACAACAATGATACGTAAAGGGCGGAGGGGATACATAAGGGAATATGCGTCGGAAGCTCATCATTAAAAGTGTACATGTTGCCGGTATAGACCGGACTGACTGATGGATGTGGCTGAAATGTCTGCCATCCATCTTCGTGTCGTCGTCGTATCGATAACCCCCTCCCTTCCATTGCACCCTTACATGGTAGTACATTGATAGTACATTGATCGTGCGCTGTTATTTGTGTCTTCTAAACTTCCTCAGACATGCTTTGCACTTTTCTGCGTTTCCATGTGTCTGCGTACTGCGGGGGTGAGTCTCGCTGGCAAGAACCTTTTGTATAGTATTGTAGAGACGTGGGGAACACCGACGACTTGCTTACATATGAAATGGGCGTAAGGTATCATCTGTGTCTTCGTCTTGAGCCCCCCACACATGTGTAAGTGCAGGTGGGGAATGACATCGCCGGTGCAAAGCCGGCAGTGGATACAACCCCGGACTATTAGTAGGAAGCACAAGATTTGTGCGATACTGGTAGTTGGTGATGTTAGTTTTTCTTGGTTGCGTCCTTTTGCCTGGCCTCGCTGACTTTCTGGGGGTCTTGATTATTTTTGCTTTCAGCACTGTCGAGTGCGTGTTGTGCTGAGTTTCCAATTCCTCTGTAATACCATTTCATAGTATATATGTACCCTTAGGCATCCGAGGCAGTTGGACCACTGAGGATGTTACAAGGTACGAGCAGAGATCGGAATGGCTGTCGAAGCGACGAAAACGACAACAACAAACGGTCAATCCAATCCGCTTTGATATCCTGAAAAGGAGCATTTACCTCCTGAACACCTTTCGAAAGTATGGACGCGATTCGCCTACAATCACCGATGTGCAAGTAAATTGTCGTTTCAACTTGTAGAGTGCCCTAAATATGTGATAATGAAGCAAGCGTGCACCGGACATGGTTCTGGGTCCCGAAAGACAAGACAACAAGATCAATCCGTCCGAACGGTGTCTATGGCACATCTCATCAGGCCTGTAGCGCTCCCGCAGCTGCATTGGGACACCTCACATTTACCAATGGTTGCAATTATTTGCCTACAGATGCAGGGCTCATTGACGTGAAAAGGATCAAGACAAAAAAAAAAACACGGGTTGCACAATACCACACATCGGACAGATCATGAGTTGGTTCACCTATGTCCCAAAGATCACCTGCGGTGCAAACATACCCCGATCACATACCGTACGTGACATACGATCCCACACCCGTGTGTAACATTTTTCGAGGTGCAATAAATATCACACGGTGTGGCATTTCGAGGGGGTGTGATATATAATGTGACCGTGTGATGAACTGTACTCATAGGACTCCACCCCGCAACGGGTTGTGGTAGCAGGTGTGTGTGATGAAGAAGGGGATTCATCATGTCAACCCCAAAAGTTCAATTTAAACTTCCGACAGAGGTATTTTTGGCTGGTTCCACAGACGGGACAGAGAAGGGAAGAGAGAAAAACTTGGGGTGGGAACGCCCGGCTAATCTTCCCCAGTCGAAGCAGAGATGCAACGATTCCTTTCAATGCCTTACGCTATCGTGCCGGAGAAACGTAGGAATGATGGGGAACAAACCAAAATAAGAAACACCATGTCGACCATAAGCCGCTCGGCTAGTTGTGTCGGTGCCGTTTGTGTTCGGTCGGCTGAAACAAAAGGCCAATCCCACATATGCATCGTTGGTGAATCATCGAGTACCACGACTCTGCTACCTACAACAGAGGGCCAGCTCCGGCACCGACGTACCTTCTGCAGCTTGCCGGCTCTAGCTGCAGCGTGCACCCCTGTGACGATGTACGACGCCATCGTTTAGCTCTCGCCCGTACCCGAGAGCACACCAGGTCCCTGCTCCCGCCCTCCCCGCGCTGCCCTCAACCCCCCCGTTCGTGCTAGGGTTCCAAGAGCTGTTTCGGCTTTTCGATCAATCGCCACGCAACGCCGTCAACGGTTACAATCAACTTGCTGCAAGCGGAGTACCCCTGCCACTCCACGAATGGCCGCCCGCCCACGACCTTTCAGCCCTCAGGAGCACGCCGTACCGCCTCTCCTGCTTCCTGCTCTGTCGCAGACGGAGCGAGACACTTTGATTCATTTGTCTTCTGGCCCCCCGGCAACAAAGGGGTTATGCCCAATCCGAGTTGGGAAACATTTCGCGTCCCCCCTCACTTCTACTTCATTGCACCACAGACAGAGGGAAGGGTGTTTGTTTTGTATATGCCACGTGCCACCACCCCGTCGCGGCTCGGTTCCACCATACTGCCCTGCCGGTGATGAGGCGCAGGTTTGACACTGCAGTGCTACTAGTAGTGGCATTCAGTTTGGTCTGGACCGGAGGCCGAGCATGGACAGCAGGTAGCCCAGGTGCAGGCTGGAAGCCCCGATCTGCCGTAACTGGTGTTCTTGGAGGAGCTGCGTATGGCGGTGGGTACAAAAGAAAGAGTACTACCAGATAGGGTGATGTCAGTGTCGTGTGTTCCGTGTTGGAGAGAGCGTGGTACTTTCACCATCGGTGGGTGGGGAGAGTAAGGCAGGCGTGACATATCAATGGCGTGCTGCTTGAATATACATATATGCGGCGGTACTCCCCAAAATGTAGTCAGCACAGGTGCACGCTGTTAACGTCACCCCGCTCGCTGTGTCCCGCCGCCCCACCACGATATCTACATCACGTCGACAAGGATTAAGAGACTCGAATAATTTCGACTGGCAGGTGGCAGAACTGCGTCCGCGTCTTACAGCAGTACGTATTTTGTTTATCACAGGGGTCGACCGAGGTATTCGCAGTTGGTCCTGCCAAGCACTGCCCCGACCTCGACAACGAGGTGCAGTCAAACGAAGTTCGGCCACGACGCTAGCTATGCTCCGACGAGGGTCCGCTCCTGCACAGTTGTGGTCGGTGAGAACTCAACGAAATGATTGTCCAATTGGTTTTTATGGTCGAACTGTTTGCTACACAGTTGTTACACAGCTCACGATATGGTGAATGCCACGACTCATGGACGTCGACAAGCAAAAAGCAGATATGCACACACAGACTGCAACAGCAACAGGGGTACCGCGCGCCATATTCATCGTGATGTATGTCTGGCCCATGTCACCAGCTCTCAGTTCGCGATGGCTGACTTAACTCTGATGTATGTAATGTTGCGATATCTCTAGACCCCCCTCTTGTCTTTGTCGTGGCTGCTCCCATCAGATCGCTGGACTCAAAGCAGCCGGAGCGAGATTCTGGGGGCCGCTGACGAATGTCGTCACACCCCAGAAGCTTTTCCTCTTCCTCCTGTTTCAGGCGAGACCTCTGACACCTGCATGTAGTGATGCTCTGTCTCAATAATAGTCATTTAGTCGATTCCTCTGCTAGTGATATTTGCTGTACACTCACGACACCCCAAGCGTTTCCCATGAAAAAGAACATGTCTCATGAAACAGAACACATCCATACCTTCGATTGAGGCATTTTCTCGAACGGGTAGTATTTCTGTGATTGCATGCATGTTTATACCTGAAAAAGAACACCGCGCGTTTCGCAAACGCAGAGCCTCAACGTAGGATGCGAACGGCGATCGCATGTGCCCTTGTACTTAATTCCTCACTTCGGAGTTGTACCCTCGCGCGTCCCGCATGTTCTCTCAAATGATCCCTTGGTTCCCCGCTTTGCCTCCCTTTCGCAGATTGTATACAGAAGGTTGCTACGACTACTGTACAGACTGCAGGTGCAGGTTTGGCGACTCGTGCGAAAACACGACCCCCAACCTTACGAGCAATCTGTTCTGGGCTTTGTGGAGCCCAGACTGAGAACGCTCAGCAGGGTGAGCCGTTTGTTGCTTAGGTTCGCGTGTCTCGCGTGTGGATGCGCGTTGCCTGGTTTCAGGCTTTCGTGTATATCCAACTCCGCGTTAAACTTTGTTGTCGTGGATTAGTACAGCACGGTGAGCAAGGCTAGATTTGCTATTGCAGAAGACGACATCATGCACCGTTGTCTCGTTTCAACATGTGCCTGTGTGATGCACCTTGTATTTATCGGTACCTATTTAGAGCACAACTATACGGTTGACCTGTATGTATTCGTTTCACTGCAAAGTGTTGCAAATGTGGAAGAGGGAGGGTCGTCCAAATAGTTGTGTTTACTTTTGTTGGCAGCACGCGCGGGGACTTCCGCTGCCGCTCTTTAGCTCCCTCTCGGCGTGTTGCATGCGGCGTTTCCGGAGAGTGCCATTTCATGGTCCAGCGGAATTTCTTGTGGTACATGCCTCCTCCATTCTACAAGCCGTCATCGTTCCCTGCTCCACGCCCCACATACACAACGGTCAGACCTTGGTGGTGGCATACGCCTTGAAGAGCGGCGTCAGGGTGCTGATTGCGAGCGGATGGAACGCCAACCCCCAGCTGGCAAAGGTGGGCATGGACATCGTAGATGAGACTCTAAACGGCAGACTATGGACTCTTGACTGCCTGTGTCTCGTCGTTCCTTCCGATCTACGTGTATATATTTATCTGCCTGGCTTCATGATGACATCGTGTGCGTACCTTCTTGGCGTAGCTTTGGATGTTGGATGCGCTGTTTCTCTACTGCGAAAATTCTGCCCATTTCAGCCAATCTGCTGCGTACACGAAACACCGCTTCTTGTCCCTAAATATGTCGACTTTCAGCTCGCACTGGGCATGCTAGAGCAGTTCAGTTACAGTGGAGCATGCGCCCTGGTGACGCTTGTGCGTGATACTGCAAGATTAGTGCAACCCGTGCCGTTTTTGTCAAAAAAAATTCTGGTACGAAGTGCCAGTAATATCTGAGCTGTGCACCACAAATCGACGAAGGTGTACCCTCTCTGCAGCCGCCCAGAATTCGGATCGGCGAAATCGGCAGAGCTTAAAATCGTGAGAGCCGCGTGACTGTTGCTTTTTCCCGGCCATACCTTTTCGGACAGGTTCTATCCGATGTGGTGTACTGCTGGTATGCAGGCTATTTTGTGGACGAGGCGAAGCGTTTCTTTCTCCCTGTCTGGTACGTGGGAATGAGGCTTGATGTGTGTCACCGACTTTTGAAGATTGGAGCAACCATATTGTTGTAGCATGTGACTGCCTGTCGAACTACGCGGGTGCAGATTGCTACCGGGCTCGTGTTTGATATCCCGCTTTATCAATGGTAGGGCTGTGGCACTGTCAGGAGATTGCGCAGAAGCAGATCCAACATGTTTCCTTGCTTTTGCCCGATCGTGACCACCGTCCGTGGGTAGCCCACACATAATGGCACCTATGAAACGGTGTTGTCTCGACCGCTCATGAATACTCAACCACCGGCACGATCTGAACTGGCTGCCCTATGTTGCGTCTACTCTAACTCTACATGACAGGATACCTTCACTAAAGGCTGACAAGCGAAAAGGCTTCATTTACAACCGGTCCTTATCGGTGCTTACATGGTCTATTTGTCTTCTCACCGTATCGGAGGTGATCTCGGCGTATCTCCGAATACCAATAACCTCCACGCTGGCTTTCGGGGGTATAGGTGGTCTCGCCATTGGTTTGGCCGGGAAGGTGAGGCGGTGTCATGCTTCCCCGTGTGTAGCATTCGAGACATACCGTTGTGCATGGTCGCGTTCGCCGTGTTCCTGGTGGTTGTTGTATTTGATGAAGGCTGGGTTAGACAGATTCTGTGGCGACCCCCTGCATAGTAGAAGGCCTTGTTCGTTGCTTGTGTTGGTATTCACGACCCCCGGTTGCCTCCTCTCCGCTCGTCTCTTGCTGTTGTCTGTTCGGTGGCGAATAAGGATGTTCTCTCCAACTTTTTCGGGGGGCTGATGCTCCTTCTCGCGGAGCCTTTCATTCCAGGAGATATGGTGACGTTCCAGAGAGGCGGAGTACGGTGAGTTGACGGAGTTGACCAGTTTTTGGTTTGTGTGATTGTCATCGATGTACGTAGTCAGCCTTTTTTGCATAGGAGGTGGAGCTGCCCGCCCTGCCAGTAAAGAGTTGACATTATCTCTGGCACCTACTTACACTGGGAAGTTTTGGTTCCTCTGTTTTGGCTTGACCAACGCTTACGGTGCGACTCGTGAGCACTACACAAGAGAGGATACGCAAGTAGGTTGCCTGTGCAAAGAAGGGGGTGCATTGGCCGCCTACAATTCCGCATCCATGCTCCTACCTCGTGCGTTCCGTCTTGTGGCGACAGATGCGAAGGGCGTGTAGAGCGTGTGGGCTGGTACCAAACCAGGTTACGTGGGAGGGATACTCGTCCTACATACGTGCCTAACGGGATGTTTTCCGACACAATGGTGAGCTCCAGGGAGATTTGAAGCATTTCTTTTGCCGTTGGTGTGTCGCCCGCGGCGCACACTCGGTGCTCTTTGCACTTTTTGTCTCTTTGCCGCGTCGTGGATCATTACTGCTGTGTCACCATGATGGTTCAGCTGAAATGGATGCCCCAGTTTCTCAGCTGAGTGGAAGTTCTCAGTTTCTCCTTTGTAGGACACAAAGGTTCCGTATGTGGACGAATTCGGTTACGAGTAGCTACGGGATGCACATGTGGCAGGTTTGATCGCTTGCGGCTCGGTTTCTAGCAGCGCTCCGGTTGGGGTCATGCTAGACACCGACAGGGGTTGTTCTCCATCTGAGTTGGTGTGGAGGATGCCCCGTTCGTGGAGCGGAGGATGCCCGCAATTTGGACGCTCACGCAAACTAAGTTTCCGCGCGCGGTTACCCACACGCCCAGTCCTCTTTGCTTGTTGGTCTTCTCAATATTCACCACTGCAACAGGTGACCAACATGGATCGAATAACGCACCGAAAGTTCGAATCCAGTTTCCAACTCCGGTGAGCCAAGCAACTTCATAATATCAGCAGCGGTAGTGTGCAGCGGTTTGGACTCGTTGTTGTTCGTGTTCTTTTATCTCGTTGTAGGTCTTGAGCGTCTCCCAGTTGACCTTTCTGCCTTGTACAAGTCTACAGCGAGTGAGCCTAATCTGAAATCTGATGTTCCCCTTGTGCGCTTCTCTGGACAGGTACGCGGATGCGCCTAAGGTGGCAGAAATTCTGCAGGGGATCAAAACTGCCCTCAAGGACGTCCCTAACATTGACTTACTCAGTCCGTTCCGCGTCCATTTGGTCGACTTTGCGGAAAGCGGCCTCAAGATCAATGTAGTTTGCTACTTTGCCACGAAGTCGTTTGACGAGTTCTTGTACCTGCAACAGGTAGCGCTCCTCGAAGTAACTCGCGTAGTTCAAGGCGCGAGTGCTACCATGACGAGCGTCTTGTATGTCGACATGAACAACCCCGCTCCGATTGGGAAAGTGCCTTTAGCAGGGATGATCAACTCTGCCCAAAACAAGGGCGTGGCTCAGTCGGGATTGCCCAAGGTGGTGGCCGCACCAAAGGATTTGAATCCAAAAGGCGCCGAGGGCGCATCAATAGAGGAAGACGGCCCGCGACCAATAAACGGTACTGGTGTTAGCGGGGGTAGTAGTGTACAAAAAAGTAGACGTGTAAAGAAGCCCCGGGGTGGTACTGTATAAATTGGTCTTGATCTGAGTCTTGTTGAGAAAACAAAATGTCGAAAAAATATTGGTTGCTACAACCGATAAGAACCTTCTTACGCTGAGGGAAAAGGCCTCCCACATCTAGCACGCCAATAGCCCGAGTCTCAGGCAGTCAATCAGTGCCGTTCCGAACAAAAGCTTTGGCGTGCATGTTATTCAACGCGCGTGACTCGGTGTCCACCGCAACAGCCACCCGAACGCACATCTCTTGCAACACCCTGTTCATCGCTTCTCGGTCGGCGGAGACGAGTCACGCACGCGGGATGCAGTCTCGACTCCCTCAGCCTGCCCTTCCCCCGCTTCCTGAGCTCCTTCTTTGTGAGGTTCTTCCGTTTCCATTGCTTGACTGCTGTCTGCTGCTTTCCCGTCAGGTGCCGGTCGCTTCCGGTCCTGCACCTGTCGCTCGCCGCCTTGCGCGGTCTTCGAGGGTGTGTCCTCTCCAGTTCCTTGTGACACCGCGTGGGGCATCGGCTCGCCTCCATGAGCGGGAGTCACGTCCTCACCAAGCCCGCCGGCAGTTTGCTCTTGGGACATGGGTTCCTCGGTGCCCTCTTCGACCGTCGCGTCTTCATCAAGCCCGCCGACAGTTTGCTCTTGAGACATGGGTTCCTCGGTGCCTTCTTCAACGGATCCGTCCAGCGTACCGAAAGTTTCCTCTTGCGACATCGGCTCAACGGCACCATCTCCCTCTTCCGAAGTCGGCCCAGCAGGCGGTTTGGCGCACTCGGGTTCTTCGGGCTTCTGTTTCTCTTCCAACGTAGGGGCGGCAGCTCCGCCTGCCGAAACAGAGACTTCGCCAGAGGCAGTGTTTGGCGCACCCTCATCCACCGTCTTGGGCTCTGACGTGGAGGAAGCTTTTGGAGCGTTGGAGTCATCCGGCGAGCCGCCAGAATCCTCCTTGACAACTGCAAGCTTCTCAGAGGCTTTCTTCATGAAAGGGTTGTATGTGTCCTGCAAAGCATGTCGCGTTACAGCGCACGACGGCGTGTAAATCGCCCATGAGTCAAGCACATACAATATCACCAAACCTGTCAGGAACTTCAACCATTTGACAGGAAGTTTGCGGGGAGTCTCCACGCAATTCTACCCCCAAGCCGATGGTCAGGACTACCAAAAGCCCACGTTTGGGTGTGACTAGTGACCAACGGCCGTCGCAGGGAGCGTCACCTCACCAAATCCAATAACAACCAAGCAATACAGCTAGCACTAAGTCTAGTGCTGAAACTGCATGGGGAAACCGTTTTACAGAGCAACGCCACAACGAGAGCAATCGCAGCCTCACGCCCGCAAGCACCCCGTCTGGCACCGGAGGTACTAGTAGGAGCGCCTGCCGGTAGACGTAAGCCTCACCTTTCCGAACAGTACGAACTCGATGAGGTCGATACCTTCGCTGAATTCCAGCATAGTGTCAATGGCGATCTGCCGGTAAATACAAGCACGTCAGGACGCGAGGTGCCCACTTTCATCAAGCCTCAGACGTAGAACTGTCAGCAGACGGCCATCATAAATCATTTTCGTTCGACACGTCATCCCTGGGTATATCTGCGTCAGGTCGACCCATTCAGGCCACTCGAGTTTCTACACGCAACACTCACGATAAAAATCGTTCGGTTCCACAGGAAACGCTTTGCGTGCTGTGCCCATATTTGAAAAGTCTCTCTCCGAACCAATCCCTGAGAGGTTTCTTCACGAGTGTTGAAGTATGCCATCTGTGAATACAACATCACTATAAAACCCGCACAAACACTCACATCCATTCCAGGCGGAACGTTCCGACAACTTGCGCCATCTAGAGACGGCAAAAACCATCTCCAACTGCACCATGAAGAGGAACGAAGACAGTACGCATGCTTGTAGCCGGGCAAGTGTGGATAAAATTTTCAGTTGAGAGATTATCACCCAACGCACCAAGGCACCGCCGTGAAACACCTCAGCCAAAGCTTATCCTCGAGACAGCACCATGATGCGTCACGCGGCTTACCTCAGCAGCCTCGCCTGCTGGGTACCCGTAGACGCCGCAGGATATAGCTGGGAAAGCGACGCTTTTCACTCCGTTCTCCTTGCACAGCAGCAACGAATTCTGGCGATCAAGCATAGGGCAGGGGGCACAGTGGACAACATCAAGCTTCGGAAAGTTGCTAATTGATGGAGACCTAGTCCTTGGGTTTGAGAGAGCCGGTTGAGCGAAGGCGTGCAAATCAGCACTTCCTGGGATTATATGGACACTTTCTTGAGCATATTACGAACAAATGGCTCGGGCTCATTGGTACTCCGCTGCCCCACCTGACAGTGCTCTTCACCAGAGTGTCTTTCGACGCGCATCAAGTACAAACCCGCATCTGATTCCTCAAACGGACGAAGGGGGAGAGGGGTTCCGCAGCCAAGCTGCCGCAACCGACTGACTCACCTTGATGGCAGATCGAAGGAGCGGCGCTGACACCTCTTTGTTTTCGTAGACAGGACCAACGGTATGGATCTGTACTCAAGACAGGAGGTGGGAAACGAAAACAGACGGGCGCATAAAACGATATGGTACCTAAGAGGAACGTCTGCCGAATACGACTGGACCCTGGGACGCCACATCAAGGGGACAAAGAACCAAAAGGATTTACGACAAAACGGAGACCACCAGGGCTATTGACGCACGTCCACACCGACATTTCGCTGGTTGAAGACGGATGATTACGGATGCTGGTACTCGATAGATAACTACGGTGTACGACACCATATCCAGGGTCTCTGCTTCAAACAAATCGTATCGTACCACGAACTTGGCGGGTAGGCGGAATCCGGGAGTGATGCGGGCTTCGCCAGTCGGGCACCTTCGCAAAGAACAACAGCAGCGGCGAGGAGAAAATCTTGAAAGACCCAAGACGGATGCATTTGAATGTCATACGCCTGTTGGTGATGACGTTGCGACAAGACCGATCGCTTGGCAAAGCCGGGTCAGGACAGTATGTATCCGAAGTACGTGATGGCAAAGGCATAACGTTTACACAGATTGCGCCCTCGTCTACACTGCAACTGCTGATTCGCGTACCCCTTTCCAGCAAAGGTCGTACCGGTGGCTCATTCAGTTGGGGACCTGGCAACCTTTCGACTAAAGGACGTGAGTTCAAAGCTCGCCGCAGTCACACGGCCCGGGATTCTTTCCCATCACGCCCAATACATGCAGGACAACTACATGTATATTTCGTGGGTAAACATTTTACTTTTCTTTACGGTTGACGAGGGAACGACTCAACTATTCTCGGAATTTAAAAATGAACCAAGCCGGAGGCGAACTGCGGAGGAAAAACAACACTGAGTGGCCTTCCTCCTGCGTAACCCCGGCTGGTGCATCCAAAATATCAAAAGTTAACCGAGCATTGAAGTCTGACGCCGAGAATAGACGAGATGATTGGACACATACATTTGGAATGAGGTTATGCCAGACAAACATTGGGCATCGACTGTGCCGCATCCATCGGCAAGGTACCACTTGCGGCACCTTGCCTGCATCTCCAAACGTACGGCACAAGATCAGAGAGATAACATGCTCACCGGATGTCCTCTGAGTTGGGCTCAACGTCATAGCATGCCTTCAGGAGCTGCGACAAAACGAAAACGAACATGTACCAGGGGAATGGCGCGCAATATTGTTGTGTTTTCGTAGACAACGGTGGCGTGCAACCATCTCGTGCCGGCGTGTGTTCATCGAAAACTGCAAACACTCAACCCCGCCACCGCTGGACGTAACGCTGTCGTCTTTGACAATAGTGCTACTGTTCCCCCAGCTTCGTATCATCGAGAAGTCTTCCAGATTCGTTCCCCACTACATGGGAATGTGACTACTCGCAACACTTACATCTCGTCCTGCTGCTCGATGGATTGCCCCATCTACGCCTCCTCCTCCCAACATCTGCGTCCCGTGGCACAAAAGAAAAAGAGTGGTAATTAGATCACGACATTAACTTGATCCCAAGTCAAGAACTTGTGGCCAGCTTCTTGGCAAATATATTTGGTTAGGCCTGGAGACTCTCTGCAATAATGTGCCAATAGCGAATGGTGTGCACATGTCGGAGACAAATGTGTCCCGGAACCGATCTGGCCGCAGTGGGCTTCAGGTTCTCAGCACAGCAGTTTTTCACTATCTTTCACGGGCAACGGAGCAAGTTTGACCGTCCTAGTACCCAGTCCCTCCGCAAAACAAAATCCTCAAAAATGTTTGTCAGCCATTGGTCGAGGGGCTGCAGTCCCTCCAAATCTGAGCTCCTTGCTTGACAAAGGGTAAATTGGCTTCAGTATGAAAAGTGTCCCCAAAAAACACGTGGGGACACTTTTCATGCTGAAGCCAAGTCAGCAAATTTTCCAATACCAGGCGATGTACAGTTTTACGACCTAGGGAGCACGCGGGTTGGGGGATGTGTACAGCACGTCAGAGGTGCAGGAGAGGCATCACACAGCATACCACACAGCGTACCACCTCAGCCAAGCATGATAGACCAAGGGTTCTCACGTGCGTTGCACACAGCGGAGCCTAGGGTGACTACAGTGCGGGATATAGGCAATTTGAGTGCTGTGCCCCCGAAGTGTCCCCATTTAGGCTTCCAGTACTAGGAGGGTTGAACTTACCCACTCGTTTGCAGCGTTCACAACAGCATCGCCTTTCCACTTCGTTAGGTCGCCTGTACAAGATGCGTGGAAAAAGGCAACGTTGGTAAACATTCACAACAAATCAGAGGTGTTGCATGTACAGTAATGGTACACGATAGGGAGATCCACGGAACCGAGCGAAACGTCAATACTAAAATAGAGCTCTGTATCGTCAACGACATTCGGGAAAGCATCCGCGGATGCATACGGCATATCCCATACTGTTTCGCCGACCAGTTCAACAGGTATTTCTCACGGGTTTTTCTCAAACGAAGGCTTCTACACATGGCAACAGGGAGATATGTCGACCCACAGAACTCCTCTGTGCGCGTTGTTGCCTCTCTAAGACCGCTAGACAGTGTGTTCGTGAAAAAACACGTACTTCTAGAGGTTTGCGCGAAAGGCAAGGAAAGGTGCGTGGATCGATCCCTCCAACGATGTACATTGTAGACACATCCGGTTGCTGTGCGATTACCCCGCCGTCGGAAAAAGAGATGGACACTGAGAAGGCCATCTGCGTTTAAAAGGGCCTGACACACATCGGCACCCTGGCGGGAAGCACAAAACAATCTGTGCACAGCAGTGCTACTTCTATTTGCAAGCAGTGCCACCAATCAACGCCGGTTTCTATGTGGGAGAGTGGAAGAGGAATACCGCGAGAAAGACAGCAGTGTCCCAGGGACCGTGCGTGCTGAGTTTAACTGGTTCGGGGTGTGCGATGTTGGGATTTTAATCCATCTACGCTGCTTATCTTTCCAAGATCTCGTTCTTGCTTTCGCGTTTCGCAACAAACGTTGGTATGCTGTTATGCTCAAGACATGCAGGAAGTACAAAACCTTGAACATGACCAGCCTGAGGGTCTAAAAAATTAGGGCCCATTCCGATGGGAACGAGGAAATGCCCAAATCCCTGCCTCCGGCACCGCCCCTCGCAAGCCAGGGGCAGCTGGTGGGGCTCTCATAGCGATGAGGAAATAGCTCGCTTGAGGCGCTTGCCGACGTTTTCCGAGCCTTCGGCTTAGACTATTATAGCAGGTACGCAAAAACAATGCTCTGTCCCTGGTACCTGGTATGTTTTTTTAGAAAGTAAACATAATCTCACAGAAAGACGACCCGTTCGAGACATAACCACAATCGAAAGGGATGTGCTGAAGTCTTTTCAGTGAGTTGAGGGAATGATGATGAGAACGAACGGCGTTATGTGACACCGGTATATGTAGGTGTACCATGAATTGCACGATACACACATTTGGTAAACACGGATACATCTATGTAGCGTAGCAAAGGTTTTGGGGTGAGTTCTAAATCTTTTTGGCGAGCGCTTTCGCATCATATGTGGGCGATATTCCGTCTAAGCTAGACAGTGGGCTCCAGAGAATATGTGTGCATGGACGAAGTGCAAGCAGCCCGTGTAGGTGGGTAAATCCGTCACTGAACGACACAGAGAGAAGAGCACCTGCCGAAAATCACCCGCAGACCTCCCCGTCAGAAACAACTCTGCCAGCGAAGGAAAAGCATGTGTCGGCAGGGGGCCATTGAGAAACGAGTGTCCACATCACTACTGCTGCAAAACATGTCTTCACATCTGTTGCACTCATACAGCAGGTTAGACGAACTTGAAGGTTGTATGCACACAGCAGCTAATTTTACATGATGTCGAGACAGCGTGTACCATATGGAGCATCACATGGTTTTATCAGACAGCTTAGGACGAAGACGGGTATCCATTTGATCGCGTATAACACCCACCTCCCGATATAGCTAGCACGCTGGAATCTTTCAGCTTGAAGAGCCGGCGAGTTGGGAGCCCAGATCGCCTTCGACTGCTCCCTGGCGGTGAGAACAAAACACGACACCGCAATAGTTCCAATGGTTATTGTACTGCTTTATGGGAACTTGATTAGTCTGCGTTTGGGACCGGCTTAACAGCAGGCAAAAATTTAAAAACGCTGCCGCGGTACGACAAACCGCCCTCTTCCAAGCTATTAATACCTACACCGCACCTGCACCCCTGGCATTCATCGATACCATTCCCTTCGTACTGCCGGCGAACAACGAGTAGAGGCTGTTCATCAGACCAAGACGGACTCGCATCTGTGTGTGCGGCGCAACTCTGTCTCCTTTGGGGCTGGCGGGTCCCGCGCTTTGTTGCTGCTGTCCACGAGGGGGGTGGAAAGTGATCTGAGAGTTGCATGTGGCGGGGCCACCGCGGACGCTGCGCCGCTGGCCTGTGCTCTGTGATGCCACTGCACAGTGCAGTGCAGACTCTTGTGACTGTCCCGAAGGGATTTAATTAGCACACGCACACACCCGGGTTATTACAGCCTGCGTGCGAGAGAAGGAAAAAGCACAGGGATGAAAAGTTCGGTTCCTACCAGGATGTACATGATGAGAGTACCGCAGGCAAGTTCAGGGTGGGTGGTTTTGGGCTGTGGCGTCGGCATGGGGGTGGGATACTTGCTATCGACCCGTCGAAGTAGGAGAAAAACAATGGATCGGAGCAACCTCTCCACACATCCGTCATGGACTCCTGGAGACAAACAACCTCCACCGGAAGGAACAGATAAAGGTTTGCTGGTGTGCATAGACCTCACATGAAATGTGTACTATTATTGCCAGCAGCATTAGACTAAATTATTGATGACTACGTATCGGTTTGTACAAGTAATTTTTGAAAAGAAACGCAACTGCATACATACATTGTACTACAGTGGGGGGCCCTCTATAGTGCCGGTACGTGCGCAGGGCGTTCACCGGCACTATAGCGGGCACCGGCACAACTGGGAATAGTGCCTCAATAGTGCCAAACGGCACTATTTGGGTGATCGATATCCCTCAGTAGTGCCGGTCTGGCACTACTGAGGCACTGCTGTTTGAGTTCATGGTGTATCGCTTACCATTTGCGAGGCCAACAGAGTAGCATGTGGATCGAGTGTGGTGAATATACTTTGTGGGCGGCAGGGGCAGCCTTTTCTGAGACAAATGTGGGTTCCACTCTGATAGCTGAGTTTGCCGCGAAACCATTCCCGCATGCACGCGCAGAATTCACCTTCGGAGCCAAACCCCGTGTACAGCTCCCGTCCGTGCAACTTAGTATACTTGAAAAAATGTCACGTTCCTCGCTGCCTCCCTACGATGTTGCGTGATGAGACACGCCAACAAAACCAATAAACGCGCCAGCAACGAAGCGGACAAAAATAAAACAAAACAAAAAGAAAAAAACTGCGGTATAGCTGTCCCCCCCTCACTCATCAACAAACTCTCTCATGTCTGTCTGGCGCACGCCCTTAGCGGCATGCGCCGCGATCATCGCCATCTTCGCTTTCGATAGGTGGAACGCAGCGTCCCCGTTTCCACTCTCCCGCGCGGCCACCTCCAGGACGCCGAAGTGAGAAGACAGTTCACCGTAAGCCGGTGGGGCGCGGCGGCCGCCCCCCGTGTCCTCATGATCACTGTCCGCCTCATCTTCGGATTCCTCCTCGCGGCAGGTAGATAGGCGCGTTCCCGCTAGCTGTGCCGTCATTTCGTCCGCTGCATCCTGTCGAAAAGCCTCCACCACGTCATCGTCATCCTCGATGGTAGCCCACGCCTGAACTAAGTCCACCGCCTCCTCCGGGGCAGGCTCTCCGGGTGAGATGTTGAGTTCTGCGAACATTTCACTCAGGTCCTCGTCTTCGATGCGAGACCCCTGCTGCTGCGCGTCGTGCACGCTCGTGCTCAACGAGTGGACACTCTTCGTGAGGGACCTCAACGCAGGCTCGTGGATGCGGGCCTGGGTTTTCCCGTGGAGGTTGGTGAGCTCAGCCGCCATCTCCTGCGGAAGCGTGTCGGCTTTGACAAAGCACCTGGTCGCGGGGTTGCCGAGAATACGAAACCGCATCCGTTTTTGAGTGCAACGCAGATATTAGACGGACCCAGCGGCAGAAGTTGACTCATCCGCATGCAAAAAAAGAGGAAATTTTTATTGCAAACGAGGGATGCCCCTGCAGGAAACTTTCTCAAAAAAAATCCGTACCACCTCTGCCACGAAACGTGCCACCAAAGCTATTGTGCTAGCACCACCGCCCGAGTTGAAGCATCTACATAGCAACAGAACATGTTCAAACCTGACCTGGCGATGTCCTGGGGAGTGACGCTGCCCCATGCTTTCTGAAGAAGTTCAGCGGCGTCCCGTAGGTGAGGTTGGTGCCCCTGCGCCAGCCCCATCGTCCCGGCCTTCATCTTACTGGCTTTGGCCTGGGCGCGAAGGGTCTCAGCGACCAACATTGTGGATGCCTTCACGTCGAGCATCTCCTTCCTGTAGAGGACCTTCGTCTTCGCGATGATCCCCATGTCCATGGGCTGGTGCAGGCTGGTGCAGTTCGGAGGATAGAACTTGATGGTAACTTGCCCACGATCATCAACGAGATCGCCGTGAGAGGAGCAGCCGTCCATCAGGAGCAGCACCTTTTCGTGAGTGAAGCGCCGAATGAACGGGAGGAAGACTTCAAGCCACCACTTGAGGAACGTCGCGGAGTCAGACCACGCGTTGGCCTGCGAGAAGTACTTCAGAGGTGAAGGCGCGTCCGTGAAGCAGCGAGGCACCTTCGACCTCCCGATGATGGCCATGTCCACCTTTGCAGTGCCGTCGGCGTTGCTGCACATGATGGCAGACATCCGATCCTTGAAGTACATGCTCTTGGAGCCCCGCGCCTTCTTGCGGTCCTCCGAGGAGGAAAGATACGTGCGCCTGGGCATAAGCTTCCACTGGATGCCTGTCTCGTCCACGTTGAAGATGAACCTAGCTGGGTACTTCGCGCAAAGGCTCCTGACTTCCTCCATGCCCTTCTCGATGGCCGCTGGGTCGACACTACCAGCCTCGCCATGAAGTCTCGCACTCAGCACCTTGTTGCGCTTCACGAAGTTCTTGGCCCACTTTTCACCGGCCTTGAAGTCCTCGACCCTCGCCCTCACTGCTGCAGAAGTAGCGGGCTCAGCGAGCAGGGTTGCCACGGTGGAACGGCCGAAGCTTCGAAGTACGTCCCGTGTGACGGGCATCTTGGCCTTCCGGGCTTTATCGAGCAGATCAATAACTATCTCATCCACCTGCCGGCGAAAAAGAGTATACAATGCAGAGGTTCAAGCGACCAACGATTAGTTTCAAACGTAAGCATCTACACTGCGCGGCGCAGATACGAGGGACGACGCCGCGGTACACCGTAAACAAAGCTGATGTTTTTTAAGTGCCACTACACCCGGAAAGAAAAAATTGCGGGAGGGGAAAGGGAAAGTTGCGAGGAGACGCTCGTACAGGCTACATCTGCTTACATCTGCTTGTTTGTTTTGAAAAAAAAGCGGGTGCGAATATGTACACAACAGTGCTCTTTCAATTTCAAGGACAAATAATCGGAAGGTCTATGAGTGTGGACATCGAGGACCTCAAAGGCCAAAGACATAACAAAAAAAGGCAAAGAGAAAGAAAAAAAGGAGGTGACATGAAAAAAAAAAACACCATATGATACATACGAAAAGACGAAAAGGGAAAGGCAAAGAAACAAGGAAGGGCAAAAAAAAAAAAGGTACAGCAGTAGAAATCGGCGACATGAGGGCATTTTTGAAAAATGGCGGGGAAAAACAACGTTCGAGAGGAAATTGCCAGGCATGTCGTGTACTCTACCTACCTCCGGAAAGTCTCCTCTGCGTGCGGTTTTCTGGCTTCCGTCGCCTGCAGCTGCCTTAGCCTCCACTTCCTTCCGTTCAGCTTTCACCTTGCGGACCAGCCGTTCCGAGCACTTAAAGCGATCTGCTATCTGCTCATGAGAAATCTTGGCATCCAGCAGCTTGAGGACCTCAACCTTGTCAGCGTTGCTCAGCCGCGCGCGAGAAGCCTTCTTCCCCCCCCCTTTCTCTGTCGGACGTTTAGATGGTCCCGCCCCAGCATCAACCCCAGCTGCGGTCGCTTTGCGCTTGCCAGTCTTAGCAGCGACGCAAGAACTGCAGATGCGGGATGTTTCGAAGTCACCCTCCACGCTGCCGCAAGTGCTATGGAGCCGCCCGCCACATCCTCCCTTGCAGACGTGGCCATGAGGGGTCTTCGGCGTTCTGTTCTGTTGAAGGCACAGTTCACCTTCCGCACACGGCATGGTGCGCCTCTGCGTAGAGCTGTGTTGGACTGCAGCAGCACGGTGTCTGTATTTTGGGAGTGTGGTGGTGTGTGTGCGTGCGTGTGTGAACCGGCACTATTGCGGGCTGACGTGGTGCCCAACCGGCACTATACCAGGCCCGCCCTCAATAGTGCCGTTTGGCACTATTGAGGGCGCTTTCTGTGTGGAGAGATTTTACCGGCACTATACCGGCAGTTGGCACTATTCAACCGGCACTATAGAGGGCCCCCCACTGTATGCTACAGAATTTTTGAACGGAAGAAGAGCAACAGAAATGCACAAGAGACACACAAGACCAGTCGGAAGGCATCGCGAAAAACAGAAATGCCTGATTCTCGCACAGGGCGGCAGTAGAGGCTGCGCTCAAAATATACATTCACGCGTCTACCTCCACACGCCTCCTTTGAAATCAAGATACGAATCACACGAGTCTAAATTCAAATTTACAGTTGTGAAAGAGTAAAAAAAGGGCAGGCGCTCAAACAAGGCCGGTTGTGCCCATTAGGTTGTAGCAAATATCACTTTGTAGAGGACGACACCCTATAGCAGCAGGGTGTGTGTGTTGCGCTCAAATCTACTTCTTGGGTGGTGGTATCGAGGGCAATAGTAGCGGCCTACACCCTCCGCAAGTCTCTGCAATAAATTTAGGCCCGGCACCCAGTGTCTTGTACTGCTTGTGCTCGCCGCCACTGACCCCAATCTCCTGAACTGCGTGTAACTGGAAATCTCCTGAACTGCGTGTAACTGGACTAGCTACTGCCGGCGACCCGCCGCACGGGTTTACGGTCCGTGGCGGTGAGCAGGGCTGTGACAAATGTTGGGTTCGGGCGCAGGTTTCGGACTGTTTTCAGAGGCTGCTGCGACCTTCGATGTTTCAGCTCCAGTAGCAAACCTGAACGTGCCAGCACACAGGACTTCTCTTCATGGTGTCCTCTACTGATGACAGTAGAATGCATAGAACCTAAACGGCGGGAAAGTTGCTCTCTTTTTCTATATTGGATTTAAGCATGAACATAGAGCCCTTAGCACCCGCGCTCTACCATGTATCTGTCTCCGTTCTCCACTCTCCCCCCCCCTGTGGCTACTGCTGTTGTGTTGTTTCTACGGTGGGGTGTATTTTTTTTTGTGTACGGAAAACTCGATGCTGTAGTTGTACAACCACTGAACTAGATTGGTGTACAGCATTGCAAAAACTGGTGACGTACAGCAATCGAGCACCCGTATTTCGAAGAGCAAGGTCGACGTAACAAGCGACAAAATACAGAAGATGTTCCCTCGCTCTCCTTCCCATTTCGTTTTTTTACAACTGCAAGACAAAACGCCTCCACTCCTCGTTTTCGCGCGCTGGGCAAACCAGTTCACCCTGTAGTTATTTTGTGGTATCTGAGCCCCCGCGGTGAATACGTTATGCACGCCACCTCTGAGTGTGTGCTTGCGTCCCATCTATTCTGGCACACAAACAGTATACTTCGAAGTACTGTATATTTGTGACGTATCAGTCGGGGTCACACGGGAGGAACGGAATTGTCTACAGGGATTGATGTTTTTTTCCGCCGCCGCTACGCCAACTTTTTGCTTTGCTTCCTCGATCCAGGTCACGTTAGGATAGACCCGCGCGATTTGAAGAGCTGCTACTCGCTCATGATAAGTTCAGGTAAACCTGTGTCATGACGGGCAAACAAATGCAGCGCGATGGATGCAATTCTTTGTAGGAGAATTTGTGCCATGATGATGTGCTTGTTTTTTTTGCGCGAGTAGGCTAGAAACGGCTGTTCTCTGTGTCCGAGCACTGACGAGAGTGATGCATCTAATAAGCACGGCGGATAGTGAAGGCGCACATGAGAATCCACGACGTCCTCATGTTTGTTCTTTCTACACCCACCCCCTGGGCTGTTTTTCCGTACCGTGTCCTTCACTTCTGGTTCACACACCCGTGGCGCATCAAGTGGTCCCAAGGCCCATTGCGTTGACATCAACACTGGCACCCGATGGTACCGTAAACTGTGCGCCATTCTCCTATTTCAACACTGTCGGTCACGATCCGCCAACGCTGGCCGTGTCTGTGTGCCGCAATGGTAATGGGAGCAAGAAGGACACCCTGGTGAACATGCTCGCAAGCGGGTGAGACACGTTTTCAGTAGTATTTAGGCGTTTGTGAGTAGGATAGCCAAGAGCGTGGTGACCGCATTCCGTAATAAATCGTGTAGGCCCCAACGAGCATCTTGAGTGCACATTCCCCAACTGCTGCGACAACATTTTCCCATATATTGTGCTTGACACGCAACTGCGTCCGACTTAGGTACAGGTGCAATCACGGTACTGGTCCGTGGCATGTCTTGACCTATGCGTGTACCACATTTTATATTTATGTTACAGTGAGTTCGTCGTGAGCATCATGAGCGATTGGTTTGTGGAAGCTGCGAACCACACGTGCGGTAGCCTTCCCCCCGAGGTCGACGAGATGGACGTGGCTGGCCTGACACCAATCAAATCGACGATTGTGGCGCCTCCCCGCATCAAGGAGTCAGCTGTGAACATGGAGTGCAAGGTATTCGCGTGTTTGACAGAGGGGGCTGCTTGTTGGGAAGGTATTTCTTACTGTAGTTCCAAGCGTTTGTGATGGGTGCTTCCGAGGCACTAACTAGGGCCTCATTCCTGGCATAACAACGAGGCGAAGGCCTGCAGTGCTCATAGTGCCCACTGCTTAGGGGCAAGTACAGCAGCAGCAGAGCACGCTTAGGGGTCTGTGCTTGTGGTTGTTCTATGCGGTTTGCTGCCAAGGGCATGCGGAGCTTTTGGTGTTCATATTTAGCCATGATGGGGTGAATCTTGTCCGGTGTTCTCCACCTCCGTCAGCTTGTTCTTGATTCGCACCCTCGATGGATAAATGCATATGTGGGATGTTGTTGCCAACATGACGTCACGATCCCTGCTCTTCCACAGGTGCGACACACGTACGACATCGTCAACAGCAAGGGTGACGTCACAACCACAGTTGTGTTCGGCGAAGTGGTAATGTTCCACGTGTTTTCGCACCTGCTGAAAGAGAACGGCGCCGGGGAGGGCAAACCGACGGTCAACCACGAGGGCTTGATGCCTATCTCACGCCTCGGGGGAAACACTTACGGTCGGCTGGGCTCTGTGTTTGATATTCCCCGTCCACGCGTGGGAAAATGAATGGATATTTTATCGAACAGTTTGTAGTCCGGCGTACTGTATTGATTAGTTGTTTTAAATGTTGCGTAATGCCGGTGACCTGCCTTTTCGAGTTCTGCGAGTCCAAGGACGCGCGTTTCGGGTGCTCCTGACAACTGTATATTAGCGTGTGCGCATTTCTCGGGCATTTTTGAGTGCGCACCCAATTTAGCAAGGGCCAGCTCTCGCTTGAAATACGAGGTTAGGTACCTTTTGATGGAGAAGGTGTGAGTGCCAACGTGAGTTGCGTAGTTAGAACGACGGTAGATTACCTCATACCTGCGATGGTGTCAAGGGAGGCTGCCTTGTTTCGGGTCGCATCCCGTCAGATGAACAACTGCCTGTGGAGAGTTTATTCTACATGCCCTGGTCTGATGAGGCTGCTCTTACTTGGCCCCGATTCCTGGTCACGAACCCTCAAATGCCCTTTGGAACTACTCGGCTACACCAGCGAACAAGTAGGACTTAATGTGGTAAACGAGACAGGACATGGACGAAATGAAAAAAACGAAAGCACGAGTGTTGTATCTTCAGCAGCAGCGTCAGTGTAGTCACTTCCCCCTTTGGTCACCCAAGCCTGTTGTCGGTATTGGTGACACGATATGGCGAGTAGCCGTAAACTGTGCTGCAGTAGTTTTCAGTTGGAAAATTCTCCCTGTGGAGCAAGTTGATCGCTTCATTTTTTACCCCCGAGGCTTGGGTGAGAGGAGAAAAACTCGAGGGTACCGGCGGACCTCTCACTGTTTCCAATTTTTCGTGAACAGCAAAACAAAAAAATGTTGAGAAAAACAGCTCAGCGGTGATCTTCGACAAAACTCTAACAAAAACCTGTGCTTGAGTGGCGACGAGAAAAGGAACTGAGCCTCGGCCCGAGTTTGACGTTTCTTTTCTCCAGGCCCGTTCGGTCTGCTCCTACTCTGCCAAGCTGCCAAGCAACAGGATTCGAACGAAGTTCAACACACAGACAACATGAGCTGAGCGCACCCTTCTGACAGTCCCTTCACGCAAAGGGCGTGGCAGTGTCTTTGAAATGTCAACACGTCGAGAAGAAATGTACCCTGGTGACGGCGACTTGTGTTGTGGGAGTACCAGCTGAGTACTGTACGCTAGCGCGCGTCAACTGCTGGTAGCGTCTACAGTATAGAATCTGAGTGTCTGAGTCTACAGAGTAGCGCACCGGTTCAAGCGGAGCAAGTGGTACCGGTTGGCAGCGAAACTGTTACCAGTCCCCAGTCCCACGTTCCGTGTTCAGTGGACGTGCGGGGAAATTGCGCGACGCACCTAATGTAGTCTGGCAAGGGCAGAGTGGACAAGAGAGAGCGAGGACAGGCGGCCCTTCTTCAGCTATGGCCACGACCTCGCTGCACCGGGTTCCTATGTGGCGAACACATCTGCATGCTCCTCTTTTCCTAGCCGTCCTGTTGCCGTCACGTGTACTGTCGATGTGCTCGAATAGCTGCAGCAGACGGGGAGACTGCAACCCTTTTGGAAGGTGAACTTTGTTTCTTTCAAAACATGTGCGCTTATTGAGTACTTGGCAAACCTTCTTCTTGGAGCTTGCGGGGCATAGTCTAGCTATCTGCGATAGGCCCGAAGTATCGCGGGATCGTGCGGCAATAGCTCAAAACTACTGTAGTTGTACAACTGCTGTCGTCGGAACATCGACTGCTTTCCTAAACGGCTGTCCGTGCATGTTTTGTCACGCGCGAAGATGTGATTGCTGGGCCGGATGGGGTGGGGCCGATTGTTCGGAACGCATGTGCGCGACCGGAATTGCGTGGAGTGACCGGGCAACGGCCACCGATACTGCTCACGGTGTCGTGGAGTGCTCCAACCGTGGCGAATGCGATCGTGCGGTGGGGAGGTGCAAATGCATGACTGGGTTCTCCGGGTCCGCGTGCGAAAGGAGCAGCTGCCCGCGGGGTTGCTCAGGTCATGGCCACTGCAGGAGTTTGTCCGACTATGCGCAAGACTACCGGGGCGACGATTCGATCCAGTACCTGTACGATGACGTGAGGGAATCCCGACTCGGAAACTTGCACAGCAGTCGGTAGCATGTTTCAACGAGTGAGTGATTTCTACGAGATCATGATCATGTTTGGCATAGTATGCTGGTCTATTGCTCATCTCTAGGGCACTGCTTCTTCGATCTTGCTGCCAGGTTTGGGATAGTGATAAGCTTCACACTTGCGTTTGCGACACCGGCTATCACGGGTTCGACTGCGCCTTGCGTAGCTGTCCGACAGGGGACGATCCACTCACTACTGGTCAAGTTAACGAAATTCAACTTGTTGTGTGCGAGGTGAGAGTTCAGCGTCCTTACTCTATCGTGTGCGCCTGGACAAACATTTTATCTGCAATGGCTAGATCATGTTGACGTACGGACATTTCTAAAGTATAGTCTAGCAAGAGGGGGCAGAACAAGTAGACTTTAGTCTAGACTGATGTATTGTACGAAGTTAATACCAATTCGAACAAATGTTTGGCGGCGTAGATTTTTGGAACACATACATATGGGGCGCATCCACTTTAGACTAAACGTATACCACTATTTTCATCTGGCTTGGTGCAGGTCAACGTGCTCTCTTTCGTAAAGGCATCCTCTGTGTTGTAGATATAGTTTCCCCGCAATCATGTAAATGACCGTCAGATACATGGGGCTCTTGCAGGTGTTTGATCATAATCAAAACATCACCGCACAATTGTTTTTCGTACGTCTCGTCTGCTTGCTGCATGCTCGAGGAAGGCTACCGCGGGCTCATTCGTGCTGTACTACGAAGGCTATCCCACGACAGATATATTGTATGACGCCAGCGAGGCGGATATCGAGTCTGCCTTATCGGCAATTCCAGATATCCAGGGTGTAAACGTTGAGTTTTCAATCCCTCTCAGTGGGGCTTGTAGCTCTACCGCCATCAACGTCATTCAGGTCAGTCATGTTTGATTTTGCTGCAATCACGGCACAATGTAACCTGGAGGAAAAAGAGAATAAATCTCCAGCCCTGGTTTCTTGGGTAAATGACGTGTTCTCGGGGTTTGTTTTCTGATGACAATGCTTCGCTGTTGCTGCCTTTTGTGTGACACTGCATCCCGTTGTTGCCTACAGTAGTTCCAGTATGGCTTGTATTGCTTGATAGCGAGGCTATTGGGCCGCGTCCAAGTTTGCACAATCAAACATACTCCCTAGCCGTCCGTAAATTGCCTGTCGTTCTAATGTCCTCCCAGACGGTCAGTCAGGCTAGAGCACCTACAACCACATTCCACAGTCAATTCTGACTGGAAAGGTCCGAGGATCAATGTGTTTTAGGCTGTTCTATACAGCTTTTCACGCATATTTGTAAGAGATTTATCGTGCAGTACTCCATACTCTCAAGTTCAGCATCTTTGGATCAATCGGATCGCAGGTGGAGTTCTTGGGCAACTTCGGTCCCCTTCGGCCAATGTGGTCGTTCAATGCTCTCACTGCAGGCTCCGTGACGACCCTCACCATCGTTGCAGACGGCAGTTCAATCTACGATTCAGACGCGATCGGGTACGTTCGACACACAGGAAGGTTTCGTAGGCCGGTGAATACTTGTAGCGAGTACCATGACAAAGGCATGCTGCACACCTGCAACGTCTGTCTTGTGTTGCATGATGAAACCTCGGAAACAGGCAGTCACCCCGTATTTTCACCACCTACTCTTCAACAGTAGTAGGCTGACTTGTTTGTCCTGCCCGGTAACGCCCTTCACGACTTTTTCTCACTGGAATAGGTATACCTCTGTCAAGGGGACGAAGGAGAATGAAGATTGTTCCAATCGAGGGATATGCGATACCCAAGAGGGCATTTGCGAGTGCTTCACCTCAAACGACGACATTTTTGCGAGCAGTGACGGGTGAGTCAAGAGGAGGGTGACGCAATGTAAGTTGCTAGAGATAAATCCAACCTGCTGGCTGCATAGGTTGCCAGGCCTGTCGGTTGTAGGGTACTCCAAGGCGTTACTCTTGAGAATATTTGAGTATCTCTCCTTAGGCGATTCTCATTATTTGCCGGACACCCATGCGGCAGCGTACTTCGCGTGAAGCAGCGACCAGCCAACACGTCTTGTCCCTGAAACCATTGATCTGACAAGAACAATCACTCCGTCGCTACATTGCCCGCCTCGAATTGAGAACGAAGCGCTTGATAAAGACGAGGTGACGAGCTTTTGCCTTCCACGCTGCCACCGTCCTTTTCCGTTGCCCCTCGCTGTGCGCAACTGAACGGTGTGACCCGAAGGTACAACGGCCCGGGAACACGCGGAGATTGTGGATACCAGGTTACTACCACGGCTGGATGTCCGGGAGAGATCGCATGCAGCGGTCATGGCACCTGCGACGAGAGCGATTTCACGTGCAATTGCAACGATGGTTGGACCGCCGGAGACTGCTCCTTACGCGCTTGTCCGTATGGCTGGAGCTGGTTCAGCTACCCGAGGTTTGTGTGAACCCAGTACTCCATGTAGTCGATCTTGCTGCGACGGGAAACGTAATACTAAGATCGGCCTGGGTACTTTATTCTCGCAGCCCGCCGCAAGGAACTGTACACACCTACCCGCTTCTACAGCTCAGTACTCCCTTCTTTCTATACCTGGTTGCCGTTTTGGTGACAAGAGGGCCTCGAACGGGGAACACCGGTAGTGCTGATAGCTACCATGCCCTTCGCGCGTTTGATCTCAGTGCTGAAGACAAGGCTCACGATAAACGCACCGAATGCTCTGATGGTGGATTCTGTAACGGCGAGACGGGAGCTTGCGAATGTGCAGATCTGTTTCACGGCGCTGCTTGCGAGTATATGATATGTCCAGGGGGCACCACGGACGCGTGTCATGGCCACGGGCGGTGAGAAAACATTGTACAGTAGACAGGGGAAGACAGAAGTGTGCACAGCTGCCTCGTGGTTGGCTTGATGCTCAAGTACGAAGATCTCTACACCAGCAACACATGTCTGCCCGGGATTCGACCAATCGTCGTTCTCGGCTTCGCTTGTCACAGTCAGTTTCATAACAACCAGAGCGTGCGTGCAGTTCTCAACAAACTGAATATCTGGCTACGTACGACTTTGAACCGGTCAAGCTTGGCAACTACAGCCCTCTTTTTGTGTATGTCGGATAGGTGTATGACAATGGCCGAACTGGCCACGTTTGCTGAAGACAACGGTGATGCTACGGACTACACATACGGGGAGGATCCTAATGAAGGCTCTACCTGGGATGCGCACCGAATATTCGGGTGAGCCACCGTCACCAAACCGATACGAACGCTTCGCACCCATCGTTCTCGCTGAGCAAGATGATGCTCAGAAGCAAGTCTGGGTTTAGGTAGTTCATGGACGATCGCCAAAGTGCCCGTGTTCAGCATAAACCGACGAGCTCTCGCCTGATTTCGTGATGGTTGACGAAGAGCACGTCACACGAGGGACGTTGAAATGATGTGTGATACGGAGCGTCACTGTGCGAGCGTAGGCCGTGAGTCGACGTGAGTCACAACACCTCAAAGAGTACAGAGTACACCAGACCCAGACCATACAGTTTGGGGTGTTCGACCTGCTTCATGAAAAGGAAGGATGCCGTGGAATAGAATTCGAGAAGACAGGAAGAATGCGTGTGACCTCGATAGTTTGGCTTTACCATCGAAGCTACCGTTCCAACCGTATTGCTTTAGTATGTTCTAGGTCGAAGGGATGCAGGAAAGGCTCTGGGTGATTTTGCGAAGAACTCGGTATCAACAAGAGAGACTACCGGAGATACGAGCCGTGTATCTTCCACGGGACCAAGATGTGTAGACGTACAACCTAACGGCAGTGGTGTACTTATTTTGGTTACATTGAAGTACGGTATAGTGAAGTCACCGCACGTCAAGTAGAATCCGACCCCATCCGTCCCAAACGACTCCGTTTGGACACACCTTAATCATTCGCCATACCACCCACCGCCCGACAAAGGTGCTACTGCGACGACGGCTATTCAGGATACGACTGTTCTGAAAGAGTATGCCCTGTAGGAGATGATCCTGGAAGCTGGGGGCAGGAGCCTGAAGTTCAAACCATGACGTGAGCACCCCTTGGCTCTGCTTCGTGTCCCCCACGCTGAAATAGTGTGTATCTCGACAGGAATTCGAGTTAACCTCCGGGCATCGAGCACGTCAACGTTAACTTGGTGTGAACGGCGGAAAAACAAACCCCAACCCGCGCGCACAGTTTGATATTACGATATTCTTGTTTGGTTACAGGTGCCAGGCCACGAACGGAACATTCACGCTCACCTTTCGGCAGGCCGAGACGGAGCCAATCCCAAGAAATGCCTCAAGGTATTAAAACTCCGGCAGTATCATCCACATTTGTACTTAAACAATTAGACCAACATTGTGGTGGTCCCCCAACCTTTTGGGGGGCCCTCTTGCCACTGGTTTTAAGAAAACCACTTATGCACCGCGACACGCAAAGAGGATGAAGACAAAGGAACAACGGAGAGCCGATAGTGCCGGTGAAAAAATTGAAACGGTACAAAAAAAGGCCACATACCGTAAACTACGGAGTTTTCCCCCCCTAGTAGAGCCCCGCCCCCCCCCCGCCCATTACCTTTTCGGCTTTGAAGCATGGTTCGTTGATTTAGCCCCGGGGTAGATCGTTTCCGACAAAAAAAAAAATCTGCCCGGGTATTTCAATTTCCCCCCAGGGTACCAGTTTCCCACGAGTTCCCCCCGGGGGGGAAGGATGTATTTCCCTTATTTTCTGAGTCGATTTTGTTGCATCGCGGAGCACAAAAAGCATGATATGGGACGGAAAAATCATTTTTTGCAGATCTGCGCTTCGAGCGAGATTGAGGTGTACCGTTTGTCACTTGGCCCTTAGTTTTTCAAATTATGATCAAAAATGGCTTCGCCGTTGTTTTATGGGTGAAATGCTTTCGTTTTCTTGTCTGTTTCTTGCATTTATCATCCCTGGAGTCAGCTGAAGCGTACCATAGCATGCTGATGAAACCTTGCCCACAAAGGTAAAAAAAAATCGTATTCATTTTTGGATCTCACAACTAACTCCAGGTAGAACCGAACCATAAAAATAGCTTTTTCCTGCGGACAAACTGCGAATTCTTGTGCATGAGCTTAGGCAATGGTACCTCTTGCTGTCTTTTTTCTCTTCGCCTTCGTTGCTCTTACGTTCCTCCTCCCTCTGCTTGTTGAACGCTTGCTCGTAAACCTTATCCATCTCAGTTTCGCCACTCTCTGTGTGTATTATGTGGACCATCATTATTCTGCACAACCCCCCGGGGGGGTCTTCTCCCCGGGGTAGCGTTGGAAAAAAATAACTAACCCCCCGCGGTACGTCAATTTCCCCCCGGGGCCGTTGGTTTCAGGAAAAAAAAACGATCCCCTCCCCGGGGGGAAAACTCCGTAGTTTACGGTATTGTTGAGATTCAGCACCCAAAAGGTCAAGAGCCAAGTGAAAATATATTTATCATCAACACGAGGATCTACAGTGGAAAGAAGGGCAGCATATGGACTACGGTCGAAATGAGATTGATCAACTATGAGATACTATGCTCTAAACTATTGTGGCCGTCCACCACCGTGGCAAGAGACAAAAATGTTTGCGAGCCAACGACGATGTACCCCGCCCCCACCCTCCGCCCCTTGGTTCAGTGAGGACCTTAAAGAAACCCTTGAGGCGCTGGCTACAATAGATGTTGTTTCAGTAGCGTTCGAGACGGGGGACACTGTGTGTCAAGACGATGGGTCCGAGGTTGCCTCCGTCACGTTCGTTACCCAGCATGGAGACGTGCCCCTCCTCATGGTGGACGCGTCGCTTTTGGTTGACGACAGCAACGGCGGGGTGAGTGCATGCTACGGTGACCCGATTTTGGTCTGAAATCACTCTTTGCACGTGCAGAGAAGAGTCGCAAACACCACTGCAGGATCGCCCACCCTCCACCTTCATCGAGTTTGTTTCAGCTACCCTAACGTTCGTGCTCACGAATGCCTCCAGTTCTATAAGCAGAGTATCCTCCCGTCGACCTGCTGTTGGCCAGCGAATATCTGAACCGGGAGGTAAGTTGCCTGATCAATTCACGGACACGTATGTTACCCCTGCCTCAGGCGCCTGGGAGCGGGAACGTTACCGTTGTAGAGGGTGTTCAAGGAACGACGGAGGAAGAGACCTGTTCAAACCGTGGGGTGAGACAAGCGTTCGACCGTTCGTATTTTGGAGCGTTGCAAAATGTATATGCGTAGGAGTTGACGAGGTGATCGAACGTGTCCGCGCATGTATCTCACAGATGTTCTGTCCCGCAAGACAGCGTGCGGTGAACACTGTTCGCGATGCATCACTATCCTGTCCAAACCTTGAGCGTGGTGAAAGGCACTACGTGACATGACGAACATGATTCTCATCAATCCTTTTGGGCTAAACTTCCATGACTGCCTTCGCGGTCTTCTTGATGTCTGAAGTTTTCCAACATGGGCACAACAGCATTAATGCAATGAGACTCCATTCTTGAAGTATCGGGATCGGGCATGAATTGCGGCGGACAGAGCTTAGAAATGTCGTCCCCCAAAGACGATGTTACTTATTTCCACAGTTTGGAATTATGGGCAAGGGGTGGTGCCTACCCCTTCTCCATAGTTGGTTTCACGGGGGTATCGACATACCATTGCGCAAGATTGGATGGGCCACACCCATTCGTGCCAGAAAAGCACCGCATTCGTCAGTCAGCTTGATCGTTCCCAACATCCCTCGCGCCCAGCTATGTGACAGGCACACGGGAGAATGTTCCTGCTTTCCAGGATGGTCGAGCAGTAACGGGGCGGGAGAAATTGGGGACAGGTCGGACTGCGGCTATCGGGTGCCTATGACCACGCAGTGAGTGTGCGTTTATACTTGTAATGACGAATCTGTCAAGCCGTAGAGAGGACCTAGATAGCTTATCTGGCGTATCGGGCGAGGTAATCGTCGACTGTGTTTCTCGACCGTGCTCTCTCTCCGACTGTGCTCTCCTCTCCGACCGTGTGTCCAGTCTCAGAGGCTCAAAATCACGGGGGGAGTCAACCGTGGCGAAATCGGTATTGCCTCAGGGAGAGTCGACCAACAAGTATAGGTGAGAAAACCGATGCACTACGGACCATGTTGGTTTTTCGCGAAAAGGAGATGCAATACTTGATGAAACAATGAAATAATCTATGCGGTTCACACGATGCGTTATATGTCCGTTTGCAATCAACTTGGTTTCATGTGTCGAGGAATTGGAATGGCATTCACTGTTGGCACCAACGCACGTCACGGCGACCTTACAGTAACATGGTGTTTTTCCCTCCCACTAGCATTCCTTTGCCACCTGAAGTCGTCGTCGATGATCATCGTTGAAAGAAGATGTAACGCTTTCGACATAACCGGAGATGTCAATCACGATTCCGAACACGTCCTATACCCCTGTCCTCTGAAACTCTCCACTGCCCATGGACAGTGACTTGTCGGTGATTGCGGCGCAGTCCAAGTTGGAGGCGTTAGCACGGCAGAAAGAGATGCTGGTCGCAGCTCAGCAACATTAAGCCGAGATTTTGATGCGTTTCGAGCGTTTTACCATTGCTTTTTTCCCCGCCAGACAGAACAATGTTGCACAGGGTACGTAGTGTGGCGGCACGTGTCTCGTTGCTGCTAAGATCACCATTGCCATTAAAATGTGGTGGTGTACCGCTTTTCAAGTCACGCTTGTTCTCCCGTTCATTTTTTGGTACTGGACTGTAAACATTGTTGTAGACGGAAGTTTTCAAAACGAGCGGGGGAGCGCAAAACGATCGTGTATTGGGTTTACGTACCGAGCAGCTTAGCACGAGCGATCGGCAGGAGACCACGCTTTGAAGTCCTGTCGATATAGGCTCTCGCCGTTGTAGATCGTCATCCAACCTGCGTAACTCTATTTAATCGTCGATTCGTTTCTGACACGTGTTGTGAGGGTCAGGACAAATAGCGGCTGCAACATGGGGTCATACGTTGATAAAATCCACCTGTTCAAAGACAGCACACTGTGGAGGTATTCGAGAAGCTCCATCATGTATGTGCCTGCGTTGATGATGAGGCTCAACTACCTCCGGGAAGTGAGGAAATGGCGGGAATCTTTTGTTCGTCCTTAACCGTGGCGAAGAGGACGTACTGTTTCACGGCGCACGTGCTTACCTTGCCTTACTAAAGCAATTCCCCTAGATCAATACCATACACGACATGTGCTCCGCAGGCTTCCCCCTTTGTGTACGTATCATTTTCGGTGTGTTTCGTCCTTCGACACGTTTTTCTCTGGCGTCACCGACGAAGCTAGAATCATGCTTCCTTTTCAGGGGCTCGCAGTGAGCCCATCGGCACAATGCTGTGCATGCCCGAGGACGACCAGGCATCTCTAGCACGTATTGTCGGCACCTAAAGTTACCGCGACAGGCTCTACTTCGCGGGGGGGCATTCCGAACCACGAAACCCTTAGCAGGATTTGTTAAGCGTCTACAACACGGCAAACTTTAGTTCCTGCGTAGCACACTTCCTCGTACACCATGATGAGCAACATTTTGCACATAGGAGACATTGAGGAAGAGAGAGAGCTAAAGCAGCCGGTTGCAGCAGTGGGTTCTACTACAAAGAAGCCAAGCCTACAAGCACACACTCACTATGCGCACACGAAGATACCCCCAAGGGAAAAAAGATAACACCATGGGAGTTCTGCAGTATGCATCTGAGTCTGTATCAACACCGGCGTGCGAACGTTGAGACACAATATACTGTTGTATTCTTATCCCTTACCCAGATCATTCAATGCAAGTATTGGATTTGGTTGGGTGAGGCCTCCTGCGCCGACCTGTGGTCCCGCCCAGTACTCTCTTGTTGATTATCCGATCTGCCATATCTTAGTTTTTGACCACCCACGCCTCTAAGTTAGGTCTCGCCCACCCAATTCTTTACTTTCCGCGGCGAGCACAAGCAGAGAAATCGCATGTGGAGTGAGCCGACAACGGCAATGCGTGTGAGTCTGCGTACAGCTCGCTACGGATCCTCTTGGAACCCGTTGCCCCTATACTAGTAGTGTCGCCAACATACCGCTTCGCTACACTCTCAGTACGCCACCCGGCAATTTTCATGATCACGTCCATCGCCGTTCCGTCAAGCGACTGCGCAACAGAATCTCCGACTCGGAACGAGTGCTATTAGCGGTGCGACAGTCCCGCCAAATACCCTTGCAGGGCAACCGTAACTCTGAACCGCCGCAAGCGGAGCGCAGCCCCGAGTTTCGTCCGGCAGGGCGACCGGAAACAGATGCCCTTGGGACAAATCCCAGCCACTACGCTCCGCCGCACTGATGTAGGCCGTAACGTTGCTCACCGCGCAAATAGACGGGCAGGCGACGCCCAGACGCACGGCGACGGCATCGACAGAGTCGCGGAGGGTCTTAACAAACTGAAAGTTGAAAATCAGACCCTCCCCCGCGGGTAACCGCAGAACTTGCGATCCCATAGTGAAGGAGAGATCATGGCCTCGCCGCATGGAGGCGAACGCCAGCGAAAACAAAGCGACGTCCCTGGTGAGCTCAATACGTACCGCCAAAGAGGACGCAGTTTGTGCGCGAGAGCGCATTTTCCTCAACAAATCGATGAGGACGTGCGGCAACATAGCCTCTGCCTGGTTGACAGCGACACCCACACGTTTCTGTTCCTCCCCCGTAAAGACGAGGTAGGAATCGACGACAAGACTCGACACTGGTTGCCCGACCGCGTGGCAGGGTCCCAGCTGCTGTCTTTTCCCAACTGTTCTTGCATCGTCATCTTCAACTTGGACACGATCCCTTTCTGCATGGACGCGGCGGCATACTGCTTAGCACATGGCGAGTTTGGAAGGCAATCGCGGCCGTGGGTCGTGCCGACACCAGGGCATGCCGTCGTACACCCATTTGGTACCACTACCTTGTGTGTCCAAGAAGCAGAGATAGTCAAACACGTCTCGGTCCGAAGCCTGCTTCCAACCCCGACGTTGTTCAGTCGCCGAAAGCATGAAAGCGTCGAACTCGTATGCTACGGCGCACTTCCGCTATTGAGCTCGACGGTTGGACGCGGCCGAGAGGACCTGATCACCACGAGCGCGCAACGCGTCGAAATCGATCGACACCAGAGCCGCTTGAGGGTCACGCGGGACTGGACGCCCGGGGGCAGGCTGGACACCGCAGGACCAACAATAGTTGTAATGTCCCACGTTCTTAGTCTGGCACGACGAACACGCTACAAACCGGGCAATACCGCGCGGAGGCAGGGTGGGGACCTGTGATACGAAGCACGAGCCATCCACAAGCTATAGAGGGGGGAACTGGGCAAGATGGACGAGAGCCGCATGCTGCAGTAACGGGTTACCGGTGTCAACCAATTTTTGTTTTTGGAGAGCAGTAGCACCGGCTTGCGAACGTTGATACACAATATATCGGTGTAAGATTGACCATGTCTTCTGGCGTCGCCCCCGGGAGGCACGTTTTCAAACTCCCGATCGGGAGCCTTGGAGTATATATAGGATTTCGGTGTACCTATCATCTCGGGGGCTCCTAAGCGTATGTTGGTGAAGGAGATTTGCATATGTATCTTAGTGGCGTTCCAACAGGCGCTCCTGAGGTCAAGAGAGAAGTCTACAAAAGAAGAGTGATCATGTGAGGGTGGCCACCACAAGGGGAATTGCCTTCCCTACACTCGCGAAGAACCATTGTTGGGTTAGTTTACAGTTACCGATAGACCCACATGCATACGTGGATCAGTGACTTTTTTATGCTGATGTTCCGTCACAATGACACTGTAGTTACTCGTGACTGCAATTGGCTAAGAACAGGATACACCATGGCAGTTGTTGTTGTGCGGTATGATCTTGTTTTCTTGTCCTCTACTGTCCTCTACCTAATATCTTTTCTTACCCACCCCGTAAGGCAAAGAGATAGTTTGTTGTTTTCGTTCGAGTTGCTTCATCGTTATCGGTTCCAACATCGCCAGACATATATATAGAGAAAGGGATAGGAACCGGTGCTTGAAACACACAAGCCTCGCGCCCGTTCCCCCTAAAAACTTATCTCTCCCTCTCTCTGCTCACCAGTCAGCTATATCCCGCCGGGCGAATTCCGACTACTGCTGCTGCACGCAGAGGTCTGGAATGACCAAGTTCCCAAATGGTGCTCGACCATTCAACTACATCCCATGCAAGCCTCGTGGATACTACTAAGGAATCAACCAAAGAAAATACGGACTTCATACCATTTCCGTTCCCACACCTTCGAAATAAAAGGGATGTGTGGGATGGAACCTACACCACCTTTGTGGCCACTTACTATTTGGCTACATAGCCCCTCAATCCTTGGCGTGCTCACGTATACTGGTCTTCTCTCGCGCTCAACAGCGTAACGACCTACGACTACGGCGCACGTGTGCTTTTATGGGGGCACGCGAAATCAATCTGTTGCTACGTTACCCCGGTTTTCCAACAATGAAGCATTTCGAACACTTTCGGTTTCAATAAACGTCAGTATATTTCGTCTCCGACACTACTTTTAGCTCCGGTGTTTTTCGTTCGAGTTGCTTCATCATTATCGGCCTTCTACTTCACCAGGGATAGTGAGAGAGGGGCGTAGGAACCAGCGCTAGAAACACACAAACTTCGCGCCTGATCCCCCTCAAACTCTCTATCTTTCTCTCTCTCTCTGCTCACAAGTCAGCTGTATCCAGCGGGGGGAATTCCGACTACTGCTACTGCGCACACGGTTCTGGAATGACCAAGCCCCCCAACGGTACTTGACCACTCAACTACACCCAAGCCGAGGTCAAGCCCAGACTACTGTTGTCCACGTGCAGCCAACCCTTCGTTCGAATTTCGCGGTCACAAGCTAGCCCCAACCGAGGTATGTACCAACGACTGAACACAAAAAGTTCCCCAACATTCGCCAAGAAACCAAGCTTCCTTATAAAAAGGCTAATAAGAAAGAACAGCAGAGAAGGGCAAGTAGAGACCATTTTCCGATCACCCGGAAGCGGGATTGCGAACAAGGAACACACCAATAAAACGAACGTGAAGAACATATCCTCGAACCCAAGCACAGCCGCGGAGTGAGCACCATCGAATGTTTCTTTCGCCCGCTGGGCCATTCCCGCTACACCCCAGGGATATATGAAGGGCTCTTGTCCATCTAGTCTACGTGTGTGTACCACAATAAGAACGTACAGGCGACACACTTGATGGCAAAAACAGCAGACTATGTCTTGAGTCTAGTCTTCAATAAATAGCTCCCGCGCTGACTAAGCACACGTAACTTTACAGGTCGAATACAGTTCGACGTCCACGCTGGACAACCTACTGTAGGGCAACTTGACATGCTGTGGAATGTGTAGGCGGGACGAAAAATTAATAGGCACGAAACAATAGTAAGCCGTCAGCGAGTCTTGCCACATACATGCGGTAGATTGTTTAGACTTTTCCATTACCCCGGCTGGTGGCGCGTCCAAATATTGATGTTTAGCATGGATAATGGATATTATTTATTTACTTGCCTCTGCCCGCATAATTTTTTACCCGTCGTGTGTACAACGGAGAGCGTGAAACGGACATGTGTACCAAATCTATCTACTATTATTGTGCCGCATATCCCACGTTCAACCTCCTCCCCTCTTTCGCTCAGAACATACATACCCAGCTCACTCCCTCTCCACCCCCTCGCACCTACGGTTAAGCAGAGGTGAATCTTAAGAAGGTAAGCCATTCTAGGTTCGAGTTGGAAGAACTGCGGATAAGTCTCTCGAAGCTATCGTCTCTCCTCACGCATTGCGATGTACCCTTGTAGAGTTTGCATCTTTGCTCAGGAATATGGTCTCGGTGGGAACAGCAATATCATCGGGTACATCCCCGACGATAAAAGTTACCGAGACGACGCCACAGTAATGCCGTCGTACTGGGGTACATGCACACCACGTGCGTGTGTGGTACCCATCGGTGTCGCTTGCTCATACTTAGAGGTGTAGACTATGTAGCTATATCTTTCACCGGGTGAATGCATACCATCCGCGATCTCTTGTCACAACGCGCGGTGCGTAGAACAGGGGCAACAATCAACACATACATTCGTTCATGGTACGCATGTAATGCGTCTTCAGACACTTTAAGCGGTAAGCAGGGCCTCCTACTAGAATAATCATCGTACACGAAGCACAAGATACAGTAGTAACCGGTGAAGATCTTTCTACTCCCAACTACAACCGGTAGTGCTTTGAGAACCGGTTCGGTTTTTGGTTCCCAGTGTATATTCCGCCGCGTCGCCTTGCGTCGCCGCGTCGCCGCGTCTTCGTTGAAAAAAGTCCTGGTTACAGTGTACAGCGTGCAGTGTCGGAATGTACTGACACTGTACGTGTCAGTATGTCAGTATACACGGCACACGGCCCGCGATGGTTCTCACTGGGAACCAGTTCTCACAGCCACTCTCCGAAGGTAAGTCAGCACAGCTCTCATGAGTCCAGCCAGTTCCGTAGGCTTTCTGTTTGGTTTCAACAGAACCGGGGCCTGGCGGAATTCTTGGGGGCTTGGGAGTGAGCCGGTCAGCCGGCCGTAATATGTGACAAGTAAGGCGCCCTCATCAGATAGCGGGATTTTTGGTGTGCTGTCTTCATGTCTTCATATTGCACCGAGGATCCTCAATTAGTTGAGGCCTCATGCTCCGAACCGTGGTCCCGCCCACCCTTCATTGCATCGACCACATCTGTAATTAGTTGTACTTGAACCACCATTCGTCTGGAGCGGAATTGTCTACACCAATTTCCTTTGGAATTCATGGTGCCCGGCCTCTACTGCTGTAGTTTTCCGTTTTCCCTCCGCATTCTACATGTACACCATACACCAAAATCGACTACAAGGTCATAGGTTCCGAAGCTCCCCAACCTGTGGACGTGCGGACACCACACTGACACGGCCGGGATCACCAATCCCACTATCGGCCAACGTTGTTCTTGAAGGTCGCCGCCGTCGCCAGCCCCGACGAGGCGGCACGCATGGGAGGAGTCGTCACGCAGCACGGGGAGGACAGCCTAGGTGCAGTCGAAGCGGATCAGGTAACGCTCGATGGTTCTGTGCTCCCTAGTTGTTCCCCCTTGTGCTGAAGGCAACCCTCCTCGCCTCAACGTTGTCTTGCATGCGATACATGGTGCTTGTACGTGAGCAAGCATTCCTACCGCAGTTGGGCCCCGCATAAAGGAAACTTCTGGCCAGCAAAAAAGCATGGGTCGACTTTGCACGAAGAACACGATAAGGAAAGCAGCTCAATCTAAGTGACAAGGCAACAATCGCCTCCAACAAGAAGCAGGGGCAATGGACTTTGCCAAGACAAAAGGACGCAACCGGTAGCTCGGGGGTAAACGTCGACAGCGCTCTGGTTGATGACCACCTGCGTGTACCTCACCCCTTATTTCTGTCCGAGAAAGGTCTTTGTTGCTTTTCTGCGCACCCTCGTCGCTGAGGATTTGCTCCCACATAGACTTTTACCCAACCAGCGGCAGCGAGAGATTGAGTACGAGTAACTACAAGAACCCGAGGCAAGAAAAAAATCCTGAAACAAAGAGAATGTGATCGAAGCATCGACAACAGAGGAAAAAACGAAAAGTATGAGGAATGATGATCACAGGTCCAGGTGCACAAATGTAGGAGCGTCGTGTTGCGAAACTCAACGAGTTGCTGTAGGCTGATGTACTGGAGCCCAGAGTGTGACGTTCGCCCTTGACCCGAATCCGACGTTGTGTTGTCTCCGGCCCGCAGCCTGTAGTCGAGAGAGAGGCCCTCATACCACGAGTGGCACGCCCCCCCTTTCCACTGCTGCATGCATTGCTATACCGAGCAGGTTGAGGAAGTGGTTGAGGATAGCAACAGCGCCAGCCGATACTCTCGGGATAACATGAAGCTCTGGCCGTAGCAACACCGCCGCCAGAATCATGTACTAGCGGCACTGCTGTGCGGGGCGGTCAACACCAAATGGTGGTTGATTTGCTAGCGGGCATCTTCGACCAGAACACGCCAACTCGAGACGGCCGGACCCCGCTCCACCTCGTTGCTCTCGCGGGGCAGAAAGCGCTAGTGTTGAGCTTGCAAGAAGACGGTACCACCATCGACGCACGGGACGCAACGGGTGAGTCACCACTGGTCGAGGCCTCCTACAAAGGCAAGCAAGCTATCGTGGAGACCCTTCTCTCCAAGGGGGCCGCCGCCAACCTCCGAGGAACCGTTCCGCTGTACTAATCTGCGCTCGACAGAGTTCCACGAGAAAGTCACGCCGAGGCCATCGGTGTCCTTGTCGGGGGCGGGGCCACGGTGAGCGGGCAAGACAGTCGAGATTTCAACCGTGCTCCGTTGCGATGATTTGTCACGCCCGATCCAGGATGTCCAGCATCACGACTCTTCTTCTTGTTTCATGAAAGCTCATGCCCAAAGAACCTCATGACAGCACGAAGTGCCCCCTCACGTTGTA